AAAACCATAATAGCGGATTGAGCAAACGAACGAATTTTCAATGGGAAAATTTCAGATCCCAATAAGTATTGAATAGAATTGAAACCCATAGTCCATCCAACTCCAGACATATATAATGCAGCCATTGCTCCCTTTCCAGCTCTTGCTTTTGATCCAGTCAAGTCAGCTTCTTCACTTGCTTCGGGGACAATTGTTAAGAATATAGCAAAATACAAAATAGAAAGCAATTGAATTGTAATACCAATGTAAAGTGCCTTTCTTCTTCCTAAGAAATCAATGATGAAGAAAGCACTTAAATATGCGGATATAAATTTCACAACACCTAAGATTGCAGTCATTTTCAACTTTTCAACTCCAACAGCTCCAATTAATGCAAAAAGTTCTGGAGAATAAATTGTCACAGCGTTTGCACCTGACCATTGACCTAAAACCTGTGTTAAACAGGAGACTGCAAAAAATCTGTATCTAATTGACTTCACACATAAGATATCCTTACATAATTGGAAGAAATTGTTACCTGCCGTTGCTTCCTTCTCCGTGAGTATCTGCTCATTAATATCAGAGATTTCACCTAAAACGTAAGGATGATCTGCTGGTAAATTTCTCAATTTTGATAAATTCTTCGCGGCTTTATCAGGCTGATTGACTTTCAATAACCATCTTGGACTTTCGACACAAAAAATGAAAGATCCAATCAAAATTAAAGCAGCTAAAGGAATCTTCATGGAGGTAGGAATGATCCATTGTCTGTTAGTGGTATCGGATATATGTAACGCACAACCGTAGTGGGCAAAATATGCCATCATAATACCAAAGTAAACAGCACCTGCAAATACACACCCACAGAGGCCTCTAATGGCCCTAGGTGCAACCTCAGACATGTATGTAGGTCCAATAGTAGTGGTTTGTCCAATTGCAAGTCCCTCGATTAATCTTCCAGCATACAACTGACCGACATTCTTAGAAGTAATTTGGATAATTGCCGCTGCGATCCATACCACGCAAGCTGCTTGCAAAGATCTAATTCTACCAAATCTATCAACAACAAACATAGCAATAATACTACCACCGATAGAACCCAATTGAACCATTGATGTAATATTAGATTTCAAGTTTGCAACATCGTGTTCTGATTTATTTGGATCATTAAGCCCAAAAAAGTTTTTGAATGAAACTTGTGCAACTGATCCTGAAATGCTCCCTTCATCATAACCTCTAGCCGAACCTAAGACACCAAAAACAAAAACTGAGAGGAACAAAGTCCAATTATAGATTTCAGGTGGTGCATGATCATCTTGAACTTTCCATCTAAACTTAGATGTCCATGAACCCTGAGAATGATTTTTGGTTGCAGTTGAGTGAGAATGCTTTGTATGCTCTACTTCTTTGGATTCAATTGACTGGATCTCTTGCTTTAATTGATTAGTCAGAGTATTCTTTTCTTGATCCATGTTTGACAAAGATTTAATTATAATTTCGCAATTTTAGAAGATAGAATCAAAATTCGCTGAAGTTTGTATACGACACCAAAAATGATACACTAATTATAATCTAATTATTTATAATCAACTTTTCCTATGGTAAGATCTTCTCTATTTATACAATTTAGGCCCCTAAATATTGCAGGTGACTAAATCAGAGAATAATTTAAGAGTAAGCTATGTACAGCTATACCAAGAAATTTCTCTTCCACTTAAGAATTTAGTTGCAATTATCAAGCCCAATGCGTAATAAAGAGCGGCTGCAAACTCTTCTACTACCACAAGTTTATGCACGCTTTTCCTCCCCCCAAACTTATCCCCGCTGGTTTTAATAAGCAATCAATTCACAATCGACGCAAGCATATGGGGTTATTCCTAAATAATAAAGAATTAGAAATAAGCGATCCGGCCCGCATATGCGGGTTCCAAAGATTGCGAGTTCCAAAGATTGGGCCATAAGTAATATGAAAACGTTCACTAGTAACCTCAGTATTTATACCATGTATTATTCGTGTAATAAATTTACACTATCAGAATTCTAGTATAGCTACTCTATCAGAATGTGTAACTAAAACTCTCTTTCTTTTCTACGGTCACTTCAATTTTCGTTTTCTCATCTAAAAATTTCAATAAAAAAGTCTATAAGTATGAGCTTACCCCCCATGTCAAATTAAAGTTCAAGATATTATATCATCGAGTAAGCTAAATAAAAATATTCCGGGATTCGAAAAGTCTTGGCCCTGTTCTACTTATGATAATTATTTTTATATTGTTCTCTAGAAAACATGTCATAGTACGTACAAGCTTTTAAAATTGAAAATTGTTAAGACGCTATAGATTATATCAAAAATAATACAAATCTACTATGGTAGAATGAAAAATCACAAGCATTTACAATATTACCTAGCAGTTCAAGTTTATTAGGTAGAATCAATGATCGGAACCTCTACCCGAAATAGTGTAAAGCGCACCCGGGCCAGGAATCTCAATATCGGAGTCTAATTATGCAAGTACAAAATCTTGCAATATTCATCTACACAATCTAATCAAAAAGTCAAAATTAGCCCCACCAAGATAAAAAACCGCTTCCAGCTTCAGTAATTTAACAAAAGCATTGAATAATTTTTCCTAGCAGTAAGTCCCCTATCTTATTGTTTGCTAACTCCTCACTATCAACTGAGTAGGAATAAACTCCATTTCTTATGCAAGTTTCCAACACTTTCGATTGTTATTTCACATTCCAATTCAGGTAATAGAATGATGCTGCCATCCAAACAGAATCTGTTTTTCGAATCGGCTCCGAGTTTTAATTTTATTTTTTGGCCTTTCGTTATTTTTATGTACGTCACTTTTTCATTTTCAATATGCCTTCCACTATCATACACCTCTTTCATAATATCCAACAATTCTGAACCATACTTGGCGCTCACTGCCACCATGTATAACGAGTCATCTCCAATATCTCCATGAGGCAGGATTTCGAAAGTTGGTTCAAATCGAGTTGCGCCTGTAACGAGCCAATAAGCAAATGGCCCATTCACGGATGTGTCATCGATCATTATAGAACCTTTGTAGTTTTGCTCTTGCTCAAGATTTTTCATTGCAGCCATTTTAAATCTTTCTATTCCGAACTTTCTTAACTCTTTGGTATCACTGTCAGCAACGATTGAAGCATGAAAGGCCCATGACAACACGGTCGTAAATACTAAAGGTTCCTTAATTTCGGTTTTCATATCTTGAAGTAAAAAATTCGAGCCTTTTGGGAACGTAGCCTGGTACAAATTGAATGGAATTTTACTGCCAAATAATATATTTGCCACAGCTTTAATTGTACTATCAGCTCCTAGAGAAAGAGATAAACTGTTTCCTGTTCCACAGGGTATTATAATTATATTCAGAGTAGCCTCCTGTTCAGCATTTGGCAAATCGTTAACAAACTCAGAGATAGATGTATCACCACTAAGAAAGATTATGGTTCTTTCCATACTGGGGTCCAAAGATTTAGCAAACTCCTTAACAGAATTCTTATTCTGGGTAACCAAATATCTATGTTTGATACCTAACAATTGAAATAAAGGTTCAATAATTCTCCGGTAAATATCTTGATCTTCATTTCTTCCAATTCCTGATAAAATAGAGTCTATAATTGTGATATCCTTATGTAAGTGTGAAACCTCACTAAGGTTTACAGAAGGAATATTTTCGACAGATTCGTCAATTGAGGAAACATCTAACCGATACTCATTACCTATATCACTTAACGTAACCAAATTCTTGGTATTTTCTATGGTGAATTGTATTTTTGTCATTTATCTAAATTTATGTCTACAATGTAATATTACAAATCAAATTCTTTCAAATTCTTTGATTCTTATCGCTTCAAATTTTTTTTAAAATTTGCGACATTTATATACTAACGATTATAACCATTTCTATTTCTAAAATTTGGTGCTGGGATGAATCCAGATCTACTGCTTGACACATTTCCTTGACTATTTCTGTCATAATTACTGCCTTGGTTATTCTGTCTGTTGTAATTATTATAATTGTTGTAGTTGTTATAATTGTTATAGTTATTACGATTATTGTAATTGTTATAGTTATTGTGGTTATTATAACTGTTGTTCTGATTAGAATAGTTATTAGGATTATTTCTATAATTATTATAGCCACCGCTGTAATTATTATTATTGTAATTATTATATTGATTATTATAATTGGCACCAGCCAGAGCATTCATGGGGAGAACTTGCTGATTTTGCTGATTTTGAGTTTTCAAATTTTGCATGAAAGCTCTATATCCGCCCCTTCTCATAGAGTAGATCAAATAGTCTTCCTTGCCACTTGGTCCCTTATTTACGTATCCACTATTATCATTTGGTGTACGGAATCTATTGTAGCCACCATTTCTTTGATTCCCATAAAGTATCGAATCCCTATCTTCCTGTGTTAATGTTCTAGTATGCGAAATGTATCCATTAATAAGCATTGACTTACCCATCTTTTTAGGAGGCATTTTATAGGAAGATTGGAAAAATTCACTATTATTCAAATCCGGCATATCACCTTCACCTAAAGGAAACTTGGTTATTCCATCAGGGCAAAACGAGTCAATTTTGATGACAGTTCCAGCCAAGCTGGATCTGCTAAATCTGAAAGGTAATTCTTTGATATTTTTATCATATAATTCATTATAAAAATGCTTATAGTTTTTATTTTGGTTTGAAATAAATAAAACTTCATTCTTCAAAGTATTTCTTTCTCTTTCATCGTCTGTTAATAAATGGTATCTCTTTTCTAATGCCTCGAGTAGTCTATTTTCATCAATAAAAGGTAATAATGCTATACCTTGCCAGCTCATTTTTTTACCATTCATGTCAATTTGAAACTCCTCTGGATAAAAATCAAGTATTTCACTACTTGGATCAGACATCAATATTCTAAGCACTTCAGGTAAATTATGTCCAGAAGCTGCTGGCAATACTGACATTAATTGCTCATACGGTTTAAATGGTTCGCCAAGGGTGAATTTGATACCTTGATCACCAATAACATCATTTATATTTATAAAATCCGCTGCAAAAGGGGCATAATGGTATGGATAATACCATTGCCATGAGGGGCATCCTTGGTAATAGTATAATAATACCCATGAAATACCTTCTAGGTAACAGCGCACCATATCGCGACGAATTTTGTTGATTTCTTCCTCTGATACTACACCAAATTTACTCTGATAATACCGCTGGCGGTATCCTGGTTCCCACATTCTGACAGAATCGCCATTCTCGTCTGGAGTAGGCAACTCTGATTCAACTTGATCAATAGGTCTCTTCTTTGAATTCTCTAAAACATTAGTTTCCATCTTATTCTGTTGTTCTTGGATTGCAGCAGAAGCACTCACATCTTGGTCTGATTCTTTGTTATTTTTAGAATCAAGCAATTTCTTTAAAGCAGCAGCAGCATCAGCATTAGACATATTCGCCTTGGTAATAACATCTCTATTCGCTACGATATCTTTATTCGATAATTGAGCATAACCTTCAACGGCATCACCACTAGTAGATAGTAATGGCATGTTAACATCCGCAGTTAATGGTGCCTTGTCGCTACCTTTTGAGACCTGGGGTATATATTGGTTCTTCAAAGCTTTCTCCTCTTCTTGTGCAAGTTTACGTCTTTTGTCATTCTCTTCTCTTCTTTTTTCCCCTTCGTGTCTTTTTCTAAAGATTTCGTCTTCTTTATACGATAAGTTAGAAAGCAATTTTTCAACACTTTCCAAATTAAGGTTACCGTCACAAGTTATATAATCTCTTAGCTTCGGTAACATTCTTTTCCAGCAATTTACAAGTATATCAATACCGTTATCCCTGACATCTAAACTTGGTAAATGAGGTAAGAAATCATTACCTACGAAGAAACACATAAACACCCAATCATCAATTGCTCGTTCTAAATCAAACGGAAAGGACAAATGTGGGTTGTATAGTTCAATTTCCAAATATTCCCTTAAAACATTAACATGTAACCATAAGAAGGGCTTTTTTGCATCCTGCTCAGCTATAGAATCTTTTTGTTCTTGCGTCATCAGTATCTGATCAGATATCCTCATTTGCCTTGATTGGTTGGCGAAAACGTCCTCTCTTAAAACCCTAAAATGTGGCTCATGCGTTGCCAATCCCAAGAAAATCAAATCGGCATCTAAACCATAGATACAGTGCTTCGTATTCGGATCATATTCTGGATCCAGCCTTTGCAGTCTTATGAAACTCATAAGTTTGTGCTCACCTTCACCAGGAACGGTTGCATCACTAATAATAACTTGCAAATTTGCCCAGCCTGGATCTGTTGCTAATTTATATGCCACCCAGTATCTCAAAGCCTGTGCTAACCTATCCATAAATGGTGTACCGGGAGTAATAGCATTAGAATCCCACGATTTCTTACCCTTGATTGCATCGTCAATCAGTTCACCCCTCGCTTCACGCTCCCTGATTTGACGTTCCTTTTCCTCATGTGCAATTTTAGCATCTTGTGCCGACCTGAATCTTCTTGATCTCTGCTGATTCATTTTGGCTCTAGGTGCAACCCCATCAACAGCGATCATTAAAACTTTTCGAGGCCTTGCCATTAACAACACTCTATCAGTATATTTGAAAACATCCAAAAACATTTCATCCTCTGTCTCTGGAGGAGGCTTGTGTTCAGGATGGGAACACGGATGAACGATACCATTCATATCTAAATATAAATTGTCTAGCTCACCATTTGGATTTGGATCGCTATATTGAGCTGCACCAATTTCTTGTGTAGCATCTTCTTCCACAACTGGAGATATAATCTTTGGATATTTACGAGATAGCCATCTAAATAATGCTGGAACACCCATATTATTATTGTTGGCTTATTATAGTAAAAGATATTAGAACACTAATGGACTAATACTTCTCTTCAGTAGATGAGTATTTTTTTTAGAAATTGTTCTAACTTGTATGCAGTATCGATATAAGAGAAAGAACTGCAAAAATTTCGAAAGTTCCATTTAATACTTCTATCTATATACGTTTATATGGGTACTATAGTCTATTTACTCTTGTCTCTTGATTTGAACCAGTTCTGGATCATTCACAGATAAATCATCAGAATTATAAAGGATGATACCATTATCTTTAGCGTGTTTTCTCTCAGTTTTTTTGTAAAAATACAATACAACCATCGTCCACAAGCATAACAGAAAGGCGCAGCATGCAGTAAAGGTATAACCTTTCAAATACCTTGGGGCTTCTACTGTCTTCCAGACAATAACAGACATCCAAGCTGTGGATGCCTGGGCAAGCATATTCATGGTAACCAAAATAACAGCCCTCTTTCTTGCGTCTCTACGACATATATCATTCTGCCATGAATATAACACAGGAGCCATTGCCCAGCCAAAATATTGTAAGCACCATGCAAACCATTTAGATCTTTCCGGTACATCCCAGACAGCAAGGATAACATTACCAGTGACATTAAAAACCTGCGAAAATATTATTGCCAGCCAACGACTGTGGAACAAATCAGCATAGCAACATGTCAAGAGAAGCCATATAAGACCCAATCCTGGAGTTAAAGCTGTCATACGTTGTTTAGTCCCTTCTCCGTACCTATGCAAAGACTCTAACCATAACGCATACGCACCAGAACTCCCGTTATTGTTGTTCCAACAAAACATATTCCACAAACTTAATACATAGATTTCCCAAGATGAAAGAATCGATTTCCAAAGTTTTAAATCGAATAAATCAGACACTCTTTTCTTTGGGTTCGTTTCTGTCTTATTTACCTTCAAACGACTTCTAGCTAATCTAATCTCATCGTCAGTTAAAAAGATAGAATAACACTGAGAAGGTGTACCAGGAAGTACATAAAAACCAATTACTCCAACTGCAACAGATACTATACCATCAACGATGAAAATCCATTGCCATGCATCTAATCCATTTTTACCCTGAAGCGAATCCTCAATGGCACCAGATAACAAACCAGAAGTTAGAAGCCCTAAGTATTGTCCAAAATAATAAACCATAGATCTTCTAGCAATTTCATCAACTTTGTACCATGAACCAAATAAATATTGGTAAGCTAAGTAAGAAGGTGCTTCAAATGCCCCAATAAAGAACCTCATAGCTTTCAATCCTTTAACATTACCAGAGCGGAATAGGCAAACTGTCAAAATGGACCAGCAGATATCTAATGAGGGTAATACAAAATTCAAAGGGGCAGCATATAACAAATACATAAAAGGAATTTGAAACACAATGTTACCCACACTGAACATTACTTGAGTATTAACCAAGTCATTTCCTTCCATACCAAGTCCTTCTTTCATTCCACCAATATAGGCATTATTAAGATTGGTCTGATCCAAATATTTGACCCAGTAAGCCATTAATGAGTAGAATGTCAATAATATGTCAAGTTTCAAAATCAATTTTCGTTCAGCCGGTGTGTCTGTTTCATTGAACCACTTATACCACTTATGTTTGGAACGACCTTTCTTATTGATTCTATATTCATATTCATCAAAAAATTTCCACCATTTACGATTTTTCTCATCACGATATTCTAATTCTACTTCTTGATCATTTGTGTCTAAGCTTTTTTCCGAATTACTATCTAATGATTGGGACTTTTTCTCGTTAGTTTCGCCGTCCTCTTTGACAACAATTATATCATCGATACTGTTGTCTTTAGAATCTTCGAAATCTTCCACTATTCTCTTCCTGGGTATAAATCCCCATTTAAGCCTCTTCACAGGGCTGACGATAAAGCTCATTTGCGTCTCTTAAATTTTGAAAGACTTTGAAAAAATTTGAACTAATTTCAGTTTTCTACAAAAAAGTTCTTCAACTAGAGAATGTCTAGATATCTTTTCCAAGGATGCATTAAGGTTTGTTGAGCCATAACGGCCCTTTTATATAAGGTATGGCGTCTGACTGATTTATTTGCAACTGGCCGCCCCGAGATAATGCAAAAATGTGATTTCACGTGATATGTACGGCAAAAATTAAATATCTAATAAAGTACTATATACAAGTTAAAAAATATCGGCCGTTAGGCTGCATGCACTAACTTACCATGAAGCTGACATTGGTATAAAAGTCTAACATTGGATTTTCTCCTTTCTTAGTACTTGTAATATCAGTGTCAGCCCAATGTTCTAAGAAATCGCGATGCAGTTCGACTCTTGGAACTTTACCAGTAACCTGCTTGTATAAATCACTAGCCACCCCAAAGTCAGTAGGAAACATTATATCAAAATAGCCTTGATAGCACATGTAGGTAGTTACATCGACCATTTTATCTTGAATAACGGTTTGAACTACTGGTGCATTGTAGTATCCATTGATGGAATTAGGTAAAAAGTGAAAATCAGAGCAGATTAATGAATGCTGAGGAAATTTATGCTTCAAGATCTGAAAGAAGTGCAACAATTTCGTTGGAATGAATTCTCCGGGTGTTAGATTATCTTTGAAAGGTAAAAGGTAGTTCATCGTTCTTAACTTTTGGGATGAATGGTAAAGTGGATGAATTCTGTCCTTATTGGTTACAAATGGAACCATACTTTTGGCCGTCTCTACTTTGCCCAGAATAGTATCAGAATGTTTCAACACCGGATATTGTCCATTTTCACGTAATTGCAAAAACGCATTTGAGTAGTAACTTAGTTCTGGGGTAAAAAATTCGTAAAAATCACCATGTTCATCAACCAACACATGGCCTTCGTACGGTTCACCTGTAACATTATCATATCTGATTAAATCGTGAGCAAAATTGTCAAACACTTCCAATGCTATGAAAAAACAAGGATCATCTACTATTCTATCCCAATTGAAGATTGATTTATTGATTATTTCCAACTTCAGAGAATCTAACCCCTGCAGTATCAATTTCGCCTTCAATGCACTAGATAATTGTTTTTCAGCTAACTGACTCAGAATTTCAATAATTTTATATTGGGTTCTAGCATAGACATCCGGTTGGTTCTCTTTAATGTAGTTGAGAATGTTACACATAAGGGTACCATTTCCTCCCCCCATTTCATAAATTATTAAATCATTATATGGATAATACCCATTCAACTTATAGTTGACTAATAAGTAGCGAGCCAAAGCTTCACCATAATAGGGCTGAAATAATTCAGTTGGAGTATGCCATAATTGCAACGATCTTTTGGTCTTTGAAAATTGGCCAGTCTGAACTAATTCAGTTTCCTTCTGGTAAAGTTGTTTGGCTCTACGAGCAAGTTTCGAGTCGGTCTCTTTTAAAACTTGATTTTGTTTCGTTATATCGTTAAGCTTTTGTTTGGCTTGAAAAGCTTTCGGGTTCATTTCATCATATTTTGAATAAGCCTTTTGCCAGTTATCCATGAAGTCATCAACATCAGAAATATTATTATAATCGAATGGCTTATCAGGGTGGAAAATTTCTACTTCTTGTGAAAAGTAGCCATAGTTTGGGTTATAAAGTGAATCGTCGATAAAATCGGAAGTTAGCATTTTAATCTTTTTTGGGCGATGTAAACGTCTAGATAGTTTAGCTGAATTAGTAAGCGGATATTCATTAAATACTTCTTGTGGTGAACGTTCATTGAATGGGTAATTAGTGGAGTTTCTATAGATAAAGTCGACGACATTAAATCCATTCTTGGAGTTGTTCTTTTGTAATGGGTGTACTTTTCTATCCACTATGTTTGAAGCTTTTTCCTTGTTAATTTCTACTACTGATCTCGATCTCTCGTTGGCTCCTGATACCTTGAATGCAAAAGTATCTGGCCGTATTGAATACTCGTGGTGAAAGCCTTCCTTCTCATCGAAGTTAGCTATTTTCTTAGGCTCTCGGAACTTTTTAAAAAGCGTCCTATTAAATATTTTGAAAGTAGACTTGTAGCTTTTACAAGCTGGTTGTCTCCCAACTGCTATTACTTGCTGCATTGCCTATAGTCTAAATCAAGCTCTTCTATGAAGAAAATGAACAGAATCAAAAAGTACGTTTAAAAAAATTACACAAAGATTGAAACACGGTTGATCTCTTTATATCTGTTATAACACCTATATAATACATCTAGGAATTATGCTTCAGTAAACATCACATCCTCCTTACCGTCAAACTCGTCCATACACTCTATTATAGTTTTTAAATTATCAATAACACTGCTAATAGCAACTCTTATTACCCTATCACTTGTACCACTAAATTCACATATCAAATTTTTATCAGAACTTTTGCAGGAAACATATAGTTCCGTTGATCTTAAAATTAGGTCTGGTGATAAACTATTACATGCAATCAGTGCTTGTTTCTCATTTTCAAAGGGTATATTTATTGTTACTTGGTGTGATAATTTTCTATCGACGGTTGTCTGTGTAGTCATTTGTGGATGTTTTCGATATTATGGTGATTTTAATTTCCAATTCGTAAAAGAACTTATATTATGTGCTATTTATATTTATACTTTAAAAGTACTTTGGGATATTTGGTTGTTGTTTTAGTACCAGGTTTAATGATTGCATCTAATACTTCAAAAATACATAATAAAATACACTCATCTCTATACGCAGTATGCGATGAACGAATTCATTAAAGCATTAAATATTCAACTACATTTAATATTGGTTAGACTACTAGCACACATACGTAATTACTTGATTCAACATATATTATTAGAGTTATCGATTTAAATAATAAAGAATATTGAATGTGAATTACTTCCTGAGTGTATATAATTTGGGAATGGTCTATAATACACTAGAATTAGTATATAAAGAAATGGTATATAATAGGATCGACATTAGACAGTATAACTAGTAGGCTCCTCTTCCTCTAGATTCTTGATTCGCTTCTTCATTTTGAATTGTTTCGTCCACTGATAACAATAATATAGCAGCTTCAGTGGCAGATTGAATAGAATTGATCTTAACCAACGATGGTTCCCAAATAAAGCTCTTCATATTATTTCCAACCGATTCCTTTTGGAAATCAATACCATACGAATTTTCTCCTTTCGCATGAGCACTTCTTAATTTATTTAAAAGCTCAATACCATCAAGACCTGCATTTTCACATAACTGTCTTGGAATGACTTCTAATGCTTTAGCAAATGCTGCTATAATTAATTGCTGTTTACCTGCTACTGTCTTAGCATAATCTCTTAAATGTTTTGAGACTTCCATTTCAATAGCACCACCACCAGCAACAACTGAATTGTGAGTGACTGCTCTTTTAACAATCATTATAGCATCATGTAATGATCTTTCAACTTCAGCAATAACTTGCTCTGCACCTCCTCTTAAAATCAATGTACAAGTCTTGGTTTGAGGACACCCCTTGAATACGTTATATCTGTCTGAACCTATTTGAACTTCCTCGAAATCTTCACAAGTACCTAAGTCCTGTTCGTCGATATTAGAACATGTTGATTGAATTCTACCACCCACTGCTTTAATTACTCTATCCATATCTTCAGCTGCAACTCTACCAGCACAGAAAATATTTCTATCAGCGAAAAATTGAGTGGCTAAATCACCAATAGGTAATTTCGACAAAACAATGTTTGCACCAGTGTCCTTAATTGCTTCTAATTTAGAGAAAATAATCTTCCATTCTGCGTCCACAATATCTTGATAATCTTGAACTTGTTCAACTCTCACTTCAGCATTATCCTTTTCTGCCTTCAATTCTAATTCAACATTTAAATTTAAAATTTTAGGATTGGAAAATTTTTTTGGTTGTTGCTCAAATCCAGCATAAGAAAAAGTCTTTTTGAAAGCAACACCGTCAATGAATAAAGAGTCTTCCATACCACCACCTGGGACTTTCTTAATTCCTATTAATTTTTCATCTAAGTCATTTGGGTCTAAACTTAACACAGAATCAACTACCATTTTAGTGAAAAACTCAGAATTCTTACTTATAAGTTTGGATGACATTGCAGTTGTAGCACATCTTTCAAGTAAGTGGCGAAATTCGACTTCGTCATCTTTTTTGATTTCTAACGCTACTTCTTTGACCTTTGCAACAGCAAGTTCACTTGCTTTTCTTAATCCTTTAGTGATAAGATGAGATGAAATTCCATCTTCAATGAATGTTTTGCTTTCTTTCAAAAGTTCACCTGCTAATATAGTAACTGAAGTTGTACCATCACCAACTTCCGCATCTTGGGCACGAGAAATGTCAACTAACATTTTAGCTGCTGGATGAACGATATCCAACAACTTTAAAATGGTAGCACCATCATTGGAAATAGTGGTCTTTCCATTAGATGAGACAATTAAAATATCGGATCCAAATGGACCTAATGTTGGTTTCAAAGTTTCTTGGATGGCTAAACACGCATTAATATTGTTAATGATTTGACCCTTACCCTGAGACAGATCTGTTCCTTCCTTCAAAACAACGATTGTCGGTGTTTGTGTGGAAAATGACATTATTATATTGATTTATCAATGTCTTTTGACTTGGATATGATGTTTCTAATGTCCTTTTTAACAAATTTGTTAGATCAAATAAATTTATTGTTGAAGAAAATGACAGGTGCACTACTCTGAAAATTATGGAAAAAATCTACAAGTAGAAAATAGAATATACATGTACGTCTACGAAAAGTACACACTTACATATTACAAATGTTTAATAGAAGTAGTATTAAGAACGGGATCGTTCCTGTTTCTAAGTCATTTCAAAGAAATGTTGCCATGAAAGGTGATGTCCATTTATCCAATAGAAGAGTAATGAGAAAGATTAGGCTCGGTAAAGCAAGACCTGCGATTTTCCACCAATTTGAAACATTGGTAGAGCTTAGTGACGGCTCAGTTATTAAAAGAAGATCTCAAGCACCTAAAGATGAAATAAGAATGATTAACGATCAAAGAAATAGTACATTATGGAACCCACACAGATCCGATTTGGCCAGCATCAATCCGAATGCTACAGGTAAAGTTAACAAATTCAAACAAAGATTTGCTTCGTTTGAGCAAAAAGAGGAACAAGACGCGGCTGGTATACAATCTGAAAGTGTTGTTGATGGCGAGAACAATCAGGCAAAAACAAAGCATGATGATTATATTGAATTAATGGGCCATAATGTAGAAGAGGTTAAGGGCGGAAAGTTGTTAGACAAGAAGTCAAATAAGAAAAAGAAATGATCTTTTGATTAAATTATAAATATGCCTGTAAATATATTGTATAAACGCTAATTGCATTTATTAAAAGTAATCAATGCTGGAAGGAAAAAGGTAAGTTCTCCTCTTGTAGTACATCCCTATAGAACTCGGGATCTCGTGTAAATATTACACTTAGTATATCTTCTAGTAATACACCAGAAAACCTTAGCTCTTCTATACACCATCTCAATGTGTTTAAATCGTAATCTTTTATGGCTTGATTTGAAATAATCCACAAACATTCTAATCTAGCACTCCCGTCCAAGGATAGTAAATGCAGAAATCCCTTAGGAAAAGAATACTGCTCTAGATTTAATTCATTCCTATTATCATGGAAAAGAGAAATACCTTCATGTGAATTTCGGCTAAGGTGCGTGAATAGACTTCGACTAACTCGATTGTTTATATTTTCTGAGACATAGTCAAAAAAAGCTGCTGTCAATAAGCTAAAACATTTATCACCATTACCTAATTTTTGATAGCGGATTGATAAATCTTCAAGGAATGCTTCCTTATCTTTACTCGAAGTTCGGATAAGGTATTTAAAAATACTAATATACCCCAATTTTGAGATTTCTATATCAGTCGATTTGAGCATATTAATACATTCAGTTATTTTTTGCTGTTTTATTAATTTCTTGATGATGGAATCAAAGTCTAAGAAATTAATCCCATTTTCCGACTTAAATATAAACAGTAAAATCTTCTCTGCTCCAGATTCATTATTTTGCAGCAAAAAAGCTTCAAATAACAGCGATAATGTCAGTCGTCTTAATGGTGGCTTTAATTGCTTTACCAAGTTTTCAAAAGTTCCAGTATGTTTGGTATGGGTACCGACGAACCTCAAAATGCAATCTTGTAAATCTGGATTACTGCCAAGATCTATTGATAAATTTTCACTTACCAATCTTCCAGCCGCTTCCTCATCTACCTCTATAAGTTTCTCTATTAGCATACTTAAAACTGTTGTATGCTCAGTAGAAAGTACTTTTATGGCCTTTATTGAGTTCCATATTTTTTCTGCTCTCGTTATTTCGCCATGTTCTATATTTTTCTGTATCATTTTGATGGCGGCTTCGAGGAAAGTTTTTAAATCTTCATCCAGTTGTTTATCAAGCAGTGAACTTTGTAAAATTTTATCATAAAGTATATTTGCAAAAAAAGGCTGCTGCTTTCCTTCTGCCAAATAAAGTAGTAAATCACACATGTCTGATAATGTTATATGACTTGTAGGGAATTCATTTAAGATCTTAATAATTGTGTATGAATTGTAGATGTAGTTGGTAGTCGTATCAATTGCTAGTGACCGAAGGAGCAGACGAATGGTTTCGTTGTTCAAAGGAATACTAGAAGCTTTGAATTCCAATGCAAATGAAGATGCTAGCAAATGCTCACCAGAGTTAAGAGCCTGATTAACTAACAATTGTGCTAGTGCATTTCTCAATTCGATTTTTGTTATTTGTCCACTATGGGTAGTTATATGCATAAAATTATCTTCTACAGAAGCTGAAACTATACCACATTCTAACATCTTTTCGAACGATTTAATGATAATCTCAAAGTTCCCTGCTAATAGAAGACGATTGAGATCATCTAAAAGAAGTGCTTTTATCGAGTTAGAAAATGAATAATTAACAAATAGAAACGTTATCATATCTTTATTTATCCTTGGGTATTGTAAAAGGTCGTCTAAGAGACTAGCCTTGCTTTGGATATAAAGATCACGGCATTCATTAGCAGCATACCTAAACCTTCTTGTCCTACCGCTTAGTATCTGATAAACTTTAGATAATCGTTCAAATATAGATGCATTTATTTCATTCTCATCCTTCATGTCATTTATGCTGTATATTTCAGGTACTTTAGTATTAATTTTGGCAGATACATTTGAATATCGCCGGAATGAAGTCGCTCGATGCGCCTGTACACCAAGACTTATATATCTATAACATCGAAGCATGATGCAATTCATGGCATCTTCAAGTAATTATTATCAACAGATTTTTTAAATGTATACTCGCTCACGTGAAAGTTCACTCCAACTTGGATTTACTGTCATAACGTCAATTTATGCATTTATATTATATAATTACACAATCACCTAAACTTAAGCCATACATAACTTTCTCAACATCCCTCTTAATTAATGGCCAATCTTGTCTCCTTTGTACAAATTCATAAATTTCTTCCTGTCCAAATATACCGTTGAATTTTGAAAGATCACTAACCAATTTGCCGATAGATTTAGATTCATTACCTCCTATTAAGTATATACTGCCAACTTTCTTAAGTGACTGAAATAAAGGTAAAACCATTCTCTTATTTGTCTTGATATGATTAACGATAAAATCGTAATATAGATTCAAGTCAGATATAAGGTTTATTGCCCCCGATACTGATATGGTACTCCTCTTTAAAGTTTTAACTAGTAATTGAAAAAATCGCTCAGCAATTTCTTGTTGAAATACTTCAACAATCGATTTATCCGTACTCCCAACAAGTAAGTCAATATTGTTATCCAATATCTTGACAACTTTTTTTGCGGCCTCAGTGGGTCCATCCATCACTGCTGGAGTATCGGATGATGGATTGTAATCAGAATCTTTCAAATATATCTTATAAACATTTTCAATTTCTGTCATTAAAACATCAATTCCTATATTTAAACCATCAGCAACATAATTATCTACTAAACCTTCAAGCTTCTTTTTATTTTGCAAGGCCGGATTCAAAATAGAATTTTCATGCTTCACTATGTGACGATTGAGCATTTCCTCTTTATAGAATATATCTATCATTTGTATAATCATATCGGCCATATTAATCAATTCACAGTATAAAACCAAAGGTTCGATAAACGATTCCGAATTTGAGTCTAGTTCTAGCTCTTTAGGATTATATGTTTTCAAATATTCTAAGGCCTTTTCAAAACCTGGTCTTAAATGTTCATTTCCAGTAGAATCGATAACAGTTATAAACACTTCTTGTGTACTTGCCAAAATATCTTTTTTTAAGGCAACTATTGAGAAATCCCTGAACTTTAGCAATCTGTTGAATGAACCTCTCGCTTCATTTAGAATGTCCATAACCAATTCTAAACTAAATATTTTATTTAACGATTTCAAGTTCTCAGACAATATCTTTGTCTTTGCTTGAATCTCTGAATAATTCTTCTCATCTGATTCACTCTCATCTTTGTTAGACGAAGCATTAATAGTAAATACCTTCTTAAAACTGCTTATGAAATCATTCTTGGTTTCAACTTTAACATGTTTCAAGATACTTTGAGTGGTCTCAGCTTCCCTCCTTGAAAATGAATCCTTCCAATCTTTGATACTCTGACTGGAATTGCCTTTAAATATCTGCAATTCCTCTCGTATATACTCAGCCGCAAATGATTCGTACAGCATGTCGATTAATTCACGAACTAATCTGGGATAGCTAGGGCCCACATTTTCGCATGCTGTTAGTTTTTCTATGAAAGTAGTCGTCAAAATCTGATATAAATAGGGAACCAAAGTTAAATACATTGATTTGGGTTTGGAGGCATCCAATAATGCCATAAATAATTCCATGACCTGATTAGCTATAAGCTCCTCGCAAACTTTATACATCATTGGGATTTCTTGTGGAAATATCTGATCTATAATTCTTGCCTCATTATTGAATATTTTGGCTAAATCTTCGATGAATTTTTCAAATAAGTTAATATTAAGTTCAAATGTGGCAACGTCATCCGAGGAGTTTGTATCTATAAGATTTTCTTTTTCAATAAAGTATTCATTCACATCAAACTCCTCTACATTAAAAAATCTGCAATCTTCATTATCAAATATACTTTTTTGGAGAAAAAAATCAATCAATGTCTGTTCGTTCTTTAAACGGGTTAGGATTTTGACAAATTTGCGAGTTTTAGCAAAGTCTTGAATATCATAATGAATCTCTAATTCTCTTAATAGCGCATTTTCAAATATTTCAAATAATGAGTTGATTTTGTCCTTTATCATTAAGCCCGAATGTTCATCATAATCAATTTTGTTGAGCTTTAATAGATTATCTAATATTTTAGCTTGGTCTTCGGGTGTATGAAAATCTTTAAAAATCTTCAATTTATTGTATGACTTATGAGAGAGTAAATCGCTATAATAAGGGTAGAGACATCGGTATATTTTTCGTACCTGAAGCTTTGCTGCTTTGGGTGACTTCACCACTTTGTCCAAACACGTCAACGGACTATCCAATCCATTCATTTCAACCTTCGATCCACTAGGAATAACCCCTTGGTCCCATACTCCCATCTCTTTTAATTTTGATACCCAAAGATTAGAATCATTGACTGTTTTGAATGTATTTCTTGATACTTGGCCAAACGACAATAAATCCTGAACGGATAAGTATTTCGATATATTTTTAGCGACCAGGACAGGTATCACTTGAGAATTGTAGACGTCTATATCAGAATTCCATATTACTTGTGCCATATCTGAACCATTCACATGTACTGCTTCAGTGATTACTTAGACTGAATATTTATCTTCTAAAAATGTCTCATAGAATGCGAAAATAAAGCTTCGCTTTAGAGACAGAATAAATTTAATTTATATCTAGATAATTACATGTATATAGACCATCTATGTGGTAAGATGTTTAATAACCTAAGGCGATATCGAAGTAGCCGAAGAATTAAAATATGGAATACTGGTGCACCATACAAATGTCATCTTGTATATTTAAGTTCAAATAATGAAAATCATCAAAAAATTAATTTCGAAGACAACGCAAATATAAAACCAAGTTCAATCAAGAATAAAGTATCAGAGTTTTTGATTAACTTAATAAAACAAGAGACCAAACTATTAGCAGATGCGTTAATTATTAGGGAATCTGAGATACCAGAAAATAATAGAGTTACTAATGACGTCGTCTTTGAAGTAGAATACTCCAAGCTAGATACGAAAATAAAAGAAGATATGGAAAGAACAGCAGATACATATAATAAGCTTGTTCTTATACTTACTTATAGCCCTATTGTAATACATCCACTGATTTATATTAATTTTGTCAACCATGTCACAACATCGCTTCAAAACGATACCAAAAAAATGATACTCAGGCGATTAGCATACCACAGAAAATTTGAAGAATGCTGGAAGATTGCCCTTAATAGCATTGAGACTTTAAATGATGTTGATGAATACATAGAAACCATGACTGATGAACTAAAACAAAATAATAATCTTGCATTTGGGATTTTTGAGCTTTTGTCTGCCTGTGATAAAATAGTCTCAAATCCTAGCCTAAAACATACAATAATTGAAACTATATGTCATAGTAATGATCTCGACAAGGATACATTTTTTACAAGTTTGGAATATAAAAATGAACTTGACAACTTTGAGACACTAGATGCATTAGAGAATGCAAAAGCAAAATACTCACGTAGCACTAACCCATATTTTCGCCTTTTGTATTTCAAAAGGAGAATTGAGTTGGCCTTAACAGCTGACACAAATTGCATTAAAAGTGTTCAGGTACAAGCGGCAGTGAAGGATATTCTACAAAATAAGGAAATCGTTGAAAGGCAAGGTTGGATATCTTCTATTTTATCATCCTCGTATGTTGAATGTTTGAATAACGACATTAATTTGATTCAAGATGCATATTCAATATCTGAAAAGCCTGAGAGTTTGTTTTTTGAGCACTTCTTTGAAGAATATTCGAAGTATGGCTATATCCGAGTGAACGACTACGACTTTTTGCATATATTACAATACTTAAAACCAAAACATATAAAAGCTACATATTTGCTTTATAAAATGAGTTTTAATATGAACTCTTCTCAATTGAATTCGCATATAATCAATTATTTAACAAGGATGATACTCACTACTAAGGATGTTGATGTAATGACTACGAATATCGTAGATTCCTACAACTTAATTAATGATGATATATTAACATCCTCTCTAGTTGCCATATTTAAAAATTCAAAAGAGCATTTCAAATTGATAGCAAACAAAATAAAGGGCAGTAAAGGTAATACCAATAAATCGAAGATTCTTGCTGACTTCATAAACAAAATAGCATTCAACAAGGAAGAAAATCAAATTTCGTTCGATTCTTTAATGTATATATTGAAATGCTTTAATAAGTCTGATCTTGCTTCTGAAATCGTCCTTACATTGTTGCCAAAAATGAGAAAGGCAGAAATCGACCAAAATATAAGCATAAGCTTTTACATGTATATCATACAAAATATTCGGGTATCTAGTTATGTTTTAGTTGAAATGGCAAGGAATTTTCTATTAAAAGAAAGAATATTTGATGAAAAGCTCATAACAGAATTTTTATCAACACTCTTGCATAGGGTGTGGAACAAAGAACAAATCATGAAACGCAACAACCGTGAAAAGCAATCTGATGATTTTCAAGAGCTTTTTAAACTTGCAAGTAAAAAAGAAAGGGCTAGGTTTCATAATCGAATCCGTGCCTTAGGTCAAACATTATCATTGTTGGAAACAAAAGAGACTGCTATGGTTTTCAATACACTTTACAAATTCATCTTTAGTAATTCATTTCAGTTTGTTGCTTCCGATTACGGCAAAAAGTATATTGTCGACAGCTTGATAGAGGAAACTATGAGGTTCATAAATAAGGCTAATAAGGAGACACCGAAGGCAGGAATCATTAAGATGCGTGATTTACTTGGAGAGCTTTGCTTTGATTCGCGTTCTGTACAATGTGCGCTTTATAAGTATATGGTAGAGGATGACCCTATGAAGTGCATTAAGCTTCTTCACACATATGAGAACAATAAGTCATATTTAACAAATGATGTCATGAGGTCGATCATGTCAGGAATACTACATTCTCCCAGATTGAACGATAAAGAAAAGCTTCATCTATTCAAGTATTTTAGAACTGAATTACTTAACCTTAATTTCAAAAGTACTATCCACCCAAGCACAGCAGTTGAACTATTGAATCTTGTTATTAGTATCGCGGAAAAGGATCCGATTAAATCAATAGATTCTATGGGATGGGTGTTGGACTTTGCGAACAAGAAAAGAATTCCCAAATCCATCATTGCTAAATTTGCACGAAGATTAAAGCTTCATCAAGATTCGCTCCCACTCTCTATACGAAAAGCAATAATAAATGACCTTGACAAATATAAATGAGTCTTTTATTGATCATAAGCATAATTTGAATACTCAAAATGTATTTACTGTATAATAATGTATATAATGACTAATAGACATAAATAATAGACGATCATGGCCGTAAGATTAGATAAACTCTGTTGAAGCTCTTTTGTCTATTCTATTGACAAGCTTTATTGGCTGCAAAACTTTCTTATTAAATTAATCTTCAATAAATAGATTACCTTTCTATAATTTTTTTTGGCTTATTATTTTATTATCTTGAATCATTTGAAGTCCTATTCTAATATTTCAATAAGGAGACTATACATATGAAGGAACTGTCATTACCTTTCGTACATTCATTGAACCATATAGTTCTATCTGATCACGTGGCTCGTATTTTTCAGCCAACTGAACCAGGTAAATTATTAATACTCTTACAAACCTTCATTGAAATAGTAAATAATACTCGACTATGAGTTTTCGAACCGTTAATAGAATACTTGGAGCGGTGGAGAAAACAGAAGGTTTAGGAGTCAAGATTCGTCGCTCCATTGGAAATTTGCCTTTGAAAAAGTTCAACCCATTTTTATTATTCGATCATTTTGAAGCAGGTAAAGGTTCAGGTTTCGAACCTCATCCTCATCTAGGGCATGAGACCATTACTTTAGTATTAAATGGTTCAATTGTTCATGAAGACTTTACGGGTTCAAAAGGTCAAATATTCCCGGGTGATTTACAGTTTATGACCGCTGGGAGAGGAATAGTTCATACAGAAATGCCGGTTCAAACGGATGAATCGCTCGCTGCGGGAATTCAGGTATGGGTTGACTTACCTGAGAAATTGAAGGAATCAAAACCTCGTTATCGTGACTTGAGAAGTAATGAAATTCCAGAAGCTGTAGAACAAGATGGAAAACTACGCATTAAAATCATTTCGGGGGACTATGCTGGTATTGGATCTTTGAAGGAGTTGGCATATACCCCTATTCATTATTACCATGTAACTATGAAGCCAGGTGCTAGCTTAGTCCAAAAAGTACCCAAGGACTTTAATTTCTTCTTATATATAATCAGGGGCAATAATTTAATAATCAACAATGAATACCCTGTCAAGGAATATGATACATGTCTCTTTAACAGAGATGGTGATGAAATCAGTTGCAAGAATGTTTCTAGCGGTGACGGAAATGAAGGTATAACCGAATTTGTTTTAATAGGTGGAAAAACTCTTGATCAGAAGGTGAATCGATTTGGTACATTTGTCGCAACTTCTCAATCTAGAGTAAAAGAAGGGTTGGAAGATTATTCTCATGCTCGTAATGGTTTTGAAAATTTGAAAACCTGGAAAAGTTCAATTAGTAACAATCCATCAAAAAACACGAAAGAGAGCTAATAATGCCGGCAATTATAAGCATTTAGATTCAGACGCGTCTTCAGTCCATAAATATTGTCTTGTTTTGCAATTGTAGATAACGGCCTTATGTTCAGCACAATACTTGATCAGCAAATGGGCCATCTTGAAGAGTTACTTAGGCCAGTACTTTCGCAACTAATTAAGTATTGAGTAAGATTTAGCAACTCAATTAAAAACTGCATAGATTCTACGATGGTAAATGAGTTTATGGGTATTTCGGTCATTTATTATTATATAGATTATTTACAACGATAGAATCATTCTCACACAGTACCGACATAATAGATATCCTCAACTGCATTTTCATTATTTCTAGAAGAAAACGTCCAACTCTCATTTTTAACTGTGCTAGTACATGGAAATGAAAACGCTTTTAACTCTAAACCCAAGGCCTTGAAAAGCCAATCCACAAAATCTTGGTTGATGGCCTGTGAATTATATTCTATAGCATATCTATTCCATATTGCCTTGTTAGGCTCATTTTTCCATAACTTTCCGAGTAATGATGAAAGCTCCCTTTGGTGCTCAACATTAGAAATGGATCTACTATAAAAAGATCTGAATGCCATAAAACCATTTAGACACCTCGCTTTTTTACATTTAGTCCTATTCTTCCTTACCGGTATCTTTATATCAAATATCTGAGACTCCCAGAACGTATCTCCGGAGAAGTTCCCTGTCGCTTGTTTGAACCTGACTAAAATCTCTTGAAGGTCTAGTGATGGAATTGGCAAAGACGGAAGCTCTGTGAAAAAAACCACCTGCATCGACTTTACCTTTTTTTGTCGTCTCATATTTATAGTCTCATTTTTTACATTACTGTTACTTCTCTTCCCTGTCTTAGAGACGCTAAACCTTGATGTAAACCTTTTAGGAATAACCTTTGCTACGTCACTTGTCATATTTCACAATTCGTGGTCGGTTGTTATCACAATATACGTATTTGTTCAAAAGAATAATATAATAACATAATAAAATCCTTGCAACGGAAAACACATCTTTACTACCATTGAGTTCATTACCCTGTGACAGGAATCTACCACATTTCGTTTCATCATCATTATTTCTGGTCCCCACATATTTTGTTTCAGAACGAAGTACAGTGCATATCTCATTTATCGCACCCATTGCACCAATACATACTACAGGCCTGAAGTTTGCAACCTTAACTCTTTGGCACACGAGCTCTTGCCCTCAATTCTATAAAGTCATCGACTACTATGTAGGGCACTAGAAGCAATTAGGGCAAGTAGCAGCCATAAAGGCAACCTGCGAATAAAACTTGGCTTCGTCAACCAGCCACCTTCTTTGGAGTTGTGTATTCAGTCATTATTACAACGTATTATCAGAAAAAAGGGCTAATCACTGAATATGATAGCCAGCCATTTTTTTTACCACATTACTAATTCTGGAATATATACTCTCAAATTTGCAAAGAGTTCAACAATAATTATATTAAAGAACCATTTTTGCGAATTTACTCATATATATAGTTTCAATTTAAAAGTATTAAGAAAGAAAAGTATGGCTTATAACATAGATAGGATGTAAGAAATATACATCTATCTGGGTATCAAGGGTAAAGAATATATTCCCAATTGAGAAGCGACAATGACAAACAATACTGTTGTCAGGTACCACAAAATTATGGTAATTAGTTGCAACTCCAAAATTTCAATCCACTCGGAGAAAGCATACATTATAATATTAGTCTACTATTACAAAAGTTTAAAGAATTAAGTTGTTGGTCATTTCTCTGTAGTTATTGACTCGTAGTACATCAATGATTATTACTTAATTATTATAAAGCATAAATATATTTGGTTGGTTGTTAATCGACAAGTTATACACACATAAGGATACATAGACAGTGACAAATACTTCGTATTATTCGTATTATTAGTAACTTATAGCGACCTAGGTATTATCTTGAAATATTTCTTCTATTTGTGAACTAAAACTGTTAGTACTTAGCATGTTGATATGGTCTCTCATACATACCCATGCACCAACTTGGGTTGGACTTAATCCGCACTTTTTTGCAATAATGTGTCGCTCTTTGCTCGTAGGATATGAATTAGCCTTGAAAGCATCCTCTAGGAATCTACTTGACGATTCTGAGTCATATATGGGACTTCTCTTCTTGTTTGGGAACACATTCGTATTATGCGGAACCTCACGGCCAAACCTAGAAGCTTTTGGTTGTTGCTGAAAATGAGAATCTGTGATTTCACAGGTCACTGAAATCGATGCTTCTTCCAAGAGAAACCCATGAGAATAACCTTCTTCTTTTAATAATTGGTATCTATCTATTCCGTTGCCATCACTGGATATGTTCTCGTACTCATTTTTAACATTTAGAGTTAGGTTGTTACCGACGCTGTTTTTAGGCTACATTGTTAGTCCCTGTAATGCTCTCCTAATACCATAATACATACCCCTGTAATAATTCCTGATTCCACTCTAGTTGTGTATGCCTTAATGTTCTCGTCCTCTGGGACTTCCATTACTGCATCGTTCAATGTTGTATGTCTCTCCATAATTTATCTGTGGGTAATCAAAAACAGAGATTCATACAAAATGCAATACCACTTTATATTGAGATGTGGAATGTCATAAAGTGGCTGTTATACGTATCGATGGATTCTAGGCATTAGTTTCACATTGAGAGTAAATCTGTAACCTGGTGTATTGTTTCTATGGTACCAGAGGTTACAATGGTTGCAATTCACAACTTTCGCGATTACAGACAGTATTATATTGAGAGATATAACATAAATGCTGGTTTATCTATTTAAAGAATTACACTAATGAGTTTTTCAGCCTATTTATTAGTTAAAGCGAATTGAAAAACATATCTTCAGTGACAATTCCAAAATTAGTAGTAATGGTACATTGATTAATCCTGAAGGCATCCTGGAGTTTTTCTAGCTTTTTCGAGTGATCTTTAATAGTCAAAATGGTCTTTCTCTTCTCTTTAAAATTTTTGTGTATTCGAAACTTAGCCGAATTGGAGTAATCGTAAATCGAAGATTTCTTTTGCTTATGCTTATTATAGCAACTAGCGCACAAATTTTCATAGGGTATCGAACTTAGTCTTATGCTGACTGATGCAGGTGCGGTTGCTTGTAACGTTGAGTTGCCATAACTCAGCATTAATTTGTCATACCAATAAGTTTCCAAAAGGGAGAGGTATTCAAAGTAGTCATGCAACGACTTGTTACTTTCCTTCCATATCTGTGTTGTTAGTAGGGGAAAAATTTTATGTTTTAAATGATGTGACCATCAATATTTCTGTAAATACGTACCAATGAAACAACTTTTGATATCTCTGTACTACTCAATGCTCTTTCATGCTTTACTAATCGGCATAGTAGATTTCTTGCGATAATGAATTTGTTCCTTGTTCGAAAGCTCCCTCTGGTAATAGCTGCCTTCTTACCTTTTGCAGCAGGTTTTTTTGAAGATTCAATATATTTCTCACTTATAAACAGTACATACTGCTTAATATTTATGGAAATAGATGGGTACGAATTAGTTGTAGTCAATTCTTTTATCCTGAAAGATTTTTTCGTAAAAGGATTTGACTCGACGGGTATATCTATTTTCCGAGGAAGTTTGAAGCAAAATGTGAAGGTATTCTCAATAGATGATGACATGATATTAATATTATTGTCTACCTATATATTATAGGTTTTTTAAAATGCAAATTATAGCTTTTTAGTGAATCTTGAGCCATCTTATCTAGAAAACATAACGTATATGTGATAGCGCACGAACCGTTCTAGCCTGAATGACGAGTTCTGTCTTTTTACTGTCGGAGACGTAGTCAAGCAGCAAAATCTAAAACTATAAGGTTTGAGTTGTCTCAATAATTACGCGACAATGGGGATAGCTCTTTGAAAATATAAATTTTAAGGGTCCTAGTTTCTCACTATGCAACGGACAGCCATATAGCCCCATTGATTCATAAAAATTATGGTTTTCTACATGATATCGGTCTCGATCCCTTCATTTCGTTATGTCATTCGGATCATTTACCTTTTTTTATGCTCATAATGATCCCCTATGAAACACTTCTCTTGAACTTTTCTTGATTTTTTTATAAAATTAGCACCCCTCCAAGAATTCAATGAATCTGGTTAACAAATTCAAAAAATTATTAATTCAATTCCAATATGAATTACGATAATCTAAGAGATTCGTAGTTTCGTCCCAATGAGATCATTTAATTTTATCACAGGTCATCAAGGATTTATTGGAAGTATAACAGTACAACACACAGGGGGACAAAGCAAATGAAATATCTCATATTAGCATTTTTTCACAATTTCACATAGAATATTGAGTACATCAGAGCCATCAAATTATTATCTGAAAACTTTGAAAGCGTTAATTTCAAGACTACTCTAAAGATTCACCTACTATTGAATGAAAAAAATAATAATATCATAATTGATTCTAACGTTCTATTTCCCTAATTCAGATTATTGTATATCTTTTCTCACGAAAATCTAGCCTTCCAATAAGCTCTAGGATAACTAGATGGCTCCTTAATTAAGTTGCAATCTAGTGATATATTAATAATCACGTGATGTATGAAATAATAGAGATATTAAGTTATGGATAGGTCTAGCACTGTAATACAGACAGATCAAGAACAAGTCTTCTTGACCTTTCTGTCAAATAAGATATCATATCCAATGGATATGGAAACCAATACACTTTTCTCATAAACTTAGCGAAAAATGAAAGAAAAGCTTTTATCATTTGTAGGTTGGGTACAACCATTAAAAGCTAGAAAGCTACAGATACTGTAGAATATTCAAAACTCTTCATTTTCTATAAAAACCAAGATATTAAATTATGAAATACCTCTTTCTATCTAGAAGGATTGAATCAGCTTGGAATCTGCAAATATCTTCAGAGAAAAATTATTTGTTGTCCTGCATACATCTTTGTTGATAAAATCAAGACTTATCGTTTACATTTAGAACCAAAACATCAACAACGAATAGTCTACGACGAAGGAAAAGTAAATATACAGGTATAGCGAGTATGTCTACAGAGGACGATGGGTTCAACTCGAAAAACTGGGTCTGGGTTCCAGATGACAATAATTTTTTCTCTAAGGGATATATAACCGACTACTTACAAGACGGTAATTGTAAAGTGACGATAATCGATGGAAACCATGAAACGAACAAAATAGTGGAAAGCGATAAGCTAGAAAATTGCAATCCTACGAAGTTTAATAAATGCGATGATATGGCTGAGTTGACACATTTGAACGAGCCATCTGTTGTTTATAATTTATATTTGAGATACAATGATGATTTGATCTACACGTACTCGGGTTTATTCTTAGTTGCGATAAATCCATACAAATCTTTGCCTATTTATGAGAAGAAGGTTTTAAAAAAGTTTCATAATCATGAATATGAAAGGCCTCCTCCTCATATCTTTGCAACTGCTGAAGGTACTTACAGGAATCTTTTGAGTAACCATAAAGATCAGTCGATTCTAGTTACTGGAGAAAGTGGTGCAGGTAAAACCGAAAATACAAAAAAGATTATCCAGTATTTGTCTTCAATCACAAGTATTGACAATACTATGAAGAATAATAACCATACGATTGATATAAAAATACTTCAAGCCAATCCAATCTTAGAGAGTTTCGGTAATGCAAAGACGATCAAAAATAACAACTCATCGAGATTTGGAAAATTTATCAAAATCTACTTTTCTTCCGAAGGGATAATAAATGGTGCAAATATTGATTACTATTTGTTAGAAAAATCGAGAGTTGTTGGCCAATCTGAAGAAGAAAGAAATTACCATATCTTTTACCAATTTATTAAAGGACTTGATAAATCGAAACTAAAGGGTTTTGGATTAAGTGATGATGTAAAAAATTATAACTACTTAAGTGGCTCCAAAACTAATATACCAAACACAGATGATGCTAAAGATTTTAATTTTTTAGTGGATGCATTTAATACCATGGGCTTCACTGATAAAGAAGTAACAAATATATTATCTATACTTGCCATTATATTGCATCTTGGTAATTTAGAATTCAATTCCTGGAAAGCAGAACAGGCTAGCTTTAAGGCTGATGCACCAATCGATATTATTATAGATCTTTTAGGCATATCAAGGCAAGATTTTTTGGATAATATTTTAAGACCCAAGGTTAAAGCAGGTAGAGAGTTTGTTCAGAAATCCAAGAAAGCTCCTGAAGTTAAATATGCTGTTGATGCATTAGCGAAACACTTGTATGAGCGAGTTTTCCAATATATTATTGAAAGGATTAACGATAATTTGAAAAACGAAACACATCAAGGAACCTTGAACTTTATTGGAGTATTAGACATTGCAGGATTTGAAATTTTCAAACAAAATTCATTCGAGCAATTATGCATCAATTATACTAATGAAAAATTACAACAATATTTTAATCACCATTCCTTTATTTTAGAACAGAGTGAGTATTTAAGGGAAGATATACAATGGGAATTTATTGATTTTGGTCAAGACTTACAACCAACAATTGACCTAATTGAAACTAGAAATCCTATGGGTGTTCTTGAAATTTTAAATGAGGAATGTATGGTCCCGAAAGCAAGTGATAAAACATTTATTGAAAAACTTGCTGCAAATTGGGGCAAAGGTCAAAGCAGCAAATTTCAACAAAACAAGCTCAAGAATGGTTTTATTATTCATCATTATGCTGGTAAGGTTGAGTATAATGTTGATAATTGGTTACAGAAGAATAACGATCCTGTTAATGAAAATGTTTTAAAGCTATTACCTTTTTCGGAAAATCAATTTGTGAAAGATTTGTTTATAAATGACGAGCACTTAGTACAGAACAATAGTAATAAGAGGAGGTTAAAGACTACTTCGCAAAAGCATAAAGAACAATTGTCCAGTTTGATGGATCAATTAAGTCGTACAGAACCTCATTTCGTAAGGTGTATTTTACCGAATCTCGAGAAAAAGCCGAACAAATTGGACAAGAATTTAATTTTGCATCAATTGCGATGTAATGGTGTACTAGAAGGAATTCGAATTACTAGAGCTGGTTATCCTAATAGAATGACTTTCGATGATTTTTGCTCAAGATACTCAATTCTTAATAAGAAAGAAGTATTCACCAAAAATACAAAAACAAATAGTGAATTGATCTTAAAACATGTTCATTTAGATGTTGATAGCTATAAAGTGGGTATTACAAAAATTTTCTTCAAAAATGGTATATTAGGCAAACTTGAAGAATTGAGAGATTTAAGTTTAAAAAGTACCTTTACAGATTTGCAAAGCTTAATCAGAGGTAATTCAACAAGAGCTAGTATGAAATCCAAAATTTCGGAGATCCAATCCTCTCAGCTTTTAGCCAGAACATTCAAAACTATGGATGAATCTTTGAATTTAAGTCCATGGATGGATTTATTTATCCACATTAAACCGCTCTTGGAAGATTCTGTGAAGGTTCTTGATACGAAAGAAATGAACGAAAATTTGAAAAGGGCCAATGATAAATTGGAGGATACTCTAAAGTCCAAAGAGAAACTTGAGAGTGAGAATGAAAGGCTTCGAAATCAGATGAATAAACTAGAAAATGAAATTATCGCGACGACTAGCATGGTGAAAGAGAGAGATTCTTTAGTAGAAAAACTCAAAAAGCTTGAACAGGAGGGCATTAAGAACATATCTGAGTTGAAAAACAAAATTGAAAGCACCAAGCAAGAATCTTCAAAGTTATCTAATGATAATTCAGCTATAGAAAAGAAACTTGAAGAATCATATAAGAAAATCAAGCAAAATGAATCTCAAATTAATGAATTAAATGATAAGCATTCAGCTTCTTCTTCCAGAATTGCTGAATTGGAATCTTCAATTAGATTGCATGAAGAAGAAAAACTGAAACATAAAAGCTTAATCGCCAATCTTGAAAAAGAGCACTCTACTTCTAGAGAATTGGTTGATTTAGAGGCAAACAAGTTACGTGATTTGAATCAGCAATTGAAATCTCAATTACAAAGTATTGAGACTAAGCATAGTGAGCTTGTCCCGGAACATGAAAGTCTTACTAAGAAACTCACATCATTAAAGGAATCTATAGCTATTGATAAAAACTCGGGTACAGAAAAAGAAAAAGAAATCAAATCATTGAGGTCTAATGCTGAGGCTAGTGAAAAACAAATTAATGAATTACAGAGTCAGTTAACAGAAATGAAAGCATATTCGGATAAAATTAAAAGTGAATTAGCGCAGGTCACTAGAGACTTGAAACTAAAGGAAGATACGTATAAAAAATTGGAGAATGAATCGAGCCAATTAAAGAAAGAAGTAAAGAGCTTGAGAGATACCGAAAACAGCCTCAAACAAAAGCATGCAAAGGAACGCATTGATCTACAAGATATATCATTGCTTAGGGAAAAGTTGGCAACAGCCGTAAATGAAAATACTACGATTACTAAATCTCTAGAATCTTTGAAAACAGAATACGAATCATCCAAAAAAGCAAATGCTGAATATACGAACCAAATCGTTACATTAAACCATAAGCTTAAAGAATTGGAAATTTTTGCTAAAGAAAATGAGAAAGAAAAAGAAAACCTCCCGCCTGAACCTTCATTTAAAGGCGAATATGCTAACATGAAGCTTAAGTTGAATGAACACAGTGCAATGTTACGGAAAGAAAAATTCGAAAACAAAAAATTAAGCGAAGAGTTGAATATGTTAAAGGCTAGAAAATCTTTTGAAGAATCGAAAAATGAAGCAAGTCTCAATAGAAGATCCTTGGCTATAGGTGAAGGAATTTCTTTGAGGTCTGGAGTGGATACTCTAAATGAGGAGATTGAAAGCTTGAAATTGAAACTAGAACAGGAGGAAGCAAATTCACAACGGGCGGAAAATTATGCCATTGAGCTTCAAAAGAAGTTGAATAAGTTACAATCCACTAGAGGAATAAATAGCTGGACTGATTATGAAAAGAAATATAGAGATTCTCAAGTCAGAGTCACCGAACTTGAAAAGAAATTTCAAGACATTTTAACTACGGATGAATCTGTATCTATTCCATCACCACTTTCGAAAAGTGAAAATCTCAGCAGAAGTAGCATGTCCTTATCCAGTTCAAATCAAGATTTCGTCAAGATATACCAAGACATCACTAAAACTTTAAAATCTACGAGAGAAGAATTAACCGTCGCTAAAAGTGAAATATTGAGGTTAAAATCATTATTGAGAGAATCTGAAGATGAATTGTATGATGCTAAACGTCTGTCATTTAGATCTTCAGTTTCAAATTATGAAGAAGAACTTGCACAATTAAAAGTGAGAAATGATAGTTTATTTTCTCAAAATTCCGATATTAATCGAAGTCTCGAATTGTATAAGAAGAGATCTGATGAGTATTACAGAAAACTTGAACTTGCTGAATCTGCTGTTCAAATTTCTAAGAGGCATGAGCAGGCTGCAATTCGTGAATTGACAGAAATAAAAAATCAATTAAAATTAGCAAGAGAAGAATCCAGAGCTAGTCAAATTATGATCAAAGAAATCAGAAATGAAAATTCCGTACTCGAAGAAAAGATTAATGATAAGAACTTTGAATTGCAAAAAGTAAAAAGTCGAATGAGTGTAGTAAATGACAAACTAGACTATCATACCAAAAATTATGGAAACAAGGAATTGAATGAAAAATACAAGGAAGAGATTAGAAACCTTCACAAGGACTTAAATTTTAAGATGGAGACTGAAACAAATTTAGTGAAAGAAAACAAACGACTTCAACTTGATTATGAAGATTTGGTTGCGGAAAAGGATTCTCTTGATAAAGAATTAAGTTTAAAATTAGCGAAATTAAGTGAGCTTGAATACTTATCCTCCGACCTTGCAAAGAAATTGAGAGTTTTAGACAATGAAAAAGTTATACATGAAAGAAAAATCAATAACCTATCCAAACAAATCACTTCTTTAAAAGAACTTGTTACGGAAACTACTAGTCAAAGAGATGAATTACTTGAAACAAAAGAAACACTCGAAGAACAAATTATCCAGTTAAATCAAAAATTAGATGATAATGCGACCCAAATACATCAATACGAATCGGATATGAGTATTCTTCGAGACCACTTGGAAAATCAAAGAGAAGCATCCACCACAATGAGGTCCGAACTAAACCAATCTAAAATTCTTAGTAGAGGTGATATCCAGGATTATCAGAAAGTTAAAAGGGAGGTTTTGATTACAAGTGAAGAAAATGATTCCTTGAAGAGAGTTAATAAAGAGCTCAGTAGCAAAGTTCAAATTCTTGAGGAAAAATTGTACGGTAATGAACAGTTGAAATACTGGGAAACAAAGGTTAATGATTTGACGAGAGATTTGGATATATCCCATAATGAGAATTATAATACTTCCAAGACTATCAAGAATTTGGAAAGAGAAATCAAAAAGCTTGAAATTAGAGTTGAAAATGAATCTCAATTGACCAAGAAATATAATGATGAAAATTTTGATTACCAAAACAAAGTGAGCCATTACAAAAGTACGATCGATATATTGCACAATGAAAGTATGGAAAAAGATTTATTACTTAAAGCTAGTGAAAGGGAAAACTTGGAAATGAAGGAAAACATGTTAATGCTTGAGAGAGAAGTTCTTAGCCTAAAGGAAAGGGTTGAAATCAACACTTAAATGTACAAACTGAACTTACTACTTCAAATACGATTTATTGAAACTTTGTTCAAACCAATATACTATGTATACCAATTCTTAGTTATTTTCGTCTTATATATACAAATAAATTATTCTATAAACAACTAAGTGTGTCAATGGAAGATGGTTTAAAACCATTTACTTATCTTATTGCCAATACCACTAGAGAAATCTCTTGGTTTAGTCAAAGGAGGTCCATCAAATTTCCCTAAACCAAAATGACGAAGAACAAATTCAACATCACCGAATGCTGCTCTATCACCTTGCATTACTACCGATGGCTTACCAGAACTGATACCTTTGGTAACAACATTACCTGTCAAAACTTTTTCCGCAACTTTTCTTAAATCCTCAACAGTTATTTTCTCAATCTTTGTTATCATCTCATCAATTGTTGTTAATTTGCCTTGGCATTGGATCTGTCTACCTAAATCCTCTAAAGCAGCAAGCTTACTTTCGACATTCATCAACAATGAACTGATTAACTGGTTTTTAGCTCTCTTAACCTCTCTTTCAGTAAGACCCCCTTCAGCTGGATCCTTCTCTAATAACTTAGAGAGTTCGAAACAAATAATCTGTGACATTACATGGGCAGCATTAGGTGAGCATGATATTGTAATTCCGAACAAACCAGAGTTTATATATGCATGATTGAAACTCATACAGTTTTCGACAAATGCATATTGATTTAAAACTCTAGTATATAATCTGGAAAACATTCCCTTACCAGGTCCTCCCGCCGAAAATGAAGAACCTCCACCAAGCAATTTCTGCAACGTAGCCAATGCATAGAGATCATCATTTAACAAACCATTTGTTTCAAACCCAATTTGCATGTGGTAAAGTTCTGGTAAATTGCCTGCAATTGGAGGTTGGTATGGTAATGCTATCTCCCCTCCTGTGTAGTTCACAGTACCCAAATCTGGTCTTTGCAAAGATGATGACTTCCAATCTCCAAATTGAGATTGAGCTAACTTAACAGCATGATCATGGGGAACACCTACCATTGCAACAACAATATTTTGTGGTTGATAAAAAGTTTTATGATAGTTCAATACTTCATCCTTCGATATCATTGGGATTCTCTCAGGGGGACAAAACAATGGCAACCCCAAAGTGTTATTTGAATATGCTGAACAATGTAACACCTCCGGTAAAAACATATCATGTTTCAAAGCAATTTCACTTACTTCATAATCTGCAGTTTGCAAGGTTTCTACAAGTTCCTGGTCAGTAATCTTTGGTGCTCGAATGGTCTGAGCAATACAGTCAAACATTTTATCCACATCCTTGTTAAAGACGGAAGCTTGATATATCATAGATTCTCTTTGTGCTGAACACATATAATTACCACCTAACTTCGATAAGTTCTCCATCATTTCAACTCCGCTGTATTGATCCGTAGACTTCCATGCTAATCTATCAAAAATATGAGAAAGACCTGGTTTCTCTGGATTCTCAAATCTTGATCCAGCGTCAACATATGCTCCTAATGCACTGAAATGGCCCGGAGTACTGTCAGTTACTATTCTTAATCCATTTTGTAACGTAGTCATTTCAATGTTTGGATTTGCAAATGTAGCCACCGAAGACGAGGCATAGTTCCTTCTTAAGGTTTTTGCTATTCTTGGGATGCATGTCCTCTTGCTTAACATTGTATTATATGATAATAGGCTCTTGGACACTATTCAACATTAACTGTGCCTAACTGCAATTCAAGCATTATTTGAAAATTTTGAAAATGTCACATGACTCAGATAAAAGGTATGATACTGTTAATTTTCTATAGCAGCTAATGGGTACTTAAATTCATCTAGAGAGTGTAACGAAGCATGCTGGGTGTATTTGGACCCTGAGTACAACTAGCTCAAGTGTTTTATACCAAAAAGAAATTTTCAGATTTTTTATTACAAATAATTTAGTTTTGCCATAATTTGCTAATTTTTGAAAACACAACTCTTATTCTACATTATTAAACCCATAGGTGACATAAACAAATCGTATATTTAATATTGTTATTAGTCTGCTAGAAGACCTTCTTTGGTTTTTATATCATCTTTTTTTTTGATTTTAAACATTTTTTTAAAAGGCTGCAAAATGCAAAATGGTGATATTCAGTATAAATATACCCAGCCTCACATTTATGTTACCATTACTACAGTTTCTAATCTCCTTTAGAACATTTTATGAAGTGTTTTGATTAAGTCTATAAATTTACCTAAACGTCCATAAATCTAGCTTCAGGATGGTAGTAAGTTGGGCAAGTCCAATAGGCTCTTTTAATATCATCCCAAACCGATTTGTTCTCAGTGGCATTTGTATCCTCTACTTTCAACGTAGATTCAGGAACTTCTATTTGCTCGAACTTGCAAACCAAACCGTAATTAGCTAGATCCATTTCAACTAATTGTTTGTATACTTCATAAACGACTTGTCTGTCAGCACCTAATCCATTAAAGAACGAGAACACACCATGCGGTTTTAATATACCAACTACTATATCAAATAATTCTAACATATCTTCATAATGTTCAGAATATGTGTCATAATAAATACCGTTGAAGAAGACATTACCCTCGGATAAAAGTTTGTTTAACTGCTCTTGCCATCTTCCTTCCAATATAACAACATTTGGCTTTTCATACCATCCATCATGACGCAACTTTGCTAAAACATCTGGATGTGCCTCGCATATGTATTGCTTAGTTGGGTTCTTTTCGTTAATCATAGTATCTATAATCCCCATACCAAATCCAATATTCAAAATATTTACTTCATCATCAACCTTGCCTTCAATATTGGCACCTCTGAAAAGAGAATCACAACCCATACGCATTAAATCTGTTTCCCAAGACATCATGACTCCATCTTTTCTGTCTTTTGTTACTAAGGCATCATCCTTGTACTCCAATTTTGTTTTTAAGTAAGTTTCTTGGTTACCAGAAGGATCATTTTTGAAGTTCTCTTCAAGTTGTCCAGAATTTTGTTGATTAGTTATATCTGAAATGTTAGATGATTCCTCTTCTTTATGCTCTTCATCTGCAGGTTCCTCATCTTCTTTTAAGCTTTCAAATTGTTCGTGGTTTAAGTCATCAGTGTCCTCAATGATTTCCATGTCGTATTCACTAACTTTTCTTAATAATAATTCAGCTCTAACACCAGCAGAAACAATTTGCTTGTAAATTGGAGAGTCATTCAATTTTCTTCTGATCAATATACATCCAGGTGTTTCATTATTAATATCTGTAAGGCACCAACCAGCACCATATTCGAGTAAGATTTCTACCATTTGATTAATAATGTCTAGTTCTTCATTAGAAGCATCAGTAGGCATATGAGAACATATAATATGTAAGGGAGTGGTAGTTGTGGTTGGCTCCTCCTCTATGTTGTGTGTATAGTTATACGCTTCTTCTATTGTATAGGTTGCAGGGATACCATTTTTTAAATAAAACTTTAAATCCTCAACGTATTTGGATCCAATAGGTCTCGTTTGAAAACCACACAATTCATGTAAATCGGACATTGGAGAATAATTTAGTATCATCAAGTATATAGTAGCAGGCCCAAATCTATGAAAATTTTAGAGATGTAACCGGAAATCAAATATATGTAAATTACGAGGGTATTAACGAGGGTACGGTAAAATTCCGTGTTCTTCCTTCTCCGGACTTACGATTGCAAAATAGAAAAATCATACGATATGAAGCGTTTTGATTAGCAGCATTTGATATATTTTCAAGATTTATTCTAATCTAATACAACACGAAAGAATAAAGAAAAATCGGAAAATTAAAGCTCAAAGTGATGTCATTTAAGTTGAATGATTACAATGCCTTTTTGACTTCATTATATGAGAAGAAGCCTACCATAAAAAGAGAACAACAATCGTCAGACGAGTTTCCAGTGGATTTTGATTTTGGTTTGGCAATGTCTACCGAAAATAAGCCAACCAGATTTGATAATATCAACACAGAGTTTATTGCAGAAACGGGCGCTTCTAATATAATGAACAATTCGTACATCCAGGGATGGGGTGGGCTGCAACGGCCAGAGTCACAGATAATACTGCCAAATGATGACCTATCATTATCAGGACCTCATAATCAAACCCAAGAGAAATCAAATGAACCGCAAAGCTCCGGACCGGGTTTTGTCCAAGCATACTCTTGTTCTCAATTCAGTCCACTCGATTTTAACATAGAAAATAAGAAAATCAATGCTTCTCTAGAAGAAGCGCAATCCAGACCGAGGACAAAATCAGCTCATAATGTCATAGAACAGAGATACCGGAACAAAATTAATGACAAGTTCACTGTTTTAGAGAATACAGTTCCAACTCTTAGGGTCGCGAAAAGGAGACTTAAAGGAGCGGTTTCTCCAGATTTTAAACATTACGACGAAGAAGAGCCTATTGATGATTACAGTGGTTCAGAAGATGAAGATCTAGAGGGCTTAGAACCAGCCAAAAAATTGAATAAAGGAACTATTCTCACAAAATCCATCGAATATATCAAGTTTTTGGAAATGAAAAATAATAGCATGCACAATGAAAACGAACAATTAATTTTGAAAGCAAGATTGCTAGGTATATCTGTTGATGAGGCCTTACGATACAAATAATTTTACTACAAACTACATACTATGCAATAATATTTACATAAAATATCATATATAAATGAAAGCTTACATATAATAACACGTAGCCGTTTAATCAGACCTTGTCAGTATCTGCTGATTAAACTCTAGCTTCTCATACGATACAATTACTGTATGTAAATATCGCGTCGTACAGAAAAAAATTTAAACGACACAACTTTTGATATAAATTTCAAGGTCTTTATTAAATATTGCTGAATAGGTTCTTCATAGATAGAAAATTTAATTATGGCTTTGGCAGATTATTCTATCGCTTTGTATAACTACTTTACATCGCTTTCTATTATTCAACAAGCCAGTGTAATCATATTATTTCCATTCATTTATAACTTATTATGGCAATTTTTTTACTCTTTTAGAAAGGACAGAGTACCATTGGTTTTTCATTGGATGCCATGGGTTGGATCAGCGGTGGTTTATGGTATGCAGCCATATGAGTTTTTTGAAAGATGCCGTGAGAAATACGGGGATGTTTTTGCGTTTGTATTGTTAGGTAAGGTGATGACGGTTTACTTAGGACCAAAAGGACACGAGTTTGTATTGAATTCAAAATTACAAGATGTCAGTGCTGAGGAAGCGTACACACATTTGACCACACCTGTGTTTGGAAAAGGTGTTATTTATGATTGTTCAAATTCCAGATTAATGGAACAAAAGAAGTTTGCTAAATACGCCTTGACCAAGGATTCTTTCAGGACCTACGTTCCTAAAATCAAAGAGGAAGTATTGAGTTATTTCGCTACTTCTGAAAACTACGAAATGAAAGAAAAATCTAGTGGGGTTGTTAATGTTATGGAGACTCAACCAGAAATCACTATTTTCACTGCATCGAGATCTTTGATGGGTTATGAAATGAGAAAGAAGTTCGATGCTTCTTTCGCTCAATTATATGCTGATTTAGACAAAGGATTCACTCCAATCAACTTTGTTTTCCCAAACTTGCCATTACCTCAATATAGAAAGAGAGACGCTGCTCAAAAGAAAATCTCTTCGACTTACATGTCGTTAATTAGCAGAAGGAGAGATACAGGAGATATCGATCCATCTCGTGATTTAATAGATTCCTTGATGACATATTCAACATATAAAGATGGCGTGAAGATGACTGACCAAGAGATTGCTAATTTATTGATTGGTGTTTTAATGGGTGGACAGCACACTTCTGCTTCTACTTCTGCTTGGTTCTTGTTGCACTTGGCTGAGAACCCAAGGTTACAAGATGAAGTGTACGAAGAAATTTTGTCGGTTTTGAAACAAAAGAATGGATCGTTCCACGATTTAGATTATGATGATTTACAAAACATGCCTTTACTTAACAATATTATCAAAGAAACGTTGAGAATGCATATGCCTTTACATTCTATTTTCAGAAAGGTCATGAATCCATTGTTAGTTCCAAACACTCCATACGTTGTTCCTAAAGGTCACCATGTCCTTGTTAGTCCCGGTTATGCCATGACCAATGAAAGATGGTTCCCTGAAGCTGGAAAATTTAATCCTTACAGATGGGAAGAAACGAAGGCCAATGGGAATGAAGACACCGTTGATTATGGTTTTGGCGCGATTTCAAAAGGTGTTTCTTCTCCTTACTTACCTTTTGGTGGTGGTAGACATCGTTGTATTGGTGAACAATTTGCTTATGTTCAATTGGGTACTATTTTGTCTACTTACGTCTATAATTTGAAATGGTCTTTGAAAGACGGTAAAATGCCTGAAATTGATTATGCTTCAATGGTCACTTTGCCTATGGAGCCTGCCGACATTTGTTGGGAAAAAAGGGAAACTTGTATTATTTAATTGCCTTCTTCATTCACATATGTTCCAAATCTCTAATATAATACGTAACATTATAATTCCAATATTTTGTAGGGTTTGTATTCACTGCCGTTTCCGGCCAAATATCGTATCGCGAAAATGATTCATATTTCTTGAGCTTCTTGAAAAATTTGAAGAAAAACTATTAGTTTTGATATAATTAAGACCAAGATGGCAGCTAAAAGTTTTGAGTTGAAGGTCCCTGCTTCGTCAGCAAATATTGGTCCTGGTTTTGATGTTTTAGGTGTCGGTTTGAATTTGTACTTGACAATCAAAGTTACAGTCGATCCTTCAAAGGACACTTCATCAGACCCATATAATTGTAAAATTACCTACGAAGGTGATGGTGCTGATAAGGTTCCGTTGAGTTCCGATAGAAACTTAATAACGCAAACTGCTTTGTATATTTTAAGATGTAATGATATTCATTCATTCCCACAAGGAACCCATATCCATGTTAATAATCCAATTCCATTAGGTAGAGGGTTGGGTTCGTCTGGTTCTGCTCTTGTTGGAGGTATAATGTTGGGAAATGAATTAGGGGAGTTGAAATTGTCGAAATTAAGAATGTTGGACTACTGCTTGTTGATTGAAAGACACCCAGATAATATAGCTGCTTCTATGTTAGGTGGATTTGTCGGCTCCTACATGAATGAGTTATCACCAGAGGAGACCGAAGCCAAGAATGTTCCATTAGAGTACATTTTACCTAAGCCTGGTAAAACTCCAAAGGATAAATATATTACTGAAGAGCCACCTAAAAATATTGGGGAATACTTGCAATATAACTGGTCCAAAAAAATTAGATGCGTAGCTATAATACCAAATTTTGAAGTTCCAACAGATGAGTCGAGAGCTGTCTTACCTGAATTATACAACAAGCAGGATATTGTATTTAACTTACAGAGATTGGCTGTGTTAACTACAGTCTTGACTCATGAAAACCCAGACCATAAGCTTATTTACAAAGCGATGAAAGACAAAATTCACCAGCCATATAGATACAAATTAATCCCCGGATTGGGCGAAGTCTTAAAAAGCGTAACACCAGAAACCGATAAAGGATTATGTGGTATTTGCTTATCAGGTGCTGGTCCAACTATATTATGTTTGGCTACAGAAGGCTTTGACGAGATAGCAAATAAAGTTATTTCAATTTTCAACAAAGAAGGTGTTGAATGTGATTGGAAACTTTTAGATTTAGCTTACGATGGTGCAACTGTCGAGTATTAGAATATCATACAAAAATAGATAACTGTATAGTACAATTGAATGAATGCCGCCTTATGGTGAGTAGATAAAAGAATAACTTCATAAAGTAAGGTTACTCTGGGGAAGTAGAAAGAAATGGTTAATTCGTATACACACGACTTTTATGAATTTTTAATATCCTTGAAAATGTAGGTACCAACTATCAATAAGCAATTGACGAATAGAATTAAGAATTAAACTCGGCAAGACAATGGGAAAGACATCGGAAACAACCAAGTATTCGGACTTACTGACCACCTTAATAGCCCAAGATATTTTAACAAGTTCGTCATCTCAACCAGTTTACCTTTCGTCGGTTGAAGTGATCGGTGGAGAGACCTTTTCAAGCGACTTTTTCAAGAAGTTGTTGGGGCCATTGGTTGAAACAAGTGATTATACTTTAAGTCAATTAGTTGAAAATATTACTGTTTCACGCGACAGATTGGTTAAAGCGGATGTCTTCAAGAGCATTGGCGTTTCTTTACATTCGGACTATTCAGCATCAATCCCTCAAGTTCTTAAATATAATAAGGACCAGCTGATTCCTACCAAGGTGATTTTTGATGTAGAAGCTTCCAATTTGAATGCAGGCGATGGGTTTTTGAATTTGAATAATGATGATAACTTGAACGTCAATTTGAACTATTTAAATAACAACTTCAATGAAAATGCTGAATCTGTCAACTTTGGAGTTAATTATAATCCATACAAGCCAAATCAGCATTTAATAGCAAATGCTAAGTTTTTAGCTAACTTGAACGATCCATCGTTGAAGTTTTTATTTGATTTATTTAACACTCATCAGAATAACCAAGCATGGCAACAAGCATCGGAAAAGACAACAGGTGGATTGATTGGTTTACAATATACTAATAAGCTTAAAAACTTATACATTTTGACAGGTCTTTCATTGGCTAAAAGAACAATTCACGACATTAGAGATGGTGCTCCAGACGAGTTGAAATACTTCTCAGGTGACTATTTAAAGTCTTCAATCGTCAATCAATTGGTATACTCAAACGTATCTTTTTTGAATAGTATTACCAAGAATTTCCCAATTAATGGTTATAACGTAACAATTTCCAATGAAATTTCTTCTAATCAAGAACAAGATAATATCGATAATCAAACAGGATTTGGTAAATCTACAATCTCTACTAATTTATTTGCCTCATTTGCAAATAATAATATAACTGCTCATTTATTTAATGATATCGGTGGCATTTATTCACCTTCTTCAAACCCTATTCATGTGTCTGACAGGTTCTATTTAGGCGGATTTCATTCACTTAGAGGATTCAGCAAGAATAGTATAAATACCTCGGGTGCATCTCAATTTTTCAGATTGGGGCTTACTTTATACGCTAAAGTTCCTTCATTTATTTATTCAAGCCACAAAAATGCTGCTGCAAACATTCCCTCATTAGAAGACGGCATAGGTTACGAAGCAAATCCTTTGAGATTATATACTACTGGATCAATCGGGAATGTAAGTAATAATATTCTTCAGGATAAAAATGTTGCTTCGAGTATTGGATGTGGTTTCAGATACATCAATCATTGGGCTAACTTTGATATTGGCTATTATTTAGCTCAAAGACACAATTCCGATAGCTCGATTGGAATTAAAGATGGCTTCCAATTTTCTGTTTCTATCGGTGGATCAAACCGTAATGTTCAATAGTTCTGTTGTAGATATAATAAAAAGTTCTTTATTCTCTATAAAAAAATATGGTTTGAGCCCGAGCTCAATATCAGCATTCAAACTCAGTAGTACGACAACAAGTAATTCTATTGTCAATCGTTGGCACTCTAGAGTTGTAATTATTAGACTTTGGAAACCCACTATGATTCGAGAGAATGAAATAATATCCAAGGTTTTATTGACCATAGATCAATTCAAAGGAAATGTTGACCAATTTATGAGTGCTATTGTTGAAAATGAATATACTCCTCAAAATACCAAACATTTCACCAGATCACTAATATGGAAGACTTGTTACATTACAAAGAGTTTGAATATTCAAACATGGGACTCAAGACTAAGTGAATCTAGAGTTATATATCATGCATTAACAAAAAGAAAAGATATGAATATACCATGGTGGGATTTGGAAAGAGATCATATCTTTTACCAATCTAAAGAATTAACTTTGACGAGAAAGCAGAGTCTTAAGAGAAACCCTTCGACAAAAACATCTAGGACAGTGAAAAAAACTCCTTTATCAACAGTTTCTATTAGTAAATCTGACGACCCTTTAAGCGCTTCTTCATCTCAATTGCATATTTTGAAGGAAGACCATACTATCGATGATTTGGATTTGTTGAAAACAATAATAATGGATATAGATAGATTATTCCCAGGTGAAAAGTATTTTAATTCTTTGACGCCCTCATCCTTGGAGTCTAAAAGGCAATTGATTGAATTACTATTTGTTTGGTCGAAATGTAATCCACAAGTTGGCTACAAACAAGGTTTTCATGAAATTATGGGCTTAATATATATAAACTTGTACAGGGAGGTCATCGATGTGCCAAATGATTCTACTATTTCGAAGGATGATTTAAAAATATTAAGTTTATATGACAAGCATTATTTACCGCACGATTTGTTTACTTTATTTAATAGGTTCATGGTCCAAGGAGGAATAATTGGGAGATTTTACGAGAATGAAAGTGTCTTATGGAAGTCAATCGAGAGCATAAATGTTAATTTAATGAAAATTGACCAATTAATTCATTATAATTTAGTTAGTAAGTTGAAGTTGGAATCACAATTATGGGCAATAAGATATCTTAGATTACTCTTATTAAGAGAATTGGGAAATGATTTGGAGACTACAAGTTTATTATGGGATAAACTAGTCTCGGTGCAGAAGTCGATCTCGTCTATTCCAGATTTAATTACTTTTTTAATTATAGGGTTATTAATTAGAGTGAAAACGGAATTAATTACATGCGACTTTAGTGAATGTCTATCGCTTTTGTTACATTACCCTATAGGAAAGGAGTTTTCGAAATCACCTGAAGATTTCGTGTATCATTTGTTCAAGGACGCGGTGAAATTATACGATAGAAGGGATAATGATTTGAAATTATATAATTATGGTATTCATCTCAACGAAAAATGGAATCCTAAATTGAAAGTAGTAATGAATTTTACTAATAGCAATAGAAATAGTGGCGAATCCAGTAAATCTGGAAGCCCAGCTCCCTCAGAACATGCAAAGACAGAACATGGTTCGATGTCGAAACATGAAAAATGGCATTCGAAAAATACAGACTAGAAATGAGGTTAAAGAAGAAAGCCCAGCTGCTTATGAGACCATAACTTATCTTTATTAATGCATTAGTTTACTTTATCTAGTAGAGTAAGTAGAAATATAAAAGTAACACAAAAACGGGAAATATTTTGAATAGAATTTCGAAGCACCTAAAAAAATCATCAACGAATATACAACCCTATTAGATTTAAATTAATAACAAATATGGGTAAAAGAAAATCGTCAGCTAAACCGCAAAAGAAGATAAAACAAAAGCTAGATATAACATTTTCATGTTTGTTTTGTAACCATGAAAAGTCTGTCATTTGTACATTAGACAAAAAAAATTCATTAGGTGAATTGCATTGCAAGATTTGTGGCCAAAGTTTCCAAACAGCTATCCATTCATTATCACAGCCAGTAGATATATACTCAGATTGGATTGATGCCTGTGAAGATTTAGCAGAGGAAGCTGAAGCTACTGGTGCAGTACCAGAAGAAGATAATGGAGAATATAGTGATGAAGAATATGGTGATAAAAAGAGAAGAGATCCAGCTCTTGATTCTGATGACGACGATTATTAAACACAGTATAAAAGTTTAGTGCGATAGTAATCTACTGGTTAGTATATCACCTAAATGTTACAGAAAGAATTATGTATAAAATGCAATTTAATCATATATATAAACAGCAGAATTTAATATAAATTTATATAAATTATAAAATTGTTTGATGAAATATAATGTATAATTCAAATCAAGAATTAAATGTATTTATGCTATTGTTTTCGAAGACTAAACCTCAATTCAACTTTGCAAGATTTGTCAAGACTTGATCATAGGCCTGGCTAATCTCAACTCCATCATTCTTCTTATTTGATATATTATCAGAACTAGGATTACTATTTCCAGGAGGATTATGTTCCGTAGGGGTTTCTTCATTTGAATTAGAAGTGGAAGACTCTTCATGGGAGTCCTTGCATGCATTTAGTTTCTTCAATTTGCCCATAATCTCTTCAACTAAGTGCGCCTCATCCCCATTGTCAATTCGTTCAGAAGAATCATTCAGGTTAAATACATTTCCCAATGAAATTCCCCTTTCTTTCAAACGAGCTAAATATTGAATGATTTTATCTAAATCACCTAGATCAACACTCAATATTCTCTTTCGAATTTCATCACCCGATAAGTTATCAAAACTATGGAAAATGTCAGATGACTCCGAAGGGTCTTCCGGGTGATGGAAATCATGGAGTCTCAGTAACTTCAATACCGAGCCTTCTTGTCTATCCAAATGCGTTAAGTTGGATTTAGACGAAGATCTCGAAAGGGATAATGGTGATTTACTAATTGGGATTTTCTGAGACTTGTGTAAATCAAGGCTGTTATTATACGAATCATTATCTTCCTTTAGCAAATAAGTATTTTTCTCATCCTCTGATACATTTCTAATCATGTAAGAAGAATTGACTTCTTTGGATTGTGAATCTACTAATGAATTGTCGATTAATTGTAATCCTTTTTCAATAGACGAATCAATATATAAGAATCTCAAAAACGTCTCTTTACCATCTAAATTAAGTTCATTTTTAACTTGCAACTTAAGCAATTCATTCATAGCGTCTTTCAATTCTTGACGGATACTTGTCGCTTTACGAATAAATTTTTGGACTTCAGGTGATTTCAAGTCTAACTTCTGCTCCGCTTTCATAGACAATATGTTATTCAATTGTCCCGTTAAAGAGGTTAAGTTAGGATCTTCGTGAATAGCAGGCGTATCCTGTTTCTTTGATGCATATAGTACTCTCTCCATATTTCTCATACTATATAAACCGATCTTTTCCTTAATAAAATCGGGTATATTGTCATAATCACAATCTAATGTAATCAAAGTCTTAGAATTTTTCAATCCTTGCGTTAATGCCGATGCTGCAGTTAAGTCAACTTTATTACCAATGATAGAAAAATATGCCAAGTTTTTACAAAAAGGCAAAACCTCTGATATTGCCACTAATGCCTGCGTGCTTAAATCATTGTTCTCCACATGAAGCCTAATTAATTTAGGAAAAAGAGGAAACTTAGAAGTAAAATAGGACGTGATAGAGCTCTGTGTTGTTGTAGCTTTGGATACTTCTGAGGAAGAAGTACTAGTTGCACTGCTTTCTAATGATCTGTTAGGTACATCAATATTTGATATTTCTTTCGTAGGTGAGGAACTAAATGATCCAAAAAGCTTTGGGTTATTGGATAAATCTAAATACTTCAAACATGGGAATTTCATTACCACTGTTTCAAATACTTCTTTGAAAGCATCTGAAAACCTCAAATTTGTTGCATTTAGACTAAGGAATGCTAGAGAACATTGACGCAAATGGTTCTCAAACTTTTTATCATTTCTTTTTTGTAAGAAAACGTTCAAATACTGCAATGACAGAAGATCATTATAACCTATATCTAATCCTCTTACAAAGGGCTTAAATAACCAATTATCAACAACGATCTTCAACTGCTTAACGGATAAATTGTTATAAGCTAATCCTAATCTATTTGTTTTTATCAGAACAGCCATTTTTACGAATTTCTCAAAAATATCTAAGTCAGAAATACAGCACCCTGTCAATATTAACTCTTCAATACCACCTCTTGCAACAATTGTTGCAGTAAAAAGGGCCCAATCCATATCCGATCTATTTTCCTTATTACATGCCATTCTGATTGTTTCATCTTTTTTATCGTTTGAACTCAGACTTTTCTTTTTCTTTTTCGATGTGTTAACCGAGAGAGATGGACACTGTGTGATATCCAACTTGTTTAACACCGTGTTTCTAGAAAGAAACCAACATAACAAAGACCAACCGGCGGAATCAATAGGAGTGTTACGCAAACTTACCTTTTCCAATTGCGTTTTGGCGCTCATTGCAGATAGCAAAATCTTAAACTGCTCATATGATAAGCTCACTCCATCCAAAGACACACATAATATAGGAGCAATCCTTAAAAAGTCTGCAAATGTTTGAACTTCTACCATTGTCGGAGTTGGATTTCGTAATTGCAATACAGGCAAAGGAGCTAAAGATCCTTTTGGAATTTGTTTCAAAATTGCTGGGATTGGCAAAATCTCCCGAAGATGACAACATCTAGTATACATCACATCAAGCGCCATTTTTTTGACAGGGATGTCATAATTGTGAAAGTTATGGCGGTTATGGTGGCTTAACATGGGCTTATCTATTCCTAACAGTTTTGCATGCTTATCAACTTTTGTTTCGTCATCATCTTTGCCCAAATTATTACCAGAAGCTTCTTTGTATTCGTCGGCTTCATCTTTAGCCTTTTTTGCATCGGAAGATTTTCCCGTATCTAATGAACCCGAACCACCCACTACAATCCCACCACCTTGTCCAACTTGAGATTTTTCAATAGCCAATTTATCTTCCTCAGTCAAGGGATTGATTTTTAGAGCACCATTTGGTAAGACTTCTACGTTACCTCGTCTCGGATTCCTGGAAGGTATTTGTTGTGGCGGATCAATTAAAAATGTCAGCGAATGGAATGCAACTCTTTTAAGAGGTTTCAAATCAGAAAATTCAGGTAAAACATCAGTAGAACGCGAGGGTGAAGGGGTTGATACTGGAATAGACAGGGAAGAACCTAATGATTCAGAATTTCTACGATTCTTTTCTGTAGCTATTGATACTGAAGGCAATGGTGGATTTGTGCTACTGCGTCTTCTTAAAAAAGACGAAAACTTGTTACCCGTAGAGGAATTGCCTTCATACAGATTAAGATCGCCTTGATTTTGATTTCCATTCACTAGGGCACTAGGCAATGGAGAATATTTTGGATGTTCCGGTATAGATAGTTTCTTATCTCTATCGCCTGGAGCTGTAAATTCAGAAGCCCTACTGGATGACGTAGCAGAACTTCTACGCAGGTCCTTTCTTTGGTAAAATTTAATATATTCCTCTAATCTTGGATCGGAAGCTGGATTTGAGTAATTAGGAGTAGACATAGACCTGCTTAATTTTAAGCCATCAGATTGACTATCATTATTATTATTATATTTGGACGATATCGTAGAATAATCATCAAGGTCTGCACCGCTTGATACCGATTTTCTCGAACCTATACTATAATTATCTTTAAAGATCAGGGAGCATGACAGGACAGGTTCATCTTGAGTTTTGTGACCAAACTTCCCTTTCAATTTCGAAAAAAAGCCACCCAGAGAATTGATATTGGGGACACTTTCTCGTCTCTTATTCGAGCTACCCGAATTCTGCGATACTGGTATCGTACTAGATTTTGACGCACTTTCTTCTTGAATGGGGGCCATCGAAGGTCTGGTCTTATTTGAATTGTTTTCATTCGTATTGGATATGTTTGCCAGTAAATGAGGAGATACAGGCGAGACTGGCACATTAGACGAACCGTCATCGGCAGTGTTATTTCTTGCTCCATTATCTGTACTTGTGCTCGTATTACCTGACTCCTTCGTGGGTAAAGGTCGATCTATATTTGAATCTCTTAGTATCCAATCAACATCTGCTTTCTTCACCTCCTTCAAATTATCAACACCATCCTGGTCTAATATATCTCTAATTGCTTCTAAATCAATTCCATGACTACGACTTGATGACTGGTGATTGTCTGAGGACATATTCAGTATCAATATAAGTTATTATTAATAGATCTAATTTAATAATTAAACCGATTAAAAAAGAACTCCAATTATGCTATGTTGAATAATTAGCCAAACAAATCAAATCAATGCAATATATTGGTATCTCTATAATTCAAGGGAATAGGCGGTCTTAACGATATATAGGCAATCAATTTAATTGTCAGCTGACTTTCTGAATACGTTCATTCCTTTTTCGGATACGGACTACAAAATACTCGCCGAATTATGTTGTAAGATAGTGTAGATATATTAGAGAAGTTCAAAAATTATTGTAGAAAAGGATATGTATTGTAGGCTATTGTTTAGTTACCCATTCCACCCATTCCACCCATTCCACCAAACTGGCTCATCATTTTTTGCATCATTCCAGGATTTTGCATCATTTGTTGAGCTTGTTGCATCATTCCAGGGTTTTGCCTCATCATTTGTTGAGCTTGTTGTATCATGTTAGGATTGTTCATCATGGCAGACATATCTGGCATACCACCAGCACCACCAGCACCGCCAGCACCACCGAACATATTCATGGCTTGTTGCATGAAACCTGGGTTTTGTTGAGCTTGTTGCATCATTCTGGCCATATTGTTACCACCTGGAGCGGCGCCTGGGGCACCTTGAGGTCCTCCCATATTTTTAGCATTAACGGCCATAGCACTCATCATTCTTTGCTGTTGCAAGACCATTTCAACCTCAACAGCCGTACAACCCGCACCTCTTGCGACTCTGATAATTCTTTCTGGTTCTTGAGTGAAAATGCGCCCGTCGCTGTCCAATTCCTTCGTAGTCATCGAATCCATAATGTAAATCATATTTTTGATCTTAGAACTGGTCTCTTCTTCGCCTACTTGAGACATTATGTTCGACATACCTGGAATCATAGAAGCGATGTTGGTTAATGGCCCCATTTTCATAAAGTTATTCATCTGGGTTTGGAAGTCTCTCAAGGTAAACTTACCCTCCTTGAAATTTTCGATAGTCTTTTTATGTGACTCGTCGTCCTGTAAGTTTAAGGACTGAACGTGCTCGATTAAAGATTGAATGTCACCAATTCCTAATAATTTGGAAATAAACGATTGGGGCTTGAAAATCTCTAAATCGGTAGCATGCTCACCTGTACCTATGAAAACAATTGGGGTTTTCGTTGTTGCCACGGCAGATATAGCACCACCACCTCTTGCATGACCATCCATCTTGGTCAAGATAATGGAACCAAATTGCGAACTTTCCTTGAAAGCTTTAGCTTGGGATTCAGCAGCTTGACCGATAGAACCATCCATAACCATAATTGTTTGGGTAGGGACAATCATTTCTGAGATTTGGATCATTTCATTGAATAACGATTGTTCTTGTTTATGTCTACCAGAAGTATCAACGATAATTATATCAAATTTTTCCTGTTTAAATTTGACGACACCCTCATATGCAACTTTTACAGGATCAGTCTCTATATATGACCCATAATATGGAATTGAGGATTTAATAGCATTTTGCTTTAATTGATCAAAAGCACCAGCTCTGAAAGTATCGGCACATACTAATCCTACTTTATAACCTCTTTTCTTGTAGTATACTGCTAACTTCGTACACGATGTAGTTTTACCAGCCCCTTGCAAACCAACAAACATAATAACATGCGACTCACCAGTAACCTTGGTTGCTTTTTGCCTCTCAAGGTCTTAGACTTTTGCTGTTGTTGGGATAATTTTTTTGGTTTTGGTGGTTCTTCATGAGAGTCCACTAACGAACATAATTCATCAAACACTATCTTCTGTAACTTCTTTCTTTTGTTGGTCGAACTTTCTTCATCATTAATCAGTGTCTTGACTTTGGCTTTGATGTTATCTCTTAATTTGGCCACCAATTTGATATTAACGTCTGATTCTAATAATGCATTACAAATGTCCTTGATCATGGACTGAATCTCAGTCTCAGACCCAGATTCAACACTGGATAATGCACCTCTAAGACGTGACCCTAAATCTGCTAAAACCATGTTGTTATAGTGTATTTAAGAAGAAATAGCTTGTAGTCAGTAAATTCAATATTAATGGTGGTGGACATAAATCTCATAATTTTTCATCGCGACGTCGAATTTTCTACTATTCAAAAATTGGCAAGTACGTACTTGATTTACAATTACATAGATATACTGTTTTGACAACCGTCTGTAATACCTATGACTATAATAGACTATAATTATTTAGTTTATTTTTGAACCCTTGAGTCCTATTTTTACCTTGAAAAATTAAGGTTTGGATGTAGAACCTTGCAATATCTTATATAAAATGTTTACTACATGAACATCATTTCATGCTAAATAATTGAAATGACATGTACTTTTATATTACAATGATATATAATTATCATTCTATATATACTGGAATATGTATATTATGCTATACTTGACGAACCAGTCGCCAAAATTAGGTTAAATGAGTTGAATGAGACAGATTAGCCTCAATCACTAATATGGTTATTCTCGAATCATAAGATACGTATGGACTGACAAGATGTATAGCCTAAATGTCAAAAAGTAACCTATCCATCAATTTTAAATCCGATTCGAGATTAACTACCGGTAAGTCAAAATCGTATTCCAAGTCTAAGTAGCTAAATGGTATTATTGTACACGGAGCACCTAAATTATCGTCATCCACGGTACTGGCTGACGTCCAACTAAGTGTCGACCCCTTATTGACGGTATTCATGCCTCCAGGGCTATTGAGTTCATTTGGAATATCATCGTTGTGTTTGTTTCCACTTTTATTTTCGTTCTTTTTATCTTTTACTATGTCTTGCTTCTTTTGAAATACATGTCCAAAATCAAACAATTTTTCAATCTCAATTATTGAAGGGTTATGTTTACTTTGTTTTCTAGAAGAATATGTTGTTTCAATGCATCGTTTCATAGCTTAGACATAAAACTAATTAGTGCCCTAAAATTTAATACTTCCGCCGAAATCTCTATTTATATATATATTTACATTAATATGTCACCTTAGATACGCTTACATATTCTATTGCATTAATAAGTTCCCCATACGAATTTTGCCATAGCTAATCTATAGAGTGTTCCAGAGGCCCTATTATCGCACTCACAAACTGTTAATAGCCATTGATAGATGCTTATCTATCCAATCATATTTAGCGTCGTACGGTATTAAATCGTGGGGAATTTCAAAAGCGCATTGAATTTCCGCATCCTCACTATGATATGGCACTATTGCAATTATAATTCGTTAGGGTCTGAGGCGATTATGTAATTGGACTACTCTTTGCGATTACAGACTGCCATCGTGTGAACAGCGGCGGATCAAATGCCGAACCCAGCTATGAGCGGCACTGTTGGGTGTAAGTATGTGCAGTTTAGGTGTATATATGTTTATATCATAAAAGTATCGTTCTATACAGCACGGCTAATGCTAAATTATTCGTCATCAGATTGGCTAATCGAAGCTTCATCCTCATCACTAGATTCTTCTTCGGATTCAGACGATTCGTCCGAGACAATGATGAAGGTGTCGTCATCATCATCGGATTCAAATTCATATGTTATTGGAATTTGGACTGGGTTTGACTGATCTGCAATCAAGAGGTCTATTTCATCCAAGTCAGTTTCTTCGAAGTCTTCGTCTATTTCCATTTTTTCTTCGACCAATCTTTCCCACTCAGAATCTTCGCCAACCGAGTATTCACTGTCTTCATCCTCTGGGTCCTGATTTGGGTCTTGTTCCGAGCTTTCTTCCTCGGCAGGTTCTTCAATATCTTCGTTGTATCTGAAGATTTGTCCAAATTCACCTCTGAGTAAGCTCAACCCGGTAACGCCTAAAATCAAACAAGGAACAATATACAATAATGCAGGCTGACCCATTTCATACACATACAAGACTGAAACGGTCAATAATAAACCAAGGAAATATGAAATAATGCTGACAATAAAGTATGGCTTGGAAAAGTTCAGTAAGTGGTGGAATGCCTTTCTATTAGCTTCGTGATGCTTGTATAAGTCGTACCTGAGACATAATGCTACGAATGCGCCTGGAATAACGATATCTCCAAGTCCGAGTATCGACATTGGAGTATCCCAATGACGAGAGTCAGTTAATACTTCGTACAAGTCAATAAACACATTGCTCGAGTATATAGCAGGATTGCGTGGAATAAGGATTTTTATTGGAATGTCTAGGCCCGTAGCAACTGTAACCATGACTTTTGTACCAAAAACAAAGTAGATATCGTAGAAGAATAACCCAACCAATAAGATAAATGCAACTCTAAAACTAGAGATTCTTGTATGATTAATTCCAAAGATTGCAAAATTAATGCCTAAAATATCCGAAATCATCCAATTAGTTTGATTTAATGGATATTCAGAATTTAATACGGGGTTGAATTTATAGAAACCATAACTGACGATCATACTGACAGGGATAAGAACCAAAAATTTCAAGTCAAAGAAACAATTAACAAGCTGATTTTCTGTCTTGATCAAATTTGGTTTAATAACCTTTACTCCTACCTTTCTCAAATGGCGTAATACTTTTTTGAATTTTGTTTTGTCAATGGATTCAACTACGCCCAATGGAAAGTTATCCACATCCTTTGATAATGTCAATCTGTATCTGTGAAAAATTGGTTGAAGATTGAAAATATTCTGAATTCTTCTTGTAAACACGGTCAATAAGTAATGGTATGTGAGATAGTTTGGAAATATACTCATTCCTAAAACGTACCAGTTCAAACCAACCATGAGATTCTTTTTGTCAAAACGTGTCAATCCGTAGTATAGACCATACAATACAGCAGAACCTATCAAGGGCAAGCTCAACGCGTGTTTCCATCCAATAGACTCAATATTAAGCAATTCAAGGTCGCTATTTGTTGACTTGTAATAATTACAATTGTCATTGTCTGTACCATCCCAATCTGCCTCTTTATCATCATTGGGGTCAAGTGCATTCACAGGTTTGCTAATAGTAGTATATGCTCCTATCACCACACAACTCAATGCAATAATAATAAGCAATACAAACGAGATTATTTCATAATTGATCTGACTATTAATGAAGTTTCTTGGATTATAAAGTTTATAAGGTGCTAAAATAGATAACTTGTCAATCAAATTCAATTGATCGAAATGAGACGTAGTCGTTTTCACGTCTGTATAGTTCATGGTTCAAGGTCTGTTTCTTTGCCACCCTAGATGATACTACGATTACATTTACTATACATTATGGTATCGCCATTCTAAGTAAGATGGCAAGCGAACATAATGTCGCAAAAAGCACGACAAAGGTCCCAGAATTATTGCGACATTTTATTAAATTCGGTAGCCTTGCTATGATGCAAGTGAAGTATAGTCGATATAATGATAAATTAGCAATTTATATGGCTCATACTACTGTTCTGACACTTCAGCAATGAGATATGAACTTGCATGAAGTTAAAGTCATGATATGTCGGTGGGCCTAAATTGTTAAGTCGGACGTTAAAAAATTCATAAAATATGGTCATTAAATCACCAGATGCAATTAACCAATTTGCTATATATAGTCGAAAATTACTTTGACCCATATAAAATTGAAAAATGATTATTTGATAATAATTTGAGCTATCATATGAATTACTGATATATATATCTGATATGACAAACACAGATGATATTTTTGAACGAATAATAGAATCGCTGAATTCATCCAGACAGAATTCTGTCTCGCTACCTTGTAACAATGAGGACTTTGTTGCACCTATTTTGGATTACACTTCGGAAGTATTTAGTAATCCTAACATTGAATACAATAATATTCATTTGGTTTGCTGTGATGGGGAACCACATATGAGTCCAAACAAAGTGCGGTTGAGACGTTGGTCGAGGTCTCGGTCAATCGTGAGTAATTCATTGATGAATTGTATTAATAAACAAACATCTTCCGGTCATCATAAAAGTTCCATTCCATGTATAAGTGACTCAGAAGGATGTGTCCCGACGAATGAAAGTTGCAGCACACTCAGCAATCCCTCGAAGGAAGCCAGTGATAGAACCGGCTTACCACTGCATGAATCCCACTATGATTCCAATAAAACGGCACCTAGCAACTCGGAATATCCATCATATTACCAGAAATGCAACCCCAATTCAAGTTCTGAATGCGGAGTCCACGATAATTCATCCAATTCAAGCCAGTCTACCGATGCGTATATAGATTTTTATTCGTACGCAGACATGCTAAATAGCGAAATTGCTGAGGGTTTCCACAGCGAAAGTCAACCAGATAGAGTTTTATACGTTGAAGATCTGGGCTGCGGAGATATTTCGTCCCGCTTTTCGACCATAAGTATGGATGATTACGTTAACTGTATAGTCAATGAGAAGGGTACCTAGGTTTGGGAACTTCTTTGAATGATTAACCATGCAGATTACACCAAATTACCTTTCATGTTTACACATATATCTGCAACCTTAATGCAACAATTCGAAATGTACATTAGTAATATCATGTCATTGGTATTTCGCTACTTTTGCCTAATTGCTTGTGTATTTGCTTGCTAATTCCACGTTTTTCAACATATAAGTAAATTTAAAATAGAAATGACATAACTAAATAACTCTGGTATTTAGTAACCACTGTAATATATCCTCTAAATCCTTCCGTAGCTCATAAACCCTGGAATTTCACCTGTCCCAAGTTGGAAATCTAATTAGAACTGTTTGTATCAATCCATTGATTACATAATTTAGACGAATATCTCAGCAAGAATCTCGAAGGATATTTATGAAGACTTAGAGCATATATCCATACATAATTATTCAGTTGATTGATTGATTAATAAGTATATAAGTCCAGAATAATACCATCTAATTAATTTAATTAAAACTGTGAAACCAACCTACCCTTTTTTTCAATTTCATAATTATTTTATAAACAATTTTCAAACTCATCTACAATAATGACTGAATCTTTATTTGATACCAAATTTACATCTGAGCCATCAGCGGGCAATACAGCAGGTATTTCATCTGAAGAAAGCCCTATCAATAGTACCGGAGTATCAACAAATACCAACAATACCAACGAGAATGCCAATGGGGAAACAAACACGTTACCATCGATTAATGACAATTCTAATTCAGCTGCATTGATAAATTACAGGGTTTTAGTTTCAGCCAAAGAAAGTGGATGCTTGATTGGACAAAATGGGGCAGTAATTGACTCAATTAGAGAAGAGACAAATACAAAGGCTGGAATTTCCAAGTTGCAACCAGGGTCTCATGAAAGAATCCTTACTGTCAGTGGTACCTTGGACGATTGTGCCAAAGCATTGAGTTATTTTGCCCAAGCATTATGTAATGCAAACATTGAAAACTTGGTTAACTATAGCTACTTTCCATTGAAACAATTATCTCTGAATCCATGTGTTGAAGGTGAAACTACCATTTTAAGATTGTTAATCCCAAATGCTCAAATGGGAACGTTGATTGGATCTAAAGGAGCCAGAATTCAACAAATTCAAGCCAATTACAACATTTCTATGATCGCTTCCAAATCCTTTTTACCAGGATCAAACGAAAGATTGGTCGAATTGCAGGGTACTGTCGACAATTTGTATGACTCTTTGAGAATTATCTCCAGATGTCTTATCGAGGACTTTTCATCCATAGTAGGTACCAGTTATTATGTACCAAAAGCTTCCAACTATGCTAGAAATTATAGCCAAACCAACAAGAGAGTGAACAATCAAAATGCTGTTACCACTTCTATTTCATTTGCAAATGATATGGTCGGTGCATTAATTGGTAAAAACGGGTCAAGGATCCAAGGTGTTCGTAAGGTTAGCGGTGCTACTATTGGAATTTCTGATGAAGTTGAAGGCAAGCCTGAGCGTATATTCACTATATCGGGTACCACTCATGCTGTTGAAAAAGCAAAAAGTTTATTGTATCATAATTTAGAAAGAGAAGAGCAAAGAAGAGCTGAGTCTGAATCTAAATAAGAAGCTTATGTTTATTTTGTAATTTTTCTTTTTTTTATTTTCCTTTCGTTTGGTGTATTTTTCCACTCTTATGTATGTTTATATAATGTTGTGTTAATGTAAGTTTTTCTATTTTAGCTAAAATCTATATCGCCAGCCTACCAATCACAAGTTTTGCTAATTAAAGCGGCTAACTGCTCAAGGTATTTCACGTCTACTTCATCAAACCCTTCTAAAGTTAAGCAATCAATATCTAAGACTCCTACTACTTGGCCGTTGTTTACAATTGGTACAACTATTTCACTCTGAGTTTCTCCATCACAAGCTATATGCCCTGGATACTCGTTTACATTTGCAACTAGCTGAGTCTTTGCTGATGATGCTGCATTTCCACAAACCCCCTTTCCAAACTTTATTGTTTGGCAAGCTACTTTGCCTTGAAATGGCCCTAATATTAATTCATCTGTCTTGGGTTTACTTAAGACATAGAATCCAGACCAATTAACGTTAACCTTCATCGAATGATATGCATGCCATAATAATGACGAACAGTTCGCCAAATTAGCTACCCAGTTCCTGGTGTCGTATGATAATGCTTCGTATGAATCAAATACAGACTGTAAAATTTCTTCCTTTCCACTATTAACTGAATAGCTCGTATAATCTGCATGGTGTTTACCTTCCCCCATTTTGAAAGTCTTTGCTAATTAAATTTCTGTAGATATTGCCCTTGGAATGATTTCTCTTCAAGATCAAAAAATTTATTGCGCATTACTACTAACTGAAGACGATAAGCGTACGATACATTTTATCTGTTTTAGGATATTAGCTATGAATGGACACAACGAAGGAGTTCCATCAAGTAATGAAGAGAGATTTAGCCGATTTTTGGAATATAGAGGAATAAAAAGAGTACCTAAATCTACTGATCAACATGACGAAGAAGCTCAATCTCCTAGAGAAGCCCCGAGTTACAGTCTATTTTCTAGTAGTGACGATGAATCAGCCATTGAGGCAAACATTAATGCTGAAAACCATAACCTAGGCATTTTTGATGTTGATAATATAGATATTGATATGAACGATGAAAGAGTAATTGACTATTTTGGACTTAGCCGACTAGAAGAAAATCCTGATGCAGACGAATTCTACACTGAAAGAAGAGAGAGCTTTACTTCTGATAATTTTAATGAGGTAGATTTAGGGATTGATGAAAGTAATGAGGCTAGCACATGCATTGATAAAGAAATTCAATATGTTGCTTTCAACAAATTTGGAGACCGAAGATACGGAAATAATTCTAAGGATCGTATTAGGTATGAACCTATCGAATCAGAGAACATAAATAATAAGTTTCCACTTAACAGTCAGATAGCATATGTTAATTGGGAAGCTCATGACTCAATTACTCGGAAGGAAATTGCAACCTCCAGGGGTTTTGGTAACAATAATGTTCACAGTGATGACGATAATAATATGAATGATAATGATAATGATAATGACAATGACAATGAAAATACTACTACTACTGATAGTACTGATAGTACTAATACTAATACTAATAATAATAATAATAATAATAATAATGAAAACAGCGAAGAGAAGCATAATATTCAGAATACATTTAAAGCTGTAAGTAAAGACAAGGACTTTGATAAAAAGAGAACACTTGATAAAAATGAAGAATACTACGGAATGCAGGACTCAAGTTGCAAAACCAATGGCGGTATATATAATCCACTTAGGTCTGAATTCACTGCAATTGAAGATTCCGACCCAACTAGACTTGTTATTTTACCCCCAGCTCAAAAATATAGGGATCTGATAGAATTGGAAGCTTTAGGTGTCAAGAAGTTAATGAGTCTTGATAATGTTAGAAAATATAAGAATAATATAAGTACAATTATATCTGATTCTTATGGAAATGATTTTCTTGTCACTTGTGCCAATTCAGATATAGTGATATTTGATTTTGATTCAATATCCCAATTGCCGAACCACTACCCCGTATTACGTTTTGATACAAAGCCTACGTTTACATCTACTACTGATAGACTAATTTCTACATGGCCATACTTCCCGCATACCATAAACTTCTTGAAAACTGATACATGGCTAGGTAAGCCAGTATTAAGTGCTTGTCTCGACGATGGCACTTTAATGATATGGTACGTAGAGACTATAACGGCGCAAATAGTAAAATTTGGTTTAACTAAAAACAGCAAAGTCAGTAACATGGATCCCGATGATGCGTATACAAATCAAAATAGATTTTATGGTATCAAGATAAAGCCAGACTTTAAATTGAAAATGGAAGCATCTCTTTGGGGTTTGGATTTTTTATCTTATGGAGATGATACAGAGAGCACGCATAATTTAATAGTAGCTTCTGATAACTCTCAAAGTATTGTCTTATTCTACTACCACGAACAAGATGAAAGGTTTTATCATATTAAAAGTCACCAAGTATTGCATAATATACCAGAGGTTTCATTTTTGTCCTCAGAGATTCAGAATGATGTTCATACAATCAAAGTTACCTGTGCGTCTATTTCAGGAGAATTGATAATATTCAAATTTAATTTCAAATTAAACAATGGACCACTTGATAAAGATGAATATGAGTATTTTAGGAAAGAAGCTATATACTACGTAGATGCTACGATGGCTCAAATAGAGAGTAGACGAGATAACAGGCTACCAGAAGAAGATTTGAGAGAAACAGAGTTAAAAATGAAACGGTTTCACCGGGTGGTGTTCAACAGTCCAACAGTAATAACTAGAGTGCTACTTGGTGAAGATTGTTGGACTTGTAAGCCAATCTCGTCTAATGCATTCAAGCATGTTCAATCCATAAGAGCTATGACAGGAGATCATAGGATAAACGAAGAGCAGGAAATTGAACATATAATGAACGAGTCTGAAATACTTGACTTCCAATATGACCCATTGAAAACAAGTCACTTTGGTTTAAGTGCACGCTGGCAATTTTTCGAAAGTCTGGTTTTAACGCTTACAACTAAATTGTCAGAAAATCAAGATTCGACACTTGAATCGGCAAAGCTTACTGGGGTTGATGATGACTATAGAAGAATTCATAAGGGCATTGAGAGCTTTGTATCTAACATTCAGCAAAAACATATAGCAAAGAAAAAATCACTAAATGGTAAGTCTTATTGGCCTTTAGATACATCGGCCACTAATATGCTCGCCGTGTCTACTTCCAAAAAATTGGGTCTTTTCAGAGCTGATACATTATTTTGTAATTCGGCCACTAAGAAAGTATTTGATTTATCAATTCCATTTAGTGATGAGAGTAAATTCTCAAATAGAATCTCAATCACACATATAATTCCTGCATTACTGTGTTTCATATCTGTCACCCAACAAGGCCTAATAAGCATTATGCGATTATGCCAACACAGAGGGTTATATGGAATGAGACAAGAGCATATTTTTCCTAATGCATTAAGCTTAGCATTGGGTTCTCGTGGGTACAGAACGATTGCTGGTTTAGCAATCAGGGATATGTCCTTCCCGACATTACCTCGCTATTTTATTTATGTTACCTATACTGATGGAATCATTGTTGCTTACAAGTTATCAGTGAATAGTCTTCAGGACTTGGTTCTTCAGGTGTGAATATGTAGGTTGCAGATGTAACTATATATGTAAACGTAACTTCTTTCCTTATATGGAAGTCTAAATTAATGTATGGTAGCGCGTTTTGTATCACGCTTTTTTTGTTTATTTTGTTTTTACTAGCATAAGGGTTTTCAAGGTTAAGAAACACACTAGAGAACATAGCGGTAAGAGCACTATTGTATTATAGAAGATGGATTTGTTGAATCTTGGTTCACAATCCAGGAAGACTGGTTTAAAGCCAAGAGCGAATTTGAGGAAGGATAAATATAATATGGAAGATGTGGATGAATTTTTTGCAGAAGAAGAGGAGGATAAGGATAATGATTATACTGAAAGAAGACCACAAAAATCAGACAGATCTATATATGCATCAGGTCTGGCAGCATCTAGGGGTTCCGAGGTTTCAGCTGAATCGTCGACACCTAGACACAATTTTAATAATGTTGCTCGAAAGATCAACTTTACAGATGTGGAAGCAGAACCTTTCAACTTATCACCAATATCAATACAGTCCAAGCATTCCAAAAATCGAAATAAGAAGTCGCCGTTGAGATCCCCACTTCAGGAAAATAAAGCACGCAGACTAACAGAGGGAGGTACGGGAGATGACGAGGGATACGACTATAATGATAATATTGACATGGATAATGATTTGTACGGGGATGACATAGACATGAGTTTATCACCAGTGGATTTATCGCCTATAAAGTTAAGGACTGAATATATTTCTAAAGATTCAAAGAAATCTCCAGATGGAACCCCCAAATCGAAATCAAAACCAAAATCAAAATCAAGCGTCAACAAATCTGCATCGTCACTCACAAAGAAAATGGCGCTAGGCACTACAAAGCCTAGGAGGAAGCGTCACATAGTAGAGGAAGAATCGGAAGAAGACACCACACAAGAATATTCACCGGATGAGAAAAGTGAGTTACTTTCCCCACCACCTACAACGAAGAAGGAGCCCGTGCGAAACCAGATTTCTCAAGAAAAGATTACGAAACCTTCACCATTACCATCACCTCCTCCCGACGGTCTTAGAAGGTCAAAGAGAACAAAAATTGCACCATTAGCATTTTGGAGGAATGAGAGAATTGTGTATACTCGTGCAGCTGATGAAGAGGACGCAGATACAACCCTTGCCAGTGATATAAAAAACATACCCTTACAAGAGATAGAGGCAGTTGTACATATTCCGGAAGCAAATAAATACATTTCTACAACTGCGAATAAGAAAAGGTCGGGACTGAAACTGAGAATCACTCCTCCAAAACTGAAAAAGTCACTGCCAAAACAAGTTGCATATGACTATGAATCTGACCCAGAAATTAATGGATCGGAGTGGTTTAAGGACAAGTCATTAAAACTTAGGGTGTTCGAGGGACCAAGTGACGATAGAGTTGAAAGATCTATAGCTTGGGCTCCTAATGAAGGTGATTTTGAAAATCCACCAAATACAGGGGAAATAGAAAATTTTAAAGTTGCAGCTTTATTTGGGGATGATCGTGATTTTACAGCTGGAGGCTTAATTGAATTTCCATATGGTGGGTTTAAGAGCCTAAGAAATTCATCTGATTCTGTTTATATATTCCATGTGGTGAAAGGCCTTATAGAAGTGACTCTTAATGAGAACAAGTTCGTAGTTACAAGAGGATGTTCATTTCATGTCCCTAGAGCAAATACGTTTGCTTTTAAAAATTTGGGCCAAGATACATCGAAGTTGTTTTTTGTTCAAAGTAAGAAGGTCATAGCAGACGATGATGAAGAATGGGAATAGGGTAATATTTATAACATTGTAATTTTAGACACGTAACGGTAAATTAATACTATCTTAATACTATACTATAATTGACTAAAGAAGAACAGTGTAAAAATTTATAAAGAATTTGTTATTATACATATAAATTGAATCATAGATTTATTCTAAATAGCATTTTAATTAGAATTGCTAATGCAAGAAGATGAAATGTGCAAGTAATTTGTGATTAGAGATTTTTAATTTTAATCACATTTAGTAATTTCTGAACTCTCATTATCAAAGTAAGCAATAGTGTTTACTTTGAATTCTGAAGCGGCTACACCAAACTGTTTCAATAACAAAGCCTTTCTAACATCTAAAGTTTCACCCGCAGTACAAACTACGTAAGGTTCATTAATAATGATTTTACCTGCCTTGATTTTTGTTGGTACTTTCAACTTGTTCCTCAAGGTTTCTTCTAAAGAATGTGACATTGGAACATCTTCTTCAATTGGAACTTGGCCACCTCTGGAGTACACAATACCCTCTGGAATGGTAAAATCAATTGGAGCCTTTGACTTAGCTCTAGAATAATCTTGCTTTGAGTAGGCAGTAAAATAAGCTTGAACAGTTTCTGGGGTTTCGCTAGTGAATAATAAACCTGATACACCAGTACATAACTTAGATAATTTATGTAAGTTATCTTTATATTCTTCTTCAGGAGTGTCACCTAAAGCTTTTTCTAATACTCTTCTTTTACCCAAGATTAACTTAGATCCAGCCCAATCAGTTCTGATATCTTGTAAAACTGGTGTACGGACATCATCTAACTGAAGAATCCAGACATAACGAAACTCATCAAGGGCAGATCTGACTTCGTCAAAGATCCTGGTCTTATTTTCCTTACCCTTCTTATCAGTCTGTGCTAATGTAACAAGCTTGGAACGTTTAGATCTAGGCATTATTGTAGATTATTATTTAAGTAGGGATATATCTTACTAGAGGGCTCTTCTTTTTATAAATTGCAGCTCATCTTGGTTTTTTTCTTCTGAAAAAAAAAAACTTAGATGTATCACGTGAAAATAATTTTTCAGCCCATGCAGTCTATCACTGATTAAGATCAAAATGAATTTGAAGCTCTTTTAGAATTGGTGGATCAAGAGTTCTCCTGTCACATTCCACAATTGGTTTTATCTGTGTGTATATCTTCGTTATAAATGATGATAGTAACTCATATTGAATTGCTGATGGAATTTTATCATTGTTGAGAAATATTTCAACGATAGCAAGATAAGTATCAATTAATTCGAGGATAAGGGGATCAATGTTTTCGTTAGAAGATGGCAAATTTCTGTGTTTTTGATTTGGAATCAGTTTATATGGGATACTAGACTTCGAGGATATACGAATTATTTTTGGAATGCTTGATAGTAAGAGATTTATTAATTGGTAACCACAACAATTAAACTTATTTTCCATTGGATTTGTGGTAAGCTCTTCGATTATGCTCAGCTTATTAAAGCAAATATAATACTTTAGACATCTTAATGCAGTTATTTGCTTTTCAGGTTGTTTGTGCTTTTCCTCCATGAATATGTGATCAAAAATAACGAACAAAGTATGTGGGAGCATCGTGCAATCTAACGCGCAAACCACTATACAAGCGGAATTTGATATAGATCTATAAAACTCCTTATTGTATACGGTGCTTTCAATAATTGTTCCTAGGCAATGATTGTAAGTTTCAATATCAATTTTGTTATCTTCAGCAAACGATAAATAGTCACATAATAAGACAACTATTATTTCAGCAAAGGGAGTTTTCAATAAAGCAGTCAATTCGTGGATGTGTCGCTTAAGAGAATTACTATATATTTCAATAATCTTGGAAATATTTGGGTTATCTCCATCATACTCACGGGTAATAATATACTGCAATTTTTTGACTGTATCCTGCATTTCAAATTCATTTGAAGTGGAGCATAGATTCAAGATTTCAAGTTCTATTAATTGGATTACCAGTTGGTGATCATTATTGTACTCATGTGATAAGATATCTAGAGATTTTAGTCTATCATCTATGTCGAGAAAACCCAAATAGTGGTATAAATCAAAGAATATCGATGGATTATGTTCTTTATTAGAAACGAGTGGTATGGTGGTTCGAGATAATTCAAATTTAGGGGCGCTATAAAGCGGACTATATTTCGTTCTCGATAACTTAGCAAAGGGCTTAATGTTCCTCTTGTCATAGCCACCTTTCTCATATGTGGCGATATATTCTGATTCGCTAAATTCAGAATCTGATGTAACTTGAGACGTTCCCTCTTTTGAAGAGTACTTGTGTGTTATTTCATGTACTTCATGGAATGCTCCGTCTTTATTATATTTGGCTTGAACTGTTATTGGGAAGCAGGGGATAGTACCGACATGTGTTTCATTATACAAATGCAACAAATTCTGTAAACAATTCTGTTGACTTCGTTCAAATTCATCATCTGTTATAATACTATTATTTTGAATATCTGACTTTAATGTTTGGGGTGGCGAAGGATCCTCAGACAGCATGGAAGAGCTTTCCAGATGTGGACGGATGTACTCGAACCGAGCTTTGTTATTTGAATAGAGTTCTTCAGAGCTTAATTCTGCATGATGAAGCCGAGGTTGTTTCGGTGTACTTTGAACTTCTTTGAGCTTTGGTTTTATTATTGGATATTGAATAAACTTCTTATCTATCGACCCCGAGATTGTATATTTTGCATTCATCTCATCCATATTGTCCATGTACTCATCTATTATAAAATCGTACGATATAAAATTCAGATTATTCTGCAATATATCACTATCTTGTTTACCAAGGCTAGGTATTTGAGCATTTGCTTCAACATAGGCATGGAATTTTGTGTTAGCTTGATAATTCAGGGTCGAAGAATATGTATTTATTAAGTCAGATACATATATACATTCGTTCTGAACTTGATCTTTACTTTCTAAACTCATGTTCCATGTGTTATATCCTATTTTTGCAGCACATGATTTTCTGGCTATCAAGTATTCTGTGATAAAATATATTACACTACCAAGGATAACCAGTAGCATTACCAATGATAATACAGTAAGTGTGTTTCGAGTAGGGTTAGAATACCCTAATATACGTAAGTCGTAATATTCGTTATCGCCTAGATTTTTCTCAAAAGAGCTTTCGAAAGCGTTTACAACATATTCTGTGTAGAAAATGCTCCCATGAATTTCATTGTCGATTGTCGTGGGAAAATTGGCATCTAGTAAGTATCCTTCTTTGATGTTTTCTTTGGTATGTGTTACGCAATCTAGCAAAGTAATTTCTACGTTTTCGTCATTTCCTATTCGTTTGATAGTTGATTCTCGCAAAAGTTTTGCATTAAGGTTTCTTATAAACTTTTCGATCCGATTAAGTAGCTTGAGAACAAAGTAGTCAAATGTCTTGAAAATTGACATGGTCCAAGGCCGAAGAAAATCAGTATGTTTATATATTATAAATCATTTAAAATATTAACCGCCAATGTGTTGCAAATTTGAGATTTTATAAAGAATGAGATTTTTAACAAGATTAGAATCGTACCATAATAAGGCGACGAAAACTTGTGCCTACAATGAAATATACGATTAAAAGTTTATTATAAGTGCAATAGTTTATATAAAACACAGAACACCGTACATTCTATACGGAGCAAAATAAAAAAAATAATGAAGGTTCGGTAACTTCATATGAAAATGACGATTTACTACCAGAAACTAGCCATAATTGGTTAGAACTGGCTATGTGGGAATATTAGATGAAAAAATACATATCATGAAGTCTCCAATAGTCTATTGAAATAGAAAGGCTATATTGCATTTCGAATCATCGACAATTAGATGGAAAATTCAACAAGTATTCGAAGACACCCAAGATTAATGGAAACCGGGAAAACTAGGAAAAACTAGAACCTGTATCATAGCAGTATATATAGTTTACCAATCACCTGGAACAACAGGCTCAGAAGGAGATGGAAGGTTTCTTTGGTATTTAGTACCACCTGGTCTGCAAGGAGTGATATAAGGATCTGGATGTTTCCATTCTTGTAATTTCTGTTCTGTTCTAGCAATAACTGCTTCCAAGTCGGAGGGATTGTTGATGCTCTTATTGGCCTCGAATTGGGCTCTGATTTTTATGGTTTCGTTTCTGTAAGCATCGAATTTTAAAGAACTGTCGAAGGCAGTTCTTAAAGCTCTTCTGAACAAGGATGCAACTCTCTTAGAATTGGCTTCTGTGAATGGTAAGATAGAGGTCGACATATTTTGAAAGGATTAACCTGTTTGTTTGAATCTATTATGTTAATACTGTTGAATTTTCAATGGTCAAAATTTCATTGGTTTAAAACGAAAACGAGAAAATCACGTGATCAAATAACTTTCTATAGAGACATACCAACTATCTACAGAACTATCCATCCTAGCTTTTCCACTTTAGAATGTATATAGATTAAGAATATATAATAACACAACAGAAGAATAGAGGAGAGATTCAATTTTCCGCTACACACATTAAACTTCCTACGAAAGATAAGATTAATCTGCTTCTAACCTCATTAATGTCTTCTGGGACTAACCAAATTAAGGCTCCCAACTTTCTGGCAATAGAAATAGCCAATTTGGCATTGGCATACCTTTGTTCTTCGGATAAATTAGAACCTTGGTGAACTAAGTCGTAGTCAACGTAGCCTGGTTTCATACCGTTTAATACATCCAACAAGAAGACACTATTACCCAAAGAGGAGTCTTTGAATGATCTTATAGTAGAATTCTTCCCACCTTTTACGACTTGAGAATTGGCCCATTTCAATATATCAGCATCAGATAAGTTTTTATTTCCGTCATTGCTCAACAGAGCTAAAGTGTTGGTGATGTTACGTCTCATTAATTGCCACACTAATGCCAAGGTTAACAATTTATTACCATCGACAATATCTGAACCTTCTATACCGACCAATGAGAAGTTGTTGGCTTTACCGATTTCAACCCCATAGTTAGTATTTTCTAAGGCTTTGAAACGAGATAATTCGCTTCCGTTAGCAGGCTTTTTATTTATGTGCTTAAAGGATACGCTTCCAGGTAAGACTTTTTCATAAGCTTGTAATAAGACTAATCCATCTTTTAAGTCTTCGAAAAGTGAAACAATAGGTGGATCGACATCTAAAGAATTCAACCACAATGTGAAAACTCTAGCTTCTCTTTCACCTTCTGCATCGAACTCTTCAATCTCTGGTCTTTCATGCTCTTCAATTGGATCTAAACCAGGATAGTTGTTGAAAACGTTAGCAACAAAAGCCAAATTCAATTTAGGATTACCAGCAACTAAAGAAGTTGGGGTTAAAAACTTACGGCATCCAATTTTTTCAGCATTGTTCAAGACCTGTTCAGCACGAGTTAGCAAATCAGAAGCTTTTAACGGGCCCAAGTCACAGTGTTCTGGTTGTAATTGATTCAATAAAACAGTGTAGTTTTCACCATCACTAATATCTTTCGAAAAGTTAGTAACCCTTCTTTGGGATCCTGCATTCTTCAAATGATAGTTAAACCAACGCAATAAGATTTGTTCAGGAGGCAACCTTAAGAATTGTTCCAAAGTTTCGTCATCCTCAAGTAAACGATATAATTCAGGGTGAAATTTAATATCAACCTTCGACAACAATCCTCTTCTAACAATCTGCCAAATTAATCCCAAGATTAAGTGTTCCTTACCATCAATAATATCTTCCGAATGAACATTTACAACAATACAACCAATAGCTTTAGCAGAATTTATAACAATATTTGCATTTTCAGACATCTGGAAATTGTTTAAAACCTTCTTCTTTGCGGATGGAAGGTTTAAAACACGAGTATCAATAGTATCTGGAACTGAATCGTTAATTAATTTAGACAATACTAACCCATCACGACATTCGTCAAATATTTGGAAATTTTCAGTACTAAATGGCAATCTGTCACCGATGTCCGCATCTCCTGCAAGAACCGAGTTTATATGTCTTGTAAATTCAATTCTTTCTTCATCATTAATAGTATGGGTTGTACCTGAAGTCTTACCAGTAATATATGTTTTATGAGCGGTATTGGCGCTTGGAACAGGCGCCGATGTTGATGCATTTGAAGCACTAGCACCTCCGGTAGCAGCAGCAGCAGCAGCAGGAGCAGCGGCTCTTGAAGGCGCTGATCTCGATTCTTTCAACTTAGCCATCAATTCTACATAATCATCTAATTCCACATGTCCAGAAGCATCGACATCTACATTTTTTAATGTTTCTCTTGCTTGATCATAAGTATATTCTCCTTTTTGAGAAACGGAGTTAATAACGTCTTTTTTTTCAACCCACCCCTTATCTTCTAAGTCAATGTTTCTGAAATCTTCAATAATCCCAAAAAGATCATTCTGCTCCAACACTGGGAACTTTTTTTGTAGTTTTAACACATTCATTGTATCAATTGACTAAGTAGTGTTCTGTTTATTAAGTCCGCTTTGATGTTTTCGCCCTTAAATAACAGAACATATGATACTGCATACAACACAGACCATGACCAGTTGCTGGCTGAGTTTTTTGCATCTATTGAAAACTATTGATTTCGACGAACCATGATATACCGGGTAAAGCCATACGAAATATGAACTAGAGAAATGATTCGGCAAACTTGTTTGAGAAATCAATTTGACGTAGTTAGGAAACTCCAATCTTAATACACGCTCGACTACAGCTGTTGGCAAATGCTATTCTTTTGGACATAATAATGTAGAATAAGAACATTAATCAGAAAGTCAAGAGGAAGGCCCGGTTATGGATATAAGAGTTATTGATAGTATATTTATATTGCAAGAAACAAAAAGTTTAGGGATTAAAATAATTCCCAATTTCCATTTATAGTTTCTCTAACATGAGGTCTGTTATGCAATATGCATATGACTAAATAGAACAGACCTCTTATTGTACAACAGACAACTTGTTTTAGCATACCTATGGTACAGTGGGTTAGTTTACGAAGCCACAAGTTGATAGTTGTAGCAGAGAAAACACACGCACGTGACACGTTTTTTGAGTAGATATCAGACACTTGATAAGTATGCCAATGGGTCGTAGAACAAATTTCATGCAATAAGGCACATTATCAAGACCAATGAGTTCAAGAGACGAGGAAGCATCTGAAATAACAAATACAGGCTCGACCATTATGTCTGGGATATCAGATGCAGCCCAATTATCCAAGGAGCAACCCGTGTTTGACATTGAACAAGTACAACTTCAATTCAGCCTTAATCATTCATTGCATAAATTATGTGTTAAAAATAACATCATGTATCTTTTAGAAGATATTTATGTATACAAAATTAGTTTGGAAAATCCTTCGGAGGTGAAACAGCTTCTGTTGCCATCTGGAACAGACAGTAAGATCATAGATTCGTGGTTACATCCAAATGGATTGCATTTGGTTATACGGACTAGCGATTCTAATTATTATTATTTGCATGAATCGTATAGCAACTTTAAGCTACTTCCTCGGTTTAAAAATATGGATATTAAGTTCATGGTATTTCCTAATTCACAAGAATATAGAGAATCTACAGGCGACTTCTTGATTGGAACAAAAGACGGTTCCGTCTACATAGGTCATATCAAGCATAATAATAATGGAAATGATAAAAAGAAAGATGACAAATATGTGAAATTAGTATACAAGCAACAGCAACCGATTTTTGGACTTACTTATGCTAACAATGATTTACAAATTAATATATTTACTAGTAATCAATTACTAATGTGGGATTGCTTTGATAATTCATATTCTGAGTTAATGAAGGTATTTAAAATGAAACCGAAAACAGTTCCTCTTCCCAAATCTAACAATCTGACACCCGTTTTTGAGTCTAACGACCAATATTTTGCATATTTAGTGTCACCTACGCATGAAATACATTCGAATGATCCAGAGTTATATCTTTCTAAAACAGAAAAATTGAATTTTTTAAATGATTCTGCATCTACTTATTCTAATTCATTGATAATAAGTCCGCATCATCTAATCTCATTGAATAAAAATCACGATAAGCTTTATATTCATAATAAGTTAGCGAATTCGAAACCTACTGTGATTAATGTGAAAGAACATTTGCTGAAAAGCGAAAAACTTCTTGGTATAACTGCAGACTATGCTAAAATGACATATTGGTTATATTCAAGTAATAATATATATGAGCTTGTTATTAACAATGAATCAACATCTGTCTGGTACAATTATTATAAACTTGGAAAGTACGAAAAAGCTTTAGAATGCCTTGAAGATCCGGATTCGAAGAATTTTTTTAAAAAGGATATGGTTCTAGTAAAACAAGGTTATGATTACTTACAAAAAGGTGGCTTCGGAATTGATTTTGTTGACGAAGATATTGATCAGGACTTATTTAGCCTTCAAGTGAAAGGAATTAAAATTTTAGGCCAACTGTCTGAACCATTTGAAAAGGTGTGTTTAATGCTTTTAAACTTACAGCAGCCTCTTATTGATGGTGATAGAGCTAAGAGAAATTATTCTTCAGAGAAATTATTAGTTGAATATTTATTGATGAAGTTCAAACTTGCCAAAACCGTAGAAAGATCTCGTATTAGGGTGATTGTTTTATCAACTTGGATTATCGAATTGATGCTCAGAACTACGTATGCATTAGAAAATGAAGTCAAACTCCTTACATCACTGGAGGCACCAATGATTCAAAAGGAAGATTCTTTCCAAAAGAATTTTGAAAAGAAGAAGAGCATGCTCAATTCGTTAAATTCTCTGTTTGAAAATTTCCTATCTCAAAACTATAAAATCCTCGATGCCGGAACAGTCTACCAGATAATAGGTGATTTACATTATCCTTCGAAATTAATATATTTTGCAGAATTAATACAGGATTATGAATTTATTCTAAACTATTATATTGATATAGAGGACTGGAATAGTTCTTTGAAGACATTAGTTAAAATTTACACTGTGTCAGAGACTAACAATGTGGATATAATTTATAAGAAATCGACAATATTATTAATAAATAGTCCAAAATTAACTGTTGAAACCTGGTTGAAATTCCCCAGTTTGAATTATGAAAAGCTCTTGCCAGCAATTTTAATTTATAATAAAAATAATCATACATTGCCATTAGCAGATAATCACAGCATCCCATTTTTACTGAAGATAATTTTTGATAAAGGTATTAAAGACAAGACCGTCAACAATTGTTACTTGTCTTTATTAATCACATATCCAATTAAGGATGATGATACTAGGAAGCGTTGCACAAGGTACATCGTTAGATTCTTGAATTATGCGAAGACTGAACCTATGAATAATTCAAAAAAGTTTCCTCTCTATTCTGCAGATTTCATTCTCAGGTTGTGTATCAATTATAAACAATATCAAGCCGCTGTTATTATTTTGATTAATGATATGGGTTTATATGAACAGGCATTAAAATTATCTCTCAACAATGGGTTAACTGAATTGGCTGAATTTGTGCTAAAAAAATATGAAGGGTCTATCCTTAATAATGGACAGTTAGAATTAATTGGTGACGACTACGAACTTGTGTACAATAAAAGTGAACCTGGAGATATAAATTCCGTTTCTAAAATAAAGTTAGAAGAAGATAACTTCAGCTCTAGGAAAAAGCTTTTAATGATGTTTGCTAAATATATTATTGATGGTATTTGCCAAGGGAAAGAGTTTGAAGTTTTGAATATTGTTGATGACGATAAAGAAAGCAATATTTTGGTATCACAAGATAATGAAGATGAAAAACAGAATGGCGATCCAGTTCAGGATGTTACTAATAATTTAGTCGATTCAATGAGAAAAGTTGATAATCTGGTCATTAGAGAAATAAACCTGTCCAAGCTAAGCAAGGCTCTTAGATACTTATTAAATTTGTCATTTGGGAACAACTCAGATTCGAGTATTATCACTCTTAAAGATTTATTACCATTATTTCCGGAATCTATTATGATTAATAACTTCAAGGATGAGATAGTGAAATCATTAAACCAATATAATACGAGAATCAATCAGTTATCTTCAGAAATGCAAGAGTCATTGAATATTACGCATAAGTTAAAGAGTCAAATCAAAGAATCTAAACAGAAGGAAGCAAGAGGCAAAATTTACACTATTATTGAACCTGGGGAACCATGTAAGTTGTGTCAAAATTTATTGATTAATAAAAATTTTGTGTGTTTTCCAAATTGCCATCATAATTTCCATAAAGATTGCCTCGTGAAGTATTATCTAAAGCTGAAAAGTGATTATAGGTTCAAAAAGATATTCCAAAATTTCAAGAAGAATGCAAGTGTATCAAATAAACAAGAATTAGATGATATTATGTTAAAGGAATGTGTTTTATGTAATGATGGAAATATTTCAACAATTGATGCCAATATAATTGATATCGATAGAAATAAAGCTGAATTACAAGAATGGGAACTATAAGTGATAAAATAATAATAAGTGCAAAAAGTAATATTTCTTATCTATAAATCTATAATAAAAATTGCATTTAGTTTTCATTAGATTATTCGGATGCTAGAGACAAGCAGTGTATTTGTATGTAGTTCCTTAGCTTTATCCTGCTGTACCACGAAGCGTAAATAAAATCTAATTTTATCTGCAGTATCTTTTTTTTTTTCCATCTCATCTCATTATTTAACTTAAAGCATTAGACTATTTGCAATATTTATAATAGTAACATAGATAATAACTAAGTATGGGGAAAACTCAGAAGAAACACAGTAAAGGTCGTTTAGATCGTTACTATTACTTAGCCAAAGAAAAGGGGTATAGGGCTCGTTCTTCTTTCAAGATTATTCAGATAAACGAAAAATATGGTCATTTTTTAGAAAAGTCTAAAGTTGTCATTGATTTATGTGCTGCTCCTGGTTCGTGGTGTCAGGTTGCATCGCAGTTATGTCCTATTAATTCTTTAATTATTGGAGTCGATATAGTACCTATTAAGGCATTACCAAACTGTATTACATTTCAGTCTGATATTACTACGGAGGATTGTAGATCTCAGTTGAGAGGTCATATGAAAACGTGGAAAGCTGATACTGTCTTGCATGATGGTGCTCCAAATGTTGGTTTAGGATGGGTTCAGGATGCATTTACTCAATCGCATTTGACGTTGCAAGCGTTAAAGTTAGCAGTTGAGAATTTAAACACCGGAGGAACATTTGTTACCAAGATTTTCAGATCCAGAGATTATAACAATTTAATGTGGGTATTCCAACAGTTGTTCGAAAAGGTAGAAGCTACCAAACCACCAGCTTCTCGTAATGTTTCGGCAGAAATTTTCGTCGTTTGTAAAGGATACAAGTCTCCAAAAAAATTGGATCCAAGACTTTTAGACCCAAAAGAAGTCTTTGAGGAATTACCAACCGGCCCTGATAATAATGAAGCAAAGATTTTTAATCCAGAAAAGAAAGTTAGAAGAAGACAAGGTTATGAAGAAGGGGATTATACTCTTTTCCACGAGATGCCATTGTTGGAGTTTATTAAGAATGAGGATCCAATCAACACTCTAGGAACTTTAAATAAATTATCTGAACCACCTAAGGATGATCATGAATGGAAGATTTTAAGGAAGACGAGATTATGTACACCAGAATTATTGGAATGCATTAAAGATTTAAAGGTTTTAGGTAAAAAAGATTTTAAACTTTTGTTAAAATTTAGAAAGCAGGCTAGAGACTTGCTTGGATTGGATGCTAAAGAAGAAACTCAAGAAATTGAGGTCGAGCCATTAACAGAGGACCAACAGATTGAAAAAGAATTACAAGAGTTGACGGAAAAACAAAAGCAAAAGGCAAAGAAAGCAAAGAAACAAGCTAACGAAATCAAGCAAAAGGAAATTCAAAGATCACAAATGAACATGTTAACAGATATGAATATTGGTATCGAGGCCGCTCAAATTGGAGCTGAATCTTTGTTCAACTTGAAAACAGCTATTAAAACAGGCCAATTAGATAAGTTAAGTAAAGGTAAGAAAAAGATGATCTTCAATGACGAAGAAATCATGAAGGATAATGACATTAACTTTGATGAAGATGCCGATGCTAATTCTGAAGATGAAATTGATGAGTTAGAAGCACAATTGGATGATATGTACAATTCTTATCAAAACAGAAGAGCCGAAAGAGATGCAAATTATAGAGCCAAGAAATTGAGAGGTGATGTTGATGACGAAGGTTGGGAAGGTATAGAATCCGATAAAGAAGGAAGCGAAGAAGAAGTAGAAGCTAATGACTATGAAATGGAAAGTGAATCTGATTCTGACGACGATGAACATATTCAAAGAATCGCAGATCAAAGGAAAAAGGAACTATCTAAGAATGCTAAGGTATTTTTTGCATCAGATAGCATATTTGGCGAATTAGGAGATGATGCATTGCTTGAAGAAATGAGCAAGAAAGAAGTCAAGCCTGATAACGTTACTAATGGAAATGCTACTGATCATGAAAATCATATCAATAACAAGTCCGACCAAATGGAAGTTGATAGCAGCGATAATGAAAGTGATGGAAGTGAAGACAGCGACTTTGAAATTGTTCCTAATGCTCCAGAAGAAGAGCTCTCTGATAGTGACTCTGACAATGAAAATGACATATCACGTAAATATTCGAAAGCAAAGGATCAACAGCAAAAGGTAGATATTGCTACTGTTGAAGCCATGACTTTAGCCCATCAAGTGGCGTTAGGACATAAAAACAAGCATGATTTAGTCAATGAAGGTATCCATAGATACTCTTTCAGAGACCATGATGACCTTCCAGACTGGTTTGTGGATGATGAAAAGAGAAATTCGAAGATAGTTAAGCCAATCACTAAGGAAGCAGCATTAGCTATCAAGGAGAAGCAAAAACAATTGAATGCCAGACCAATCAAGAAGGTTTTGGAAGCACAAGGCCGTAAGAAGTTAAGAGCATTGAAGAGATTAGAGAAGTTGAAGAAGAAGTCTGATATGATCAACGAAGACAGTGGAAAGTCCGAAAGGGACAAGGCAGATGAAATTCAAAAGTTGATGAAGAAATTAACCAAGAAGCAAAAGACAAAACCAAAGGCCACTTTGGTTGTTGCCAGAGGCTCCAATAAGGGTTTGAGTGGTAGACCTAAGGGTGTTAAAGGTAAGTATAAGATGGTTGATGGTGTTATGAAGAACGAACAAAGAGCTTTGAAGAGAATTGCAAAGAAACATAAAAAATAGGCATAATCCGCACCATCTTAATTTACCCCGAGATATAGTCAAATAGTATATATACTATAATATTACAATATAAAACCGTACTTAAACTTATCCATACGGCTAAGGACCCTTTGGCACATAAGTCTTATTGTTTATTACTCAAAATATTTTCTTTTCCATTTGTAATTATAATCATTTCTAGTATCACCTACGTTGAGTTGGACTTTTATAGTTTTACGAATTACGTTAGAACACAAGTCTATTGTATTCCAGTATCATAAATAAGCTTATAAAATTTTTCTCACCCATTAAGTACACAATCGCGTAGAAAAAGTAATTTAACCCAATCTAAAAATACGCAAATTAGCTTCATCTCTTCTTTCATAATACTAAATAGTTGGTTTTTTAAAAAGCATATTTGGGAGTCATATTGACTGACTATTTATTACTTATTCACATATTTGCTACGTGTTACGTTAGCGTCCATTCATTATTGCATACCACAGACCATTAATATCATTTTTTTTAGTTCATCCGCCGTTCCGGATTTTTCATTTTTGTATACTTGATGAGTTCATTACCAAATCCTTCAAATCTAGCTCTTACTCCTGGAAGGAGACATAGACATAGAAGGTCTGCAGCAATTTCTGGAGACTTCGACCTGGTTGGACTCGGGTTGTTTTCGCCTACAGCCAACACTTACACGCATACACTGAACACACCAAATAATACGACATCGAGTGAAAAGGACGACTACGGAAAAGGTGGTGAGGACCTAGATAGGCATTTTAATTTCAATAACGAGGATGATTTTTGCAAGAAACCGACTGGAGATGGCTTCTCATTCCCTAATAAAACACCAGACATGAATCAGAATGACCAGCGCAGTTTCATAGCTTTTACATCGCCTCCCAGAAGACCAAATAACTACTCATTGAATTCACCTATAAGATTGAATCATTCTAAATCGGCGTCGACATCAAATACGCCTAAAACAAAGTTTTTTTTGACGGAGGAAACCAATTTTAATAATGAAAATGTACCGGATGCAGTAATTGATCTTGATGAAATCCTAAAAGCTAACACAAATCTGGAAGATACGAATTCACCATCTATACCTATCCACAAACGTACCCAGCTGACGCCGCCAGAATTATCGGGACATGATGACTTCTTAGCATCGCCCTTTTTGAAGCCCGCTTCTAGTCCGTTTATTTCATCACCTTTATCGTCCATTAATAACCCACTTTTTCAACAACCCATTAAAGAACAGACAAGTGATAACGATGATATTGATGATATTGATGAAGTCGATGAACTCGATGAAATGGAGGTGGCGAATGAGGACAATCTCGATTTGATAGCTGACCATGACGAAGAATTTTTTACAAATCCACAACACACATTGGAGGGTCTCTATTCAAATTCATCAGCTAATTCATCATGCTCGAGTTTGCGCTCATCTAAGGCTATTGAAAAGACGTTATCCAACACATCGAACAATTCTGGTATTTCAAGTGGTAAAACTGACACGCTATCACATACCAAAAGATCTGGTGCAAAAGCAAATCGTTACCAGTCCTTTTATGATCAGTCTTTCAAGGTTTCAAATGCTTTGAAAGTTTCTTCGTCTGAGAGCATTAATCTTGTTAGGTCGAACAGTATCACAATTAGGATAGCGGGCACATCTAATAACAAAGAGATGAGACTATTAGGCCATTCTTCAAGTTTACCGAGTCTCAAGTCTAATACTCTGAAGCGGATCACTTCAAAGCCTTCGAGGCTAGGAGATACAAGGGCAACTGATCGATATGGTGAAAATAGAAATAGTGAATCTAGGGCTTTGCATTTTGAGAATACTGTACAATTACCTTCGTCGTCTCCTCGAGTCAAGAATTCAGTTGCGACGAAAAGCGAAAACAAAGAAGAGGTTAATAAAATTCCACGAACAGGGGAGAGTGGCCTCGGCAAGAATAATTCGACTAGTCCTACCAGCATTACATCAAACTACACTTCGCTTTCTATAAACGGAACCGCTCCTTCTACAGAACATTCGTCACTTCTATCGCAGCAGGATATAACTAATAAGCCTGATAACAGTCCTTCGAAGCAAATTAATCAGTCTAACCAGACTACTCTCACAGACCTGAATTCCGTGCGAAGCAAAACTAGTACGTCTAACACATCCATTATTTCAGGCGCCAATAAATCTAGTATCTCCAACAGAAGTACTGTCACTAATAATTCAAATTCAACACCCCCAACGATTGTGGTGAGCTCAGATCAAGATAGCTCACCTTCGACTGACGCAACTTTCGAAGTAAACGATGATGTACAAATTCAATTAGCGCCTTCTGCTTCTACTGTGGCTGTTTCCACTATACCTGTATCAGCCAATCAATTCTCATCTCGACTTCCATCTCCAAAGGAAGAGGCATTTCTCAGGGAAATAGAAATTCCATCATTTAAAAATTGCAATAATGGATCGCCAAAAAAAAATAGACATTCGAGGTCAAAATCAAATGCTTTAGTAGATGAGGTGGTAGCAAATATACCTAATACTCATGCATTAGATAATCAGAGTCTAAAACTGAAAAGAAGAAGTAGTAAATTTATTAGTTGGTTTAAGCGTAAGTAGCACTTTTTTGTCGCAAGTCGCGTGCACATTTTGGAAAAGTCAATTTAAGCTTCAGTCAAATATAGTTGTATATATATATATATGTATAGCCACTAATTTCTACACTATGCTTTATGACATACCATCTAACTTCTATGATATCCTTGACAATAAGTATCAGGAAGCCGTAAAGAATGAAGATATTATGTTTAATGGCGGATCGGCCATCAATAAGTTAGAACAACAAAAGATCGGCGATTCCACATTCAACTATCAGATTACTTTGCTTACTTCGCTTATGCATAGACCAGAAAAGGGATCCAAAGAGAAGAATCCTTTTGAGAAACCGGAAAAAGAATTAACCATATTAGACACATTTGGACCAGATGACGAATTCAAGATTGTGTTCAACAAATTTCCCGTTGTTCCAAGACATTTCATGATGATTACAAGAGAATTCAAGTCCCAAGATACTCCATTATCACCTTCAGAGCTAATTGGGATCTACACACTTCTCAGCAAGGTGAAGAATGAATCGAAGGAAAACTGGTTTGCGTTTTATAATTCTGGGCCCCAAAGTGGTGCATCTCAGCCTCATAAGCACATTCAATTTATGACTTTACCAGATGGCTACAAGGCATTCGGGGAAGAATTGGCATACACATCTGGACCATTCATTCCGAACCAGAAAAATGAACCTTTACAAAACAAGGACTTGCCGTTTGCCCATTTTACTGCTCGTCTTCCTCCCAATGAACTGGACCTTCAACACGAAGACTTAACAATGTACTTTGTATCTTTATTGCAACGCTGTTTAACCGTACTGAAACAAAATGGTGCGGAACACATTTCTTACAGTTTCATAATGACTACAGACTACATGATGCTTGTTCCTAGATCAAATGGCGTCTACAAGAACACCATTGGGATTAACTCCTGTGGATATGTAGGGTTATTTTTGTGCAAAAATGAAGAAACACAATCTTTAGTCAAGAGTGATGGCCCTCTTACCATTCTCGAAGAATGTGGTTTTCCTAATACCTCGGGGGATGCTGTTGACGAATACCATTATTGAGTAGTTCTATTTTACACGATATATAGATATAATTTACAAGCTTGCACTTATTTCCAAATTAGGAAGTCTAAATAGAGCCAATGAAATCAACACAAATTTTGATTTCTCTCGCGCACCAAACAAGTTGAAATTGACTAAAGAGATGGTACTGACCCTAATATACGTTAAGAATCAGTATAAAATTTAAAGAAAGATGGCTTCCATTACTTCTATTGTCAAGACTGCTGACTACATTTTATCTAGACCAGTTTTATCTAAGGTTGTGACTCCTGTTGCTAAAGCATTCGTTGCTTACGCCGGATACAGAGAAATGGGTTTAAAGTATGTATTTATGGATGATGAATTATATTAAATCAAGGCTACTTTTTGTTGACAAGTAAGCCATGAAGCTACGAGATATGTTAGTAGTTTTCAAAGCTGTATAAGAAGCATTTACTAACAATATAGATTTAATGATTTACTCATAGAAGAAACTCCAGTTATGCAAAAGGCTATTTCCAGATTACCAGATGAAGAAATCTACGCAAGAAACTACAGATTCATTACTGCTCACCAATGTTCTTTATCACATCAATTATTACCACCAAACCAAGCCGTTAAACCAGAAGAGGACACCCACTATTTGGTTCCATACATCTTAGAAGCTGAAAAAGAAGCATTCGAAAAGCTTGAGTTAGATAACATTGAAGTCGCTAAATAAGTACGGTGATACAGCTTCATTGCTCTAAAAAGAATAATGTCATATTTTTAAGATAAAGCAGTTTTATTTGATTTCAGTTTCCATAATTTTCAAACTATTTAAATTTTTTGTATTTGAATTAACATTGTATAAAGGTACGTGTCGTTAATATGTAGAGTGTAGTCATTGTATACGAAAAGAGTGGAATACAAAGTTGTATAATTTATAATTAATTATTATGGGTTTCTAAAGAAAATCTATAAGAACTATTAAGTCCAGTCTATAATATGATACAGTTATTCACGAGCATTCTCTATGCTATTAAAACATACCAATCTTGAACTTTCTCAACTGCTCTAAAGCTAAGAAAGTGACGATGGTATGAGGACCAAGTCTAATAAAGGAAGGTAACCAACCTCTGAACATGAATCCAACTCCTTCTGTTTTAACTGCAGTTGTTAAAATAGAAATAGCACCACCTTGACTGGCACCTTTCGAATTCATGATTCTTGTCTTGACGACATCTGCTGGAGAACAGACTGTAGTTGCCACTAACCCAGCAAGTAATGAGGCACTAAAATGAGTACCCTTTTTCGATGGGTCCAAATTGAAAGTATCCACTAATAAGTTTTTTGCGATATCATAGGTAACGACTTGTGATGCAGTCATTAAAATACCACGAGTCAAGTTTGGTACCAATCCTCTGAATAACGAAGAAACTTTCTCTTCTTTGATTATACGGAAAATACCATCAAAAGCATTTCTGTAGTTTCTTCTTTGTTCTATTGGTAATGTTGAGTCATTCTGCATTCTAATATTAACAACATCGGATGGATTACCTACTAAACCACCCAATGCACCTGCAACCATAGACATTGGCAACAATATACCAGTTGATGGAGTTACATGATATTTTTCGGTATAACTTTCTTTCAAGAATTCATATATACCAAATCTTGCAGTCGAATATGTTGCTTGTCTTAATAAGGATGCACTCAAACCCGAGTAAATCTTGAAAAATCCTTCTTTGGTTATAATTTGGTACACCATCGAACCTAAAGACTGGCCAGGTTTAGATGCAGTTTGTAAACGAACTTTGGCGAGATCTAATGGATGTGTCACTAAGCATGCAATCATACTGGCAGCACCACCATACCAAAATCTATATTAATGTTAGTCTTGTTAATCACCTGTCAGACATTTTGGTCTAACTTCTCATGATCTCTCGATATTACATACGGGTAATTCACTTTTTTATTTGCTGTAGACATTCCTTGTGACTTGTTGAATTGTTATTTATGCCTTCACAAATACAATTATGTATCTGGATCCTTCAATATTAAATAGTAAATCTTTGGTTCATTAGAATTGAATTTTTTTTTTTTTTTAACCGGAGTAATCAGATTGAGCGCGGGCGATATCGGAGAAACCTTTCTCCAATTTTTGACGTCGATTTACATTTCTACCTGGTTTGGACTAAAATTTCCCTAATTATCCACTAGTTATATCTCAACAACACGCCTGTTACCCAACCAATTTATTCCTGTGGCTTTTAATCTCATTTATAGAACTAATATACTTAGATTGGTAGGTCAATTGCAGAACTTCTGAGATTATGCAGTTAAAACTTAATTTCAGGCTTAATTAGGTAGAGCGGGGCAAGTCCAATATAAAAACTATATAAATTCTTGCTACATGATGATTTTCCATTATCATTATATTGCATCTATAACTTAGCTTAGAAATATCTTGCGTAATTATCTGAAATAATCATCTTCAGTGTTGAAGCCAAATATTTTATCTTCATCAACTCCCATATACTGGCCGTATAACTTCGCATCGCGCGGGTCTATGTTCCCCACTTGACGAATGTATGTGCTATTGAAACGATTTATTTCGCCAGGTGGTCGTTGATCGTTGCAGTTGACTAAGGTTGATGTGTAGTATTTGTAAATATCAATGTCCTTGAAGTCTGTATCTAGTTTATCAGCTACACTAGATGTAAGGGTTTTAGGGTACACAGACAGATCATAAGTAAAATTTGACAAATCTGCCTGCGAATGGTACAAGTCCAAATCTTCCTCCTTTAATTGTGGCTTTGCTAGAGACTTGATATAATCATACTCGTCCATAGATTCCAGATCTGCCATAGAAATAGACTCAAAATGCAAATTAGGTTTCGTAGAATACGACTTAGGTGATTTTAAATCCTTCGATGAATGTAATCCAGTTGTATACCCCAACTTCTCGATTTTTGTTGCAAGAAAATTCTTAATCTTCTTTGAATTAGCAATGCTAATATAATTATGGTTGGAATCGTTGTGGTGAGTATATTGTTGGTTCTTTTTGAGGAAAGTATTCGAAGGATTTCTTACAAACTTCAGTCTGATAGACTGATTTTCTAGGTCGTCTTCATCTTCATTCTCTTCTATATCTTTCATACTGCCTTTTGTTTTGTTATCGCTTTCTTCCTTACAGACTTCTAAATATTGCAAATTCTTGACCCCATTTTTAGATGTCATGGCATCTGTTTCGTCAGTCCTGTTTGATCTTAAAAGCTTTCTCGACTCAAATGGGCTGTAGTCAAATTTCTTAATCGGTCCAACATTAACAATAGAAGGGAAATAACGTGCATTTGAGTTCATATTAAACTGAAATAGCTCATACATCGATTGGAATTTCAGAGGGCTATAACATTCATTGAACCAATTATCATTGTATTCTGGAAATGGCATGAGCTTTTCGTAAGTCATATCAAATTCATATTTGCTTTTTTTATTAGGCTCGATCATATTAAATTCAAACCGATCACTTGATAAGTAGTTTTCATTGTACCAATGAATGTAGCTTAATTTTATCCTTATATCTTCAATCAATATATCATTATGCAAATAAAAATCGTTTTGTAGTTCCCATAATCTAGGCTTATTCGGAAAATATTGATAATTCCCTAAAAACAAATTAATAGCCTCTTGTCTTGTCAGATCCATAAAAGAATTCGAATAAATTCTCTTTATACTATTCAAAATATCTCTGGTATGTGATGACCATTGATTGATTCTACGGTATGAATCCATAGTATTCACTAAGTTAGATCCACCATATTGTACTGCGATTGTGTCTCCATGGTCGTGAAATATTTCAGTAAGAATGTTTATCAAATCAGAATCATAATCCAAGTTTGTCGATTCTGAAATGATATTAAGGCTTCTCAATTGATAAGAAAGTGCTTCCTTACAGATTATGAACTGAGCTGCATTTGTACGATCAAGACAATCAATACAATTGGTTCTAATTATACCTTTCTGAATTTTCGTTGAAGCGAGGTCGGTACCATTGTGAAAAAAACCAATTCTATCTATCGATTCAGATGCAATCTTCTGTAAGGGTGTAATAACATCTAAATTTTTCTTAGAATGTTTAGACATATCAAATGAATGGTACTGTAATTTATGTTCTTCAGGCAAAAATTGATTTAAATATTTTATACAATTTGTAAAATGTTGGTTCAATTTCAGTTCTCGGGGCTGTTTTTCCTTGGTTTTGATTAAGTTTAATATAATCACAGGCAGGCCGTACCTTTCAAAAAGACTATTAAAATGTATTGCCGAGCTTTGATAAAATGGGTCAGGCAAATTTATCTCAATAGGTGGTTTGGGTAATCTATTCAAATCCTGAGTCCAATAGAGCGGAATGGATCCTCTATGTTGAACAAAACTAGTGAATCTTGGATTATTAAAAAATCCATATTTTGTATCATGGAAAGATGATATCAACATATCTGACACAATTTGTTCTGTTTCAACCTCATTAGCAACATTTCCTTTATCGTTTACTCCTCTTTTCAAGAATCTTGCTCCAGCAAAATGATGAGAACGACGAGCTAAAATTGTAATATAAATCTTCTTTCCATAAATTGATATATTAGCCTGATCAATAAACCCATGAATAATTGGTTGGAACCATTCATAAGTCGCGATATCTGGATTTTCTAGCATCGGTCTAAGTAATAGTTTATTCCAAACAAATCGCTCATTATGATCAAAATTATCAAATTGGTTGGGTTTGCCTTTATTCTCATGCTTATCCTGCTTATACTGGTATTCTGTTGCTAGTTTCTTATGCCTTATGAAGTTAGTTTGTAATGTGTTCGTGAGGTCGTACGCATAACTGAAGTAAAACGTCTTTCCCAAATCCATATACTTGAAAATGGACAATAACCTTTCTTCGTCACTGTATTTTTCTGGTCTTCTGTAATTCACATCTAGCGGGATAAGTTTAGTTTCGTCAACATGATATATAAAATGTCCTCCAATAATAGCTACTTGGCTTCTTTTGGTGATTATACTTAGATAATAACCTTTAGTGAATTTAATTAATCCCAATAATCCGAAACCTTGCGTTATTTTACGAAGATTTCCTTCTACAGACTCATTTAAACCATTGATCAATTCTATCATGTCTTTTCTAGTATAAAAGTAGTTTTTATCTTCAATAATTGTTAAATTAGTTTCATCTTTAGGGTCTTTACCTATCTCCAACACTCTAAATAAACTCTCTTTTGCATTACTGCCAACTATGTACATGGTATTAAGCGAATTATATATCGTGAATTTTTGCAAGATAATACGCTTATTGTTATATTCGGGAGACGAGTTGTATGGATCATCATCTTCATTTTCTACATCGCTTTCATTGGCAACACTATTATCCGCATAATTATCTGTCAAATCGTTTGAATTATTTCCATCAGTCTCAGGGTTGGCATTATCAATTCCAGTATCAATTGGAACTTCATTGTAATTTGACCCACTATTTATACCATCTACTGCCAAACCTTCCCGTAAACTATTATCGGCACTAGCTTCATTATCATTATATATCACTGAGTCGGATAGAGCATCCTGTGAACTTGACTTTTGGTCCATTTAATTCATCGATATTCAACAGTATGTTGGTTAAGTGAATAGCAAAGAGGTATAAGAGCGTTATCAAAAATCACAATGCACGTGATTTTATTGAAAGTACTGTTACAAGTCTACAATCAAGTAAATATCTCTAGTCGAATCGTAACCTATCTACTAAATACCTATATGTATTGCCCATTTAGGCTTATAATTCATGGAAAGGGTATCTATTTAGCTTGTTGACTATATATTAGCAATTTAAAATTATAGCTCACCAACTATAGGAATCTTCCACTTCAAGCCCTCTCTGTCATAGGCGCAAACTCTCTTATTCTTGCTATCTTTTTCTTCGGTTGCCAATTCTTCACTCTCATCACATTCATGCCAATCCATTTCAAAATCACCAAATCTATTAATGAATTGTCTTCGTTGGTATACAGTATTGAACTTGAACAAGCGCTTCTTGAAGCGATTGTTAAAGTAGAAATCAGCATACTTCAGAAGATCTTCAAACTCAATTTGCTCATCTTTATTGGCATCACTGTTATTAATGGCTTCCATTGCTGCTATACTGTCGGAATTAAAGTGGTATCCATGCAAAAACTCCTTATCGTATTGATCCCAAATGGAATAGGGGTCTGCCGAGCCATACTGTTGCTTTGATTCTAGATTTTCCAGAGCCCCACCATTCTGAACATAGCTCAATGCTTTATAAAAATTTTTTAATGGAATATTGATAAAGTATCTGTAGTCAGTCTCCTTAATCGTATAATAAAGTAAATCGTAGTCGTTAAATAGTAATGATGGTTGGCAAATATCAATGAAGAAAATGCGGAAACCAGACTTAAGGTATAAACCAATTTCTTCCATTACAACCTGTACTTTCTTGGTTTTATTATGCTTGTTAATTTTGTTAGATTGGGGGATATGAATCTCACCTAGCTTCATGAGACAAAATTGCTTCTTTGGTAAAATATTGTTGATATTTGTGGGAGGATAGAATGTTTGAAGGACAGGGTTCCCATCATCATCGTTATATTTCACTTCAAACTTTGTGGTACCAAGACCACTCCCATGCTTGAGGATTAGACCAATGTTCAAATTATATGTCCCCGGAGATAACCACATACTCTTTGTATACGAGAGTAAGTACGTCCTGTTGACTTCCACAAAATGATTATATACATAGTTAGTTGGCTCGTCTATCTTATAGTCTTTGTATTCAGCAAACAATCTCTTGTTTTTTAGAAGCGAATAGATGTACTTCCAAGAGTCTTTAATGTACATGCAATGAAACGGGTTATCGTCATGAGCTTTCTCGATCGTTATATCTTCCAATTCTAACCGAGACGCTATTATATTCCTCGATAATTCCCTGAAAGAATCTAGCGTCTTGACATAAACCTTCAACCAAGGCAATACTTTAATAATAATATCCAATATGCTCTCTCCAAATGTTCGAACAATCTTCTCGTAGTACATGTCATTGTAAAGCATATAAAAATGTGAATTAACATGCTTCAAAGCGCTTGATGGCTCAAGCGTTATCAATTGAACCTGGATCTCTAACGGTAGTTTTCCTATCATTGAACCCTAAGATCTATAATACCTTCTTCACTAAACGCAAGTTAGTTAAACCACTTTCAGTTCTTATGATTGCGGGTCATATTCACGTGAATTGGACCCCTTTGATAAGCAGATTTCAGAATTGCAATTCCATACCAAATAACAACGTCGATAGTGGCATCGATAGCTGGTCACAACAGCCATTGCTACTGGAGGAACATTATACTCTCCTGGTCTTTTAAAGAGCTGGTCTAATACGCATGGAACATGGTTCCCTCATAAAAAAGCCTCGGGGGGAGAAATTGGTCCTCTACTCGTTTATTCCGTAAAATATACCAATACCATACATCTTGAGTATCAAGCGGACTCCCTGAGCCACATAAGTCTCTAAGTATATCACGTACTCTATATGAGATCAAATCCGAGAATAACATGTTTTGCCGCTCCACAAGCGCCATGTATAATCTGATAACTGCATAGAACCACGTACGAATAAGCACTGCTCTTTATACTTAGAAGAAAAGACCCAAGTCCCCACTGGTGTATACCACTAGCGTCATTACAGGCATTCGATGATATTCCAGAGAAACTGCACCTTCAATCAAATTCTGGGGGAATAACTGATAACTACAAGAAATCTATATCAAATATTTAAATAGTTGTACATCGGCTATTTTTTGGCCTCCAATTGAATTCCCACAGCCATTAACACCCAAAAATATGCCAATTTTTACTACCGCCCGCAAGATTCTGCTCTGAAGTATACTGCTTCCTTATCAAGTGTTATAGATATTTGCAGTTATAAGACCTGGGTGTCACGTGAGTTCGGGATCGAACGTTCGAGAAGGCGAAACTTCCACTAGTGATTAAACGTTGCGATATAATTGAAGTATTAATAGGTGGAAAAAGAACAGTATTTTAAGCAATTGATCTAAATAATTAAAACATCCCTATTAAAAATACAATATGACTACTGTTACACCAACCGTTTTATGGGCACAACGTTCTAACGCAGAAGAAGCGAGCAAGAATGTGATTTATATGACCATTGAAGTCCTTGACCCAATTAATATTAAGTTGGACTTAACTTCAACTAGCTTGAAGTTGACCGCTGATTCACTGGATAATGGTACTCACTATTCATTAGACTTGGAATTTTTTGATGAGATCGATACAGAAAACTCCCATAAGAATACTGAATCAGGACATCAAATCTATTTGATATTGAGAAAGAAGAACTTGAAGGAAGAGTTTTGGCCAAGATTGACCAAGGAAAAGTTGAAGTTACACTACATCAAGACCGATTTTGACAAGTGGGTTGATGAAGATGAACAAGATGAGCAGCCAGAAGAAGACGACATGTCTAACATGATGAACATGGGTGGTGGTGCTGGAGGCATGCCAGGCATGCCAGGCATGGGCGGTATGCCAGGAATGGGCGGTATGCCAGGAATGGGCGGTATGCCAGGAATGGGTGACATGGGTGGAATGCCAGGAATGGGTGACATGGGTGGAATGCCAGGAATGGGTGGTGCTGGCGGTGCTGGAGGAATTGACTTCGCCCAAATGATGCAAAGCATGGGTGGTGCTGGTGGCGAAGGTGGAAATTTCGACATCAGTCAATTAGCCAGTCAATTAGGCCAAGCTGGTGGAAATGCAGGTGAAGATGAGGGTGAAGACGAAGCTGAAGGTGAAGTAGAAGAAGTTAAATAAGTTTAATAGTATTATATTTGCCTTGTACGGTCTTGCTAAAGAGGTACTCCTAGGTAGAAATCTACGTCAGTAAAGTCGCAAAGACTGTAATATTGTAGTGTCATATAATTCTGGCCCATTTTGATAAAATTAATCCGAGGGGCACAAGATCCACTTGTTTTAGGCGGGTATCGAATTCGCTAGATTCAGTGTTGGTGTGATTATCTGGAAACGGCGTGCCCATTTCAGTTTCATCAAACACAATCGGCCCTTCATTTTGCTCCTCTATCGGTATTTCGTCTGGGTGAATCACTTCTCGCTGAATGTTAACTTCCCCTGTTGGCTGCAAATTAGGTAGTTGTCTATTCCATGTTATTGGCGAATATGTCCCCTTATCGTTCCCTTCCTCGGTTCCCTCATAGGGCTCATTCAAATAGATCTCATATTTTCTATAGAATTTTAAGTTATACATTAAGTTGCAAATAAAATTGACTGTCTTTGCCGAGTAATCTTTCAAATCCATGAATGGATTACTCAGCCCTTCCTCTGTTTGAAATTCTTTTTCGTCATTTACCTGCCACTTTTTCGTCATAAGCTGGTTACCCTCCGTTATGAAATGGTCAAATATTCCAAATAGCCCTATTATCTTTGTATCCGTTCCAATAGGTGGTAGTTCCGGGTGTTCAGGTCTTTCTTTAGCCAGAAAATGTTCACCCAAAACGGTAATAAGTTCCGATAATGACTCTACCAAAGTCACGTTGACATTACCAACCCTATTAATGTAATTGACGCTAGTGGTGAGTTCTGGTTGATCTATATAGTAATTCTCATATAGTTTCAGATCCGCTATAATAATATTCGCCTTACCGCATTTATGATCTGTACCACATAATTTTTCCAAAATTACAGTCGTGAAATCTTTAAATGATGAGCAATCGTTAACATACAGTATCATCAATTCTTTTATCTGTATAAATACAAGTTAATTCTATGCTTAGTATGCTTGTATCAGCATATATCACACGACATTTGAAAATGTCGCGTTGATTCGTGTCGTGTGTTTCTCAAGTCTGAAAATTCCGAGCGAAAAATTTCAATACACCTTGAATTAATGGGTTATCACAGGTTGAGTTAGGTTTATTTTAAGACTAGTAGCGACCAAATGATGGGCAGTTCCAAGTCATATGTTACCCTTCACCGAGGTATAGTCCGTGGTGCATTACTTCGTCGCCAGGCATACTCTACCGCAGCCGTGGAGGAGAAATCATTGGAACAAATGAGTCAAAGAGAATTACGTGAAAAAGCTGTAGCTGAAGCTCTCGCAAGAGAAGAAGAAGCGGCTGCAAAGGCTAAGGCATTACGTGAATTGAAGAATCAAACTAGAGATTTGCTCAGTTCGTTGAACAAGATACCATCTACTTTAGTCACTTCCAGATTACAGAAATTGCAAGGTGAGTTGGATGGCATTCCAAATCAAGAAAAGGTCAAACAATTAGATCAAGAATTGGAAGAATTCATGATAGAGAAGATGAACTTGCCACAATATGAAATTCAAAATAGGCCGTGGGCTGTTGTGCCTAAGCAAACCATTTCCAATGGTGAGCAAGGAAAAGATGACGAAGTGTCCACCCAAATTAAATCTACCACCTCCAATTCATATACCAGTCAATTTCCAAACTTGAAGCCAACTCCTGACTATAAACCATATTCAACACAAGAATTGTATTTAAGGCAGTTAGCGCATTCTCGTCAATCTGGTAATTTAGGTTCGGAATTATCCAATGTCTACAGACCAAGAGATGAAGTCAAGAAGCCTCGTAGTGTTTCCGAAACAACTATTTCTACATTGATGGCCGCTGGTTGTCATTTAGGTCATGCCAAGGCTATGTGGAGACCTTCAACTCAGCCATATATTTATGGTGAATACAACGGTATTCATTTAATAGACTTGAATGAAACATTATCTGCGCTTAACAGAGCGACCCAGGTCATAAAGGGTGTTGCTGCCAAAGGTGGTATCATTTTATATGTTGGAACAACCAAAAATTGGGAACAACATCGTGCATTGGAAGAGGCTGCCAAGAGAACTCGTGGTTACTACGTCTCTAAAAGATGGGTCCCAGGTACTATCACGAACTTTACTGAAGTTACTAAACAAATAGGAGGTAATAGTAGAATTGAAGTCGACATGATGGATCAACCTACTGATCGTAAGTTGGGAGAAGAAACCTCAGGAAACCTCATTAAGCCAGATTTAGTAGTCTTATTGAACCCTGTTGAAAACAGAAATTGTATCAATGAATGTATCAAACAGAGAATCCCAACCATCGGTTTGTGTGACACTGATATGGAACCATCCTTGTTGACATACCCTATTCCATGTAATGATGATTCGATGAGAGCATCCTCCTTGATGACTGGTATTTTATCTAAATCTGCTGAAGAAGGTTTAAACGAGAGATTAAATCTTTCCAAGGAATACAAGTTAGCTCAATCAAAGTTTGGCAACAAATTAGCACAAAAAACTGCAAGAATTGTTAATTCTAGTACGCGTTCTGCTACTGCCTAAATAAATTATATATATATATATTGTAGATAGTCCTTTTAAAATAATATTCATTAGCAAATTATACTCGTATAGACTAGTAATTCAAATGTACTACCTTATCATTATCATTGGGGTCATTATGTTTTGTTCTCAATCCTCTCTCTTGCACTTCTTTTAGAAAGCGAAGTTTATGAGACTTTTGTGACTCTATATACGCCTTTACGTTTTCATCTTCAATATCATCGTCATCGCAAGCCATATGGCGTTCCAATGTATCAGTATCGATAACTAGATTAGATAGCTCAATTCCCTGCGTTCCTTGTGGCTCTTTATATATTTCAGTTGAAGTTTCTGGAATCGATCCCGATAAATCTTTATGCATGTCCTTGACCCGAAAACTACTTCCCTTGGATTCTACAAATTCACGAATATTATTCTTGTCATCTTCATTCTTATAAACGTTATTGTGATACTGCAAAAATTCCAAATTCGAAATGGTTATAGTCATATTATATAGCTGATTTCATTGGAAATATTTTTTTTTCTGTACGATCATAATAAATAGCTGCTCATGCACTACAAGCTGCAAACGAAAAAATTAATTAGTTGTATTAAATGTATATAAATACGTTACTATCGACATATACGCTATCGATACGCACCCAAGAACTCCTAAGAGGTAGAATTATTCGGTTTTCTTGGTTTCTTCTTCGCCAGACTCGGATTCTTCTTCATCCTCATCATCACTTCTTTCATCTTTAGTCACACCACCAGCAACATATCTCCACAAAATACGGAAAATCAAAAATAACCAGTAGGAATTAACGATTTGTAAAGCGCCAATTAAGAAGAACACAATTGGTTGGGAAATCCAACATTTATATTGCTGAGTATCCCAGTTGAGTTCCCATTCTCCGACATTTCTAAATTCAGTTAACACAGACCAAAGGATACGCAAGTTGAGATAGTGTCTCAAATAGATCCAGATACCAACAAATAACACGAAGAATGGACCAGTTAAAGGAGAGTTCAAATAGTTCAAGGTCTTAGATGTAGCTAAGAAGAAGTCAGAAACATCCATAGTGATATAAACTGCTAAACCCATCCAGGTAAAGTGGAAACGGTATGAAGTCCAGATCAAGGCAATGGTAATAATGTGGTGCAATACAAGTTCCTTGAAATCCTTACGAGGCTTTTCTAATTGCAAAATCAAAACAACGGATTGTTGGACCCAGAATGCTGCTTGACCCAAATAGTATATTTTAAAGTATAAATCATGAGTTTTGTGTGGGTAGTTTTCATAAAATGGTAATGTTTCAAAGAACCATAATGGTAATTTAGACATAATCCATAACCCAAATGGTCCAGAAGCCCCATAGTAAAACATCGCGTAAGTTTGTTCCATAAAACGTTTTGCTTTGGCTTCCTTTTTGATATTCAACCAGTTAGCAGTTGGTCTCAACACACAGCACATCAAAAATTCTCTTAAGAACGTGAAGAAAATCGCATAGAATCCAACAAAATAGAAATCGTGCAAACCTTTACCGTATTGATCGGTCCCTGGAATCTTATACGCTGGGACTATCATAGCCTCTAAAAACTTGTGGATCACAGTATCTGGCCCGGAAAGAAAGAATGCTCCAACGGCTGCAATCAACACGAGTAATGGATTAATCCAGGTGTGTCTATACGTGATTTCTCGGTATGCAACAACAATCTTTTTCACGATTGCTACATCTGAATCAGTATCCTTAGACAATTCAAGAATTCTAGCATCTGATTTCTTTCTTTGGGACTTAGACGTGTACATTGTAGCAAATGATGGTGAAGTGTCGCCAACGTCAATGTTACCAACTGATGATCCACGACGACGAAGGCCTGGTTGGGCACCTCTTGACCCATCTGCTCTTGATGGTGACAAACTATTTTGTTCTGGTGTTGACATTATTATCTCTGAACTTAATGAGAGAATATGCTTGTGTAATGGAAGTGAATGGTCTTTATACTTCTTATTCGACCTTGATGAATTTTTCTAACGTAAATAATAGGATTATGTAATCGGGACGATTTTTGTCCCCTATCATGAAATCACTATCATTAGTTAGAATTGCCTCCTTTATTAGTCGATCCAATTGGTACATAATAGATACAAACCAGGGATTATAGGGGTAATTCGTATGTTTGGAGGAAGACAAAGTAGTAATAAAACCGAGGATTCTCTAGAGCAGCTTATTAAGCGTGCAACGGACGAGACCTTGACCAGCGATAACTGGCAGTACATTCTTGATGTATGTGATAATATTTCCAGTAATCCGGAAGAGGGTACGAAACAGGGTATCAAAGTAATTTCGCAGAGATTGGCATCGAAGGATGCTAATATCATTCTTCGGACATTGTCTTTGCTTGTGGCAATGGCAGAAAATTGTGGATCAAGAATGAGACAGGAGATTGCAACAACTTCGTTTGTACAAGAATCATTGTTGAAGAAATTCACAGATAGAAGGTTACATAAAACAGTCAAAATAAGGGTGGCTGAAGTGATAAAGCAGTTGCATGAATCGTTCAAAACGGATCCATCTTTGAAGCCTATGACCGATGCATACAACAGACTCGTCAATGATTACAGTCAGTACTTGGCAGAGACTGCCGATGGACCGGCTAAGCCAGCAAAGAAGGAAAGAAGCAGACATGATAAGAAAAAAGAAGAAGACGAATTGCAGAGGGTATTAAAGTTATCCTTACAGGAATATGAAAGAGAACAAACAGTTAAGAGGAATTATTTGAATAATAAGCCTTTACCTGAAGCGCAAAATAAGTCGTCTGATCAACCACAACTGCATTTTCAGCAACCTTTGCAAAATCAACCCATGCATAGTACCCCTACAGGACAGCAATCGACCCAATCGCCTGTGGAATCACAAACTATAGCGACTGTATCAAAGGTTCGTGCGCTTTATGACTTAATATCGTATGAGCCTGATGAGCTTTCATTTAGAAAAGGGGATATAATTACGGTAATTGAATCTGTTTACCGTGATTGGTGGAGAGGATCATTGGCAAATGGAAAAACCGGCATTTTCCCGTTGAACTACGTAACTCCGGTGGTTACTAAAACTCCCCAAGAGTTAGCACAAGAATTGGAAGAAGAAAACAAGGTTTTATCAGTGGATCTGAAAAAGATAGATAAACTTTTGGCATTATTGTCCTCAAATCCGGAAACTATAGATGAAGACGAAATAACTAGGTTGTACGGGGAAATCATACCTCTAAGGACATCTTTAGGCAAATTTATCGATAAGTACAACGTTAGAAAGGAGGAACTCCTGGTATTGAATTCGCAATTGAATAGCGAAGTCAAGCTCTATAATGATTTAATGGATAATTCAATTACCCACAGAGCCGGACATCAATCTAGTGGGGTATCTATGGCCCCCTATCCTACTGGAGTTGCAAGTCCAACACACAATAACTTTTCTCAAGCTAATCCGTCTATGCTTCATCAACAGCCTACAAGTAGCGGCTTCGGGAATGCAAGAGTAAATAGTTCGAATGAGTATTTTCATTCTCAACAGGTACCCACCACTTCGTTCAATCACCAATCACAAGCACCCCAACTATCGGGTCCCCGGAGAAATAATACTGAGTTTCTGAACATAAATAATTTTCCTAACGTAAATAATATATAGGCATTATTTCCCATAATAGCTATGTAACATATTTTAGTAACGAGCGCGATTTATCGAATATTTAAAACCTGCCACACCAACAAACCTCGATTTTAACTAAGCACATAAGACCTGAAGAATGTCAAATCCCTTGTATTCACATAGAGAACAAGAGAACAATCAACGATTCGATAATTTAGCCCAAACTTTAAATCAATTCCGTAATACAGTAAATAATGATATTCATGGTTCAATTCAACAAGAAAACCTGACATTAGATTTATTAAGTGACAACTTTAGTCAGTTAATGCATCTGGTAAAAAGGACCAGTGGCGATTTACGAAATGTTATGAATAGAAACGCAAGTCTTACAAGAATTGTGGGCCTTATATTACTTGCATTTTTTGTGATTTGGATGTTGTACAAATTAAGATAACGAATTTAAGAAAGAAGATAAGACATATATTAAAGATAAAATCAAAAATTAACAAGGCTTATGGAAATATCATTCAGTTCTTTAAACCACATGCATATATAAATATATATTCAGAAGAATAAACATCTATTTATTATGAACCACATCTGATCCTAATCTATAGTTACCAATGGCTTGTCCCCAATTGATTTTCGATCTAGTAACCGGTAAAAGTCTTCTCAAATTCTTAAAATACTTTTGGTTTAATTCATTGAAGTTTTCTACAATCTTCAAAGTCATTTCATTCTCGGTTTTGTTTATGAAGTTGACAATTCCACTAGCATTGGTAGTAGATAAAGTACCACTAGTCAGCTCATCAAAATTCAAGCGGACGTTGCCATCTTCGTAGTAGTGAATATCCAACTTTGCTTCACCTTCAATTGTTCCTGACTTTATTTTGTAATGAGACTTCCACAATCCAGTATAGAAATTTTCGTAGTTCAACTTTTGCCCAATTATAATAATTTGCAACCCAGATCCATCAGGAACAACTGTAAACGCATACTTTGAAGGATAATGATCTTCACCATATTCCGTCAATTTCTTAACCAACTCCTCAAAATAAGCCGGATACTCCACTTCAGGTTCGTAGTCTTCGAAGTCGATTGCAATTTGTTTATGGAGATCTATATTGAACAATTTTTTACCAATATAGTCAATGTACTTTGTAGATGATTCATGCTTATTTATTTTCGACGCAATGTATGTCGAAGAAAACACTCCCGAATTTTCGTTTATGTACTTTTCAATTGCTGTATTTACTGTTGAAGAATTGGATTTGGTTGACAAAATCGTCGACAAATCTTTGCTAACCCCATCCAATTCACCAGGTGGTGATGACTTAACTAATGATGATACAATAGTATCTAATCCAACTGACGAAGACATGTTTTCGATAATTATTATCAAGTGGAAATAGGTAGCTGTTATTCCTAGATAGAAGGAGTAGATCACCTTACGAGTAATTTTCTTATATGCAGTATGTATACCTATACTAATATATAAATAGTCATATTCAGAGCTCTGTACATGAAATATTGTATTTACGATAGTAAGAATGCACCAGCTCCTTCGTTTACTGCTTGAAGTAACTTTTCTCTCATGACGCTCTCTGATGAATAATTTGGAAGCTTAAGATAATTAGCGCAAGTCATTACGCTAGGCAAGTAATCGTCATCTTTTAATCCATTTTCAGCCTGTTTCCTAACAACAGTGAATGCTGGTCTCAATGCTTTGAAGCCACCAATGGGTAGTTTAGGAGCTCCTGTTAAAAACTGTAAGAATGCTCTTTTCTCGATGTCATTAAAGCCAACAAGAATATTGATTAATCTCGTAATCGCTTCAGACTCTTTGTTATAACCGTGATTAGCATTGATAGCAGCTGGTAATGTTTCAATTGACCAATCTTCTTCTGCACTTCCAAATAATCCAACTAGTTCTTCCGGAGAAAAAATTATCAAAGAATTAATAGGGAAAACTTTGGAGAACCCATCCATAAATGCCTTCGTTTGATGAACAATTCCAGAATATAGCGTAGCCTCTAAAACTTTATTGATGTAGGTTTCGAGATTGCTAGATGTTACAGGAGTATCTTCCCCGTTCGGTATTAGTTCATATTGAGGGTATCCTGGGACAACAAATGATAAGGCCAAGTCGTTTATAGTACAATCATCAACCTTGATATTATCCCGCTCGTGTTCTTCAACGGTTGAAAAGCGTTCTACATATTTTAATAGGTGCAGCATAGAATCAGCTAATTCTGGGTCAACTAATCTAAGAGTTGCCATATTAGCCAACTTTTTGATGTTTCTTCTCGCCGCTTTCTGTATGCCATTTTTGTTGAAGAATTGAACAAATTTCAAAAACACTGGATTGAAATTAAAATCAATAATTCTCGAATCTAATAATGCTCGAGCAATAAATTTACCTAAGTTTGAAAAAAAATACAAAACTTTGCGTCCGTTTTCGCTAGAAACCTGAGATTTATCTAATGGTGCAGGGAATAAACCAGTTTTGGAAAATATATAATCCTCTTCATCGCTGTCTGCCAAACCATAATCTCTCCATAATTTTAATTTCTTCTTGGAAAATTCTTTTGAAACAGTTGCATAAAATTCTAACGTAGGCCCTAATCCAGACCCAACTTCATCAAAATACTCAATTTCTAAAATTCCAGGTGAAGAGCCGTACAAACCTAACACCTTAACTGCACTTTGTAACATCAGATTTCTGGAGAGTCTTACTTTATGTCTTGTTGGTCTACCCAATTGGGGCCTTTGATTATTGGAATTATTATTATCTTCGATTTCCTGGTTAGTTCTAATTTGCCATTGGTGAATCAATCTTGAGTAACCAAATGATGTAGATTGTAATAGGAAAATTCTTGTATCTAATGGGAAAATGAATGGAAATTTTTTCGTTACATTAATGCTCCATCCAGGCAAGGTCCCACTAGCAACAACTAGGGGCTCTTCAAGTTGTCTGTTTAATTTTACAGTAAGTTTCCAATTCATAAAACTTTCATTCGGAATATTGTTCATGTTTGGATGGTTATTGTTAACAAATGAATTCATCTCAAATAATACTTTCAATAGCTTCAATATATTGATTGTGTTTTTATCGTAATTATCAAGCTCGGAAACGTTATTATCGTAAGATATTGGTTTCGTTTCTGTTTCCTGTGCAGAATCTACTTTACGGTAGGTTATGTTATGAATATTTGACCAAATCTTCGAAGCGTCAACTGTTTCGTCAACTTTTGTTTGCAATGACCTGTAAACTGCACCATATATAGTTGTTTCATTCGGAATTAGTTCCCCATTGTTCAAAAATTCAATATTCCAGGACGATTTATTTGTATCAATTTCTTTATTTTCTTCCGACTCGTCCCTTCCCTCCTTCTTATAATCATCCCCACTTCCTAATCCATTCAACTCATCAAGAAAATTCAACCTCTGTTTAATAAATGTATCAATCGATTTAAATGTTGCAATTGCGTGAACAGATAATACCATGTTTTGCAAACCTGTTGGTAGTTTATTTTCCAAAATATCACCTTCAGCAGTAAGCTTTAATTTAACTTGTCTTGCCATTGCGGATGTATGGTAGTTGTCATTGTTATAATTAGAAATAGAAGAACTATTACCTGAAGACACGATTTCGAATGATTCACATCTAGTCAATGCTTCTTGCAACTTGTTGACTAATAATAAAATTGGTGAATCCCTAGACTCAATACCTGAGTTATTTTCAAAAAAGACAGTTACAAAAGCTTTGTAACAATCACTAAACTCAAACCCAAAGTCATATATATCTGAGGTAAATATTAATGATAGTGACTCAATTATTCCTGAAGAAATTAACTCAAAAGAAGATATTTTGAACTCGCCATTTGTTCCACTTAGTGCGAACTTGAGTCTCTTCCAAGTTTCTTCCCACTGACTGTATAAAAATGACTCGATTTTATCTTGGCTACTCAAAATATCCCTTATGCTCTTCAACTCTTTCATATGATCAGGTATTTTACTTGAATCTCTTGATTTTCTAGATGCAAGGTATAAGTCTTCGATGTTTTGAGCAGCTTTAATTAGCTTATTATGAATCAAATCACTTGTTTGAGAAGACTCAAAATCTCTTGTAAATTCCATGTCAATGTACTTATTAGTATAGCTAGAAGAAAATAAGTTTGCTCGAGTTAAATTGGGTAAGTCCTCATTAGAGTCGTACTTCAACAATTTCAAGTTATTGAGAATAGACAAGCTATCACTAAATAACCCTTCCCTTTCAAAGTCAGAAATAAATAAATCTGAAGCCTTCTCAATCAATGCTTGGGACATTGAAAATGCACATAGCAATAGGCAATTTGAATTCACTTTGGAAGCATCATCTGGCTTGTCTTTCTTTGAAAAATTAAGTTGGTTGTCGTCTTCAACTTCATCATCACTTGCGAGCATATCAACGTCTGTCTCATTTTTCTTTTCGTACGGTAAATTTTGATGATTAGAATATGACGACAATTCTCTATTCATGATACTTTTACTTTGATTAATCAATGACGCCAATAAACTCGAAATCATTTCAACTCCTCGTATTTTTTTAAACCCCGCTCCATCACTAAATGAAATAATTCTTGATAAATTGATGAGAATTTTCTTACGAATTTCAAAGTCCATAGTAGTTTGAAAACTATTAATTAATAATGACCAAATTTGATTAACAAACGCCCAATATGAATCTGGTATAATTTCTTTACACAAGACAACACGATTTTCGTTTATCTTAACCTTCTCTTCATAATCCTCGTGGTTATCTTTCAAGAAAGGTGAAGTTTTCACGTCGTAAGTTATTGGTAACAAGTAACCAATCAAATTCAAAAACTGAGAAAGTAATTCTTTAGGAGAAGCCATTAATGCTTCCACGGAAATATTGTCAATAGAAGATTCCGAAGTTATAGTTTCCAAGTTCTGTGCATTAGATAATGATGCTAAATTCGATTGCACTTTTGCATTTGGCTTCGACTTGGAATATTTATTCAAAGACTTTACAATTATTTCACCAATAGAACAAGTTTCCAATATAGTTTTCGAGATTTCAACACTCACACTTGATAATATGATCAACGATTTAATTAAACTCAAGCATGATCCAAAATTCAAGGGTATTTTTGCAACCTCATTTACTGTAGAAGAATTCAGAGACTTATTAGAACTGATGTAGATAATTTCAATTAACTCCCGTAATAAAAGTTCGTTATTCAAGAACAACTCCTCTAAGTAATCCGGCTTAAGTTTGAAACTCATCACAATTCTCGATATAGCGAGCCAACCACTTTCAACTACGCTTGAATCTGTATTATTTCTAACAACATCAGAAATATTATCAAAATCTTTTCTGACCATGTTAAAATTGGCAAGTGATATGTTAGAACAAGAATTAGCAACTATACTCAAGCACTTCTTTTGAGCATGAACTGTCAAAAAGTCCAAGTATTGCAAGCACGCCTTTAAACCATTGGCTGCAATAATCATGTTATGAGAAATTGGATCGCGTGAAATCATTTCTAAGGTTTGTAATAATTGTTCAGTTAAATCGATACAAGTAATCTCTAATAGCTTGGTGCATAAGCATTCAACTGCATTGTTATTAAGTGCGTCATGAATAAAATCTTGGTTGACCTCCAAAAAGTTGTATAAACATCTACATGCAACCAAATTTATTTCCAATTCTTCCGTTAAATTAGGGTCGTCCATTATATTAATCAAAGCTTTGGCTAGTTTGTTAGCAGGTATCATTCTCTCTGCAGTAATGCCATTCATCATTAACAACCTCTCAGATAATTCATTCAACGTTTCCAAAATTATATACGGATCATCGCGTTGATTCAAATTATTAATTAATCCTTGCATCTCATTGTTATCTCTATCAAAACTGCTAAACATTATACCATCTCTCATTATTCTGTGAACGACATCCGCAAATCCATTGCCTGCCGCTGTTCGTTCATCGTTATCTTCAAATCTGTCGTTATAACTATTTATATCCCTTCTATCACCGCCAACTATTCTCAATGCGCTCAAAGGATCCAGTCGAAGGTTGTCCCCGTTCTCATCTTCATTGTCGTTCTCATCATCTAATGCCCCTATACGTCTGCCTCTCGATCTCGTTTGAATAAGCCGACGTAAAAAATCAACAGGGTCCAAATCTTCCTCGTCATCATCTTCATCTCCATTAGCTGCATGACTGTCGTCGTCCGCATCTTCCTCTTCCTCGTCCTCTTCCTCTTCTTCTTCTTCCTCGTCGCCGTCGTCATACGGATCATATTCTCTCCTTCTTGCAGCCTGGTCCGACAACCTCTGCAACGAATCGTCCTCTTCATCTAACTCCTCTATTTCGTCAATAAATTCATCTGTGTGATTCTCGAAACCGCCCTCTTCGTTCTCCCGGTCCAGCATATCTGAATCTACCAGTTCGAATGGATGATCTCGCGAGAATTCGGGTTTTCTATTACTGTAATCCCTGGGATTCGACATCTCATAAACTAAATATTACCAGAAATGCAAATAACGTAATTAGTACCGGCAAATAATCAAAAGTAAATACTAAATATACTTATCCGTCTAACTGGCCTACAAATTATTCCGCTGCATAACTATTACTAACAGATTCTAGATAATCAAATGTCGTAATTGCCACAGATATTTTGCGACATTCTGACGACATGTCCAGTTTATCGTTTTATTACGTAACGATATGTCATATTCTGATAATGCGACTCAAAAAAAAAATATAGTGTCACTATCTCCCCACTGTTCGTAAGTAGCGAATCCCCCAATCTATATTCAATTTTATAACACATTTCCAAAGCAACGATTCAACGATACCCAAAGTTTAAAATCCGCCCTTGTCAAGATAGTATATATCATGTAAGAAAGCGGAACAATAGAAAATCCCACATATGCGTGGGGACGCAATTGTAAAAAAGTGAAATATGGATCCCCCACGTCAACTTTAACGAGCTTTCATGTGGGGCAAGACGCAAGTTTTCACGCAGCCTCTCCAAAAAGTCTTAAGTACCTATTGTATAAGTTTATCCATGGTGCATTTCCGGAGAATTCATTATTAATTTCACGGCGTAAGAGGTATGACTTTTTTTTAAGTTGCAGGCTACATCTTGCAGTAAAAAACTGGAGGAAGGAGACGAATTTGTTGGCTGAAATCGAATAGTATATTAGAGTCCCAAATGGCCATGAATTTGGAATTGCAATTTTTCTATTAACTATAACAATAATAATCATAATAATATGACTGGCCACATATATGAAATAGGTTCACAAGTGAAAGATAATGGACCTGAAATATACCACCAAGAAGAAAAGGGTATTGATACTGCACACTTGGAAGAAAAAGATGGATTAGAGGTTTTAGACAAAGAGTCATTGAACGAAAAATTGGTTAAAAATTTAGAGCTTCCTGAATCATTAAGAGATTTGACTGATGAAGAATTTGATGCTTTAGAAAAGCGTACCAAAAGAAAGATAGATTTGAGAATTTTGCCTATGGTTGTGCTCATTTACATTTTGAATTACTTAGATAGAAATAATATCGCATCTGCTAGATTAGGTGGTTTAGAAGAGGATTTAGGATTAGTTGGTTCTCAATATCAAACGTGTATTTCCATTTTATTCGTTGGTTACATTTTGATGCAAATTCCTGCAAATATGTTCTTAAACAAACTAGGCAAGCCTTCATTGTTTATTTCATGTATTATGACTGCTTGGGGTATCATTTCCACATGCACAGGTGCTGTTCAAGGATATGGTGGTCTTATGGCAGTAAGAGTGCTTCTTGGTTTCGTTGAAGCAGGATTTTTTGGTTCTTGTTTATACTACTTATCTTGTTGGTATACAAGAAAAGAATTAACTTTAAGAAACTCCATTCTTTACTCTGGTTCCCTTATTTCGGGTGCTTGGAGTGGTCTTATCGCAGCTGGTATTGTTGAAAAGATGGATTATAAAATGGGCTTAAGGTCATGGCGTTGGTTGTTTATTATCGAAGGTGCTATCACTGTTTCAATTGTTCCTATTTCCTACTTTATTTTACCAGATATGCCATCAAATACCAAATTCTTAAGTCAACAAGAAAAGGATATAATTATGTGGAAATTAAGAGTAGAGGTTGGTCAAGATGACTCTGATCAAGAAAATCAAGAATCTTACAAAGGTGCTTTCCTCTTGGCTATTAAAGATCTTAAAATATGGTTACTTACGATCACCTTCTCATTCTTAGTTGCAGCCTGTGGTGTTACTAATTTTTTCCCTAGTGTTGTTGAAACATTAAACTTCGACAGAATGACAACTTTATGTCTTACCGCTCCTCCATATTGTATTGCTGTTGTTGCAACATTTATATGTGCAAGACATGCTGATAAGACCGGTGAAAGATATTTCCATGTCGTCATCCCATTAGTTATAGCCTTGATATCATTTATTATATCTGCGGCAACCTTAAACACTGGGGCAAGATACTTCGCTATGTGTATTATGATTCCTTCGTTATATTGTGCATTTACAACTATTTTATCTTGGATGTCAAATTGTGTTCCAAGACCTCCTATGAAAAGAGCTATTGCAATTGCGATAATGAATTGTCTTGGTAATTCAACCTCTATCTGGAACTCTTATTTGTATCCATCTAGTGGAGCTCCACAATATATGGTTGCATTTGTTTGTAACTGTGTCTTCATATTATGTTCAATTGTTGCAGCTACTTTATTAAGACAAAGAATTGTCAAATTAAACAAGAGAATTGCTTCTGGCACTATGAAATGGGAGAATGAATTAGGGAAGGGTAATGACGGTTCAAAAATCTCACCAGATTTCAAATACTTATACTAGATTTGTATATTTGTTTGCTAGATAAATAATTATAAATATTGCATATGTCAGAAATAATCATGTATTTCTCTGAGTATAATAATGAGCTGGCTTAATTCGTAAATTGTCTGTGTGCGGTGATACATCTGTGGTAGATCACCGGTTGCATTTAATTATATCATTGTATAATTGTCGTTTGAGTTCAAGAATGCTCAATTTATCCTTGCTCTTGTCAAATTCAAATTCCTCGTGTGGTATGGGCGCAATCGTTGGTTCGTCTTCCGGGTCGTGGTATGTAGAAACATAGGGATGTTCCAATGCTTCTTCTACTGTCAATCTCTCTTTGGGATCAAACACTAATAATTTCTTTAACAAGTCAAGTCCTAAAGGGTTTATTGGTTGACCGGCAAATCTTTTGGCACGATTCGGATGTCTATTAAATACCTGATCCAAGTTCAACGGACTACAATATGGAAGTGTCTTAATGTAATTTTTAGCTCTTTGTGATTTTATACAAGTCAAATCAGCTTCTGTTGGTGTGCCAAGTAGTTGGAAAATTAGTATCAATTGATGCCTATAATCATTTCCAGGAAACAATGGAGTACATGTAAATAATTCCGCTAATATACAGCCTACTGACCACATGTCTATAGCTGTTGAATATTGTGAGGATGTCAACATAATTTCTGGTGCCCTATACCACCGTGTTGCAACATACTCTGTTAACATTGATATGCCTGAATTAATTGCCAATCTCTTGTTGCATCCCTCTTTTAAAATATCTAGTCTTGCTAGTCCAAAATCACAGATCTTCAAATCACAATTCTCATTCACAAGTATATTCGAAGGCTTTAAATCTCGGTGAATGACATTAGCACTATGAATTAGTTTTAATCCCCTCAATATTTGATATACAAAATATTGGATATGATCATCGGTAAGATTTTGTGTGGCTATTGTTTTATGTAAATCACTGGGCATGTATTCTTGGATTAAGTAAATTTCATTGAAGTTTTCAAAATTAAGTGGCTTCTGAACATCGAAGATTGAAATGATATTTTCATGCTTTTTAAAATAGGTTAAGAGCTTAATCTCTCTTAGCGCCCGAAGACAGAATAGTGGCTTTTCAAAAGGTTCAAGCTTTTTTATTGCTACCTTGATTCCAGTCGGCTTGTGGATAGCTAAGCAAACGACTCCATATGCCCCCTCACCTACAACTTGAATAACCTGGAAATTTTGGGAAATATTGAAAATTATTCTCCTAGGTTTTAACTGCAGCATTCCTACTATAGTTTTTACATTGTTTTCTTTTCTATAAACATCGAATACAAACTTCCTTATATATATGCCTTTTTCACAAACATGATCAATATGAAAATCCCACATTTTGCAACTTGTGTGACAGACTTTGTGAGAAAACCTGCAACCCCAATATTATTATTGAATCTGAAACTCAAACACATTTATGTTACTTTAGTTCTATTTTCAATCTAGGCTATTAATACGCTTTTACGATCTCGAACGTGGACTAATATATGCATTAATATTATTATGAAACACTTAATGTCTATTCCGTAACTATACTCACAATCCTACGTTTGGTCAACTAGATAATACTAATACATCTGGAAAATATATTTACGTAAGAAGTACCTAGCAGTGTCAAATATTTTTAAGAAATAGCAAGAGTGTAGTCCCACCGATGATTGTAGTTGTTATTGTTATTATTACTCTAGGGGTATAAAATAACAATTGGTATTTTTTAAGAGACGGATTATATTGATTTATTCCGTTAGTAATTTTATATTAGGCAGCTTGTCCGAGTGGTTAAGGAGAAAGATTAGAAATCTTTTGGGCTTTGCCCGCGCAGGTTCGAATCCTGCAGCTGTCGTCATTAATTTTTTATCTATAAATTATATTTTTTTAACTTGATACAAACCGAAACTTATTAGTAGAAGCCAATTTCAAAACAAAGCATTATTATAATCGAATAATCAACTATTCATATTCTTTTTAGATGGGCCATGTTCTGTTCTCCAATATTGAAAACGACATTTGCGACTTGATCGCGACATTCTATAGCGCGATATCGTTTAACAACTTCTCGTATAAGATGGTAAGAATAATACTAAAAGCATTGAATAAGCAAAGCATAGTATAGTATGATTGAACAAAAAGGTGATAGCAAGGTTGCTCTCATAACAGGTACATCTTCCAATCTTGGTATCAATATAGCGTATCGCTTATTAGAACAATTGCCATCTTCGACTAACATTACATTAATTGTAACCTCACGTACATTACCTAAGGTCAAAGAAGTCATTACTACTATTAATGATTATTCAAAAAATAAATTGAATAGGACTGGCCAATTAGAATTTGACTATCTATTAGTTGATTTCACTGACATGGTATCTATTTTATCGGCATATTATGACTTGAACAAGAAATTCAAAAAGATTGACTACTTGTTTGTTAATGCTGCTCAAGGAGTTTACTCGGGTATAGATTGGGTGGCAGCAACTAAGGAGATTTGCAGAAACCCGATGGAAGGAGTCACTAACCCCACTTATAAGACCCAAAGAGTAGGTGTTAAATCAAATGATAATATGGGTTTAGTTTTTCAAGCAAATGTTTTCGGTCCTTATTACTTGATCCATAAGATAAAACATTTATTGCAAAATGGTGGTCGTATTATTTGGATATCATCTTTGATGTCTGACCCAAAATACTTATCGTTCAATGATTTACAATTATTGAAGTCTCCAGAGTCATATGAAGGCTCCAAAAGATTGGTCGATTTGATGCACTTTGGAACTTTCAAACAATTGCAGAGTGAATATGGAATTGAACAATTCTTGGTTCAGCCTGGAATTTTTACCAGTTTTTCTTTCTTCAAGTTTTTAAATGTCTTCACCTATTACGGTATGTTGATGCTTTTCTACTTAGCTAGATTTTTTGGCTCTCCATCGCATAATATATCAGGTTTCATTGCGGCTAATGCCCCAGTTACATGTGCACTAGGAAATGAAAGTCAGTCTGTCAAAGTTTGCTCAGTTAGTAATAGAACAGGAAAAGAGTACTTGACCTACCAAGAAGTGGATACTACAGGATCAGCAGATATTGCCGCTTATCTAGAAAAGCTTTGCAAGGAGTGGGATTTAGCTTTGAAGGACCAGATCGTTAACTCTCGCCAACCGTAGTTGTATAATTTAATATTTATTATAGAAATATAAAAAAATGGATTGCATTACAGAGTTTTAAATTTTATGATCTAAGCAATTACATCCGCAACCACTTGGACACTCTACGTTCTCATCATTGTCATTATTGTCATTAGCCCACCACTCTACCGCACAATGCGAATGTAAAGCATGCTCACAATTTATGCAGACAACTAGTGTTTTCGTGATCACCGTGTTACATAAATTGCAATACTTCAATAAGCCCTTTTTATTTGTATTCCACGCGTTGGTCCCTATTGTTTCAATAGGATTAGTCAATTTTAATGACTTAGCTTTCTGATTATTTTTGATTTTTCTTAAACCATAGCTGCATTTATGAACATCAAATAAAGAATCAGAACTGTGAGTATCATTATCTAAACCTGGATAATTAAATTTAAGTATTTTAATACGATTTATTGGTAACCCCCATATATATAACATATCAGCATATTGCTCTCTATATGCCTTGATCTTTTGTTCGTCTTGCGAATCTAATAGTAACAGGGAGTAAACATCATCATATAAATCTAGTGATTCAACATTTTGCATTTCAATCGTTACAAAAGGTGGAGATCTCGCTAAGTTCTTGTTATTTCTCTGATGTGTACGTTTCTGAGAAAATGGAATATTCTTTTCTCTCTTTTGAATCTGATGTGAAGAATTCTTTGAAAATCTCTGTTTTGGTGAAGTCACAAGATATGAATCTTTAGATAATCCATGCGATAATGATAGCTCTGTTGGCAAATACGATGAATTAAACGGAATAGATTTCTTGAAGGAACTAGTTCTTTCTGAAATATGATCCTTAAAACTGGCATCTAATGACGAGGAAATTGATTTACTATAAAAATTCCCATTTACCAGCTGATTTTCTCTCTTGAGAAGCAGAAAAGATGAATTTCTATGAAGATTCTCAAATTCTGTACTTTTCAAATCAATTCTACTATCCGTCACAAAAGATTCAAAAACTGAGGAGTCTTTCTGATGATTCGGATATGAGTACAAATTAAGTTGGCTGTGATCATTAAATTGTCGCATAGCTGGGGTTGTGGGAGGTGGAGGCAATGCTTTGTATGGCGTATGTATCGGAATATTATATAGGTCTGGGTATTTTACATTATTCGCATTTTCAAACAAGATACATGATAACATTGCAAGCATTTGGATGTTTCCCTTAATTTCGAAATACTTCATTATCTCTTTAATTAGCCACGTCCTTCCGAACGGGTGTGTACCCCAATAAAATCTATGCTTATTATGAAAAGCATTTTTGCCAAAGTCAGACTCCTGAAATAAATAATTGAAATCTCTATTATTTTGTAAGTTTCTAAAACCTATTCCTCCTGTTTCATGAAACGCATCATAAGCAGGACGAATGCTATCAATTTCGACGTCCTTAACCAATATCATTTCCAAGATTCTCCAAACATCACTAATTTCCCTGAGACCATATTTCATAGCCACTTCCCCGTTATACTTGGCCAATTTTTCTGGAGAATCACCTAAAACTCTATATTCACAGGCAAGCTCATATTTGTCAGGAATCAAATGTTTAAAATCAAAAATACCAACAATATTCTTATTTTTTTTATTAGATCTATTTCGTTTTCTTCTTTGAGACTGATTTTCTGTTTCCCCTGGTACTGATGATTTGTAATTTGATGTCCCATGGCTTGTGAACTTATTAAGCGATCCACGATTATTATCATGAGATATGTATCGATTGCCGAGCCCAACGGAAGTCTTGAGCAATCCAGGAATCCCTGCTCGGGAAGGAATATCGTCTTGTAGGATATCATCCCAATCGTTAGAGAAACTATCCTCTGAAGATGATGAAGTTATCGAAGCATTGTCTTTATTAATACTGCCCAAGCTTCTATCAGAATGCGAACCATAATCATCACTTTCATTCTCTGAATCAGAATGGGATGCAATTGAGCCATCAAACAAATTCTTAGATTGGTGATCACTGTGCTGATGATGGGGACTGTGGGTATTCAAGCTGAATCCGCCATCTGTAAATTTAAAAATATTAAACTTCTGAAGTGCTTTATTTTCTTCCTCTTCATTGTTCTTCGGAATAAAGAAACAAACAAGCTGGCCTGTATGAGACCACATTGCACCACATCCTTTAGGGACCGGAGTTGAATCAAAGAACTTCTTATTTGGAATATTAGAATCTTTCTTCGATACATCATCAAATTTATTCCGTCCATCATTCATACTAGCATTTTCATTAGCTTCTTCGTTTTTCCTAATGGAATCTGAACTTCTTAGTAACTCATCGTCATCATCATCGTCAGCAACCGGGATAAGATCTGAAAAATCGTATTTATATTCTTCTGAACTAGAATCATCTTTCATAGAATTAAATTCAACATCCGGCTGCTGGTTAATTAAATCATCTGCCCATCCCTCAGTTCCAATTTCCTGAATTAAACCATCTGGATCAACAATATTCTCATTATCTTGATTTGATGCCAACATTAATGAATCAAGGAGCTCGACTTTATCACCCATTAAGTACCTCAAGCATGGTTCTAAACAGAATCTTTGGTATTTATTAGTATAGAAATGTGATATTTCGCATAAAGACTTGAGCATTTCATTCTTTAAATCTGATGTCAACTCATGTGTTTCCTCTATTTTGAACTTTATTAAATTATTCTTTTGCAATTTTGCCAATTTTTTAGGAGGTATTCCCTCAATATTTTCTGTTTCTTCAAGAAAAGGATATGCCTTAGGAAAGCTTATTTCAATTCGTATAAAAATAAGCTTTTGCTCTGGGTTAGCTTCATCGTTCGTTTGAATAGTTGTACTATTACCAATGTTATTTGATATATTCTCCAAGTCATTTTCTTCAACAGCACCTGGTAAGTTATTACTAGCAGAGGTGGTATTCGCATTAGTATTATTGATAGTACTATTATCTAATGCATTATTGTTAATATTTTTAGTAGTATTATTAGTAGTGCTAGCAGTAACTGAAGTATTATTATTAGGATCGTTCGAGTTATCATTATCATTATTGTTTGTTATACCTTTAGTGCTATTATTTACAATTGTGTTATCTTCTAGTATTACTGACTCAGAGACGCTTGATTTTGCAAGGTCTCTGGTAGCCACCTCTTTTCCTAGATTGCTAGTTTCATTGTTAGTTGGAACGTCTGCTTTTTCGGGATTTATGGTGCTCAATTTATCTGTTCTGGAGTTTTCCACATAGGGAGCTGGTCCTTTCAAACTAATCACCAATTCTCCTGTAGAGACAGAGATTTTTTCAAAACGGACTTTAGGAAATTTATGACCAACGATGGTTACTTCTTCTCCTAAATTTGAAGGTCCATCTTCATCAATTGTTGTATTAACATTCTGATCTTTGCCACTTGCCCTTCCTGCACGGCCAATACGAACTCCAGAAATCCAATCAAGATGATTTAGTTGTGAAGAATCACCACCTTGTTTATGATTTTGTGCTATCTGATACAGTGCTAATGAAGATAAAATGTCTCCTTGGTTGTCACGTCTTAAATCACTTATAGTTGTAGGAGGCTCCATACAATACGATTCATATTTATAGAATGGCTTTTTCTTTTCATCAAAATAACTTTTGCTAGGAGATTGCACCTTTGGTGATTCTTCTGAATCCAGTTCCTCATTAGTAAATGCACCGAGTATTTTTTGATACGATGGATTATAATTAACTTTTTTATATAAATCTTCATCATGAGGCCACAATTTTAAATCAAAGTCTTTGGAAGACCATGTAACTAACTGGTAATCTTTCCATTTATGTTTACTATCAAAGAATTCGTAAGATTCGTGTCTCGTCCTCCATAAGAAATCCTTCATGGCACCATTATGGCCCTTAAACGTGTAGATATCATCGGCATTTATCTCTTGCGTCTTTCCAGTTTCAAGGGCCGTTTGATGAGCAGAATCATAGTCTACTATGTGAATTGCATCTTGTCCTCCGATTAATGGCATTATTCCACATGTTTTTGTTCTGCCAAATGGCAAATTCCTTGCTCTAGCAATAGGATAATCAGCGTTTATAACAACGGTTGGTCTTACATTATTTGTCTTGTTGTTTTCATTAGCAAAGTAGTTAAAATCATTTGAAAAATCACCAGCATTACTTTCTAAGTTCCAGCATTTGACTTTTTTATCATTCGAGCAAGTGATGATGTTAGATAAACCATTGCTAAAATCAAGACCATTAATTTTCCCTTCGTGAGCCTTATTAACTTTTAAAACGGGTAATGCACCTTTTCTAGAATCCCATATATAAAAAGAATTATCGTGACTCGAAGCAATTTCATACTGATTCTTGTGGTTCCATTTGACTTGAGTGGCACCTGCCCTCCACTCGGCCCACCGTGCAACAGGCTTTCTTGGAGTCCTCATATCCCAACTCAATATAAATGAATCTATAGAACAGGTAGCTAATATTTCTGGGTCCCATGGATTGAAATTGATATCTGTTATTGCCCTAGTATGTTCGTGTAATACATTTGAAATTGCGTTATCTGATGGCCTGGATAAATCCCATAATAGTGCCTTTTGATTTGAAGTAGATATACACCAGGATGGTTTCGCTGCATGATGAGGGGACCATTGAACATCTGCAACCTCCCATGAAGTAATGTGGTGAAGCCATCGTGGGGTTGTAAATGGATCATCCAAATCAATAATAAAAAGTCCCCGTCTTCCAGCTAATACAGCATCTCTACCGTTAGGTGATAACGACATTGCCCCCACAGCACCGTCAACACGCAACAGCAACGAATTTCCGAAAGTTATAGAATCATACGGGTCTTGTAAATTGTCCGTCATTTCATCAATTATCCCGTACGATAATGCTTAGCTCCTACCCGTATGCTAACGATTGTACAGTATTATTTTGAATTTTTGATAATGTCGCGAAGATAATAAAAACTAAATTGAACTTCTAATAAAGAAGGCCATCAAAATTAGAATCGAATATTATAAATAAAGATTATTATGAGTCAGAATATACCAAATGACGAAGGCTCTAATATGCCTATTGAGGATGATGAGTTAGAGGATGAATTTAATGATAATGTGGAAGAGCAGCCACAACAATCCGAATCGAATAAAAATAATGCTTCCTCAGAAATACATAATTCACTTCCAACTGCAGGACCTACTATACCAGACTTACCAGAACTTTCGAGAAAGGACAAAAGCTTGAAAGAAGTGCTTGATTTAATGGATGGCGAATTTGCTCCAATTATACCCGATGCAGTCACCGACTACTACTTAGCAAAAAATGGATTTGAAACATCAGACGTAAAAATAAAGAGATTATTAGCGTTGGCTACTCAAAAATTCATCCTGGATGTGGCTCAAGATGCATACGAATATTCACGTATTAGAAATTCATCGTCAGTTTACAATTCTGCTAACCCACAAGTAAGGGCGAAGCAATTAATACAGGGTCAGCAATACGCCAATCAACAACTGATCACGGGTGCTGTTGGTGGATCTGGTTCTGGTGTAGAGGGCCTGGGTGATCAGCAGCAGCCACTGCAACACTCGGGTAGTAATGCAGGTAATCAACAAGGAAAAATAGTATTAACTATGGAGGATTTAAGCAGTGCATTGAATGAATATGGATTAAACACATCTAGGCCAGATTTCTACCGTTAGTTCATTATTGTATATACGTCTCTATAGTACGATTCTCGCTCTATATTTTTAAGTGAATGATACAATTTATGATAATTATTACTTTTGTTACTTTAAGACATAGTTTCCGCTGTTTTACTTCTTCATTGTTAGTATTTATAATGACTGATGGGCCTGTACATCCCATTCTATAATATTTGTCTGATTGTTCACTTCACACCATTGCAAATGGTAAAAAAATTAATG